TGGGTGCTATATAATTACTACATACTACATAAGGTACTCTAAGGTGTGTCACAATTTTTCCGACTGGCCTCTTTTTTGAAACCACACCTTTCCATACATCTGTATGTATATGTCGGATCGTATATTGTTCCCAAAGTATATTGGTCAGTGTGCTATCTTCTACTGGCGTGGTATTCCCTTACCAGTCTCCTTTGCCAGTCTTTTGTCCGTTATTCTTGTACTATCTTGCCTATTCCATTGCTGCGTGCTGTGAGGCCTTGCTCTCTCAAAGGATTAACGGATTACATTGCTGGGTAGTTTCTGTCTTAGATGGATGCTTTAGATGGATTTGGAGTGAAAAACACTATTTCCACGATTGTGTCTCTCGATCCGGTCCGAAACATGCCATTCCGTAATGCAAAAGTAATGCTATTTAGAGGCAATTTAAGTGGATCGACACGTCTGTCAAGTGCCGAACCAATCCAAAATAGGCTCAGGGCACGTGTGTGGCGTGCCTATGGAAATAGCTTTAGAATCGAAACGACGGGGAATGAGTACTCGCACTGGCATGTGCTGTTTGCACTCGTATCTTCATACTATACTTGTGTATGGGTATGTGTGTGGACACGGTCGAGCACAATTGCAATTAAAAATTGCTAAATGGCACACAGAAATCATACATATCTCTCATTGCCCCATCCAGCTCTCGCCATCTCTTTTGGTTGTGCCAACAGATGATCGGGTCCAAAGTGCAATCTTGACCAATGCTGCTGCGGCGCTAAAGTGGAGCACAAAGCCGGCCTGGGGACAGCCACCAAGTCAATCATTCATTCAGTCAGTCAGTCAGTCAGTCCGTGAGCCACTGGTCTCTACTGGTTGTCATTAATCCGAACCACACCACACCAGACACATTGCTGACGCGCTTGGACTTTGCGTTGAATGGGGCGTTTTATGTAGACGATGTAGTAAATGATTTATATGTACTTTCGTATGCATCCAAGCCTGAGCCCGAACACAAGTTTACGAGTACTGCTGCGGGTCAAAAGCGACGGGTCTCAATTAATTGTAATCCTTCAGCCAATCAAAGCTGATTTGATTGCTTTGAGAATTTATTTATGGCTACTTTGTAAATTAACTTTCATCCTAGAGAAATGTATACTACGTTATGTATGCCGAAGCCGACGTTTAAGATACCAGTAAAAGTTATGATCAAATTTCATTAACAACGAGATGGGAAGGCTTGTGCAGCGTCATTCATTTTTGGGACCAAGCCTCGATTCGTCATGTACACGACATGTATTTAGCTTTTTCCATTCTCGGGTGCCGCGTAATGTGGGAGCAGTTGAGAGCAAGGACGTTCTATAAGGCATTGTTCGAAAAGCAACAGTTACTTGAACCCGAGACTCGATTGAATGCAAATTTCTTCATACTTTGTACTGGCAAGGCGATAATTTGCCAACATATAGACATACATACAGACGAGGGCAGAGCTTCCAAGCTATTCTATAGCTTCCAAACCGGGCTTATCAAGCGAGCTCAGAAAGTCGCTAATTCTAGGCATTATATGACTCACACCCAACCACTGGGGGAGGTGCATGGGAATCATTTGCCCCCGCTTGTCATTCTTCAAGGTCGCTTTCTATTGAGGTTCTTCAATCTTTTCCAATTTGTTAACCGGAAGACAGTACATTTCCTGGGCGAGATACATAACCGATACAGGTGTTCTGATAAGAGAAACAAAGAGCGTGTGACATTTGCTGCTACATTTCTTTCATTTAAGATAGCCATAATATCCAACTAATGAATCTGCAACTTCATTCCACTCCCACAGCTATGATATGGTCCACTTTGGCCATGCCAACTCTCTGCGACAAGCCAAAGCACTTGGCGATAAGGTAATTGTCGGCATTCACACCGACGATGAGATAACCAAACACAAGGGACCGCCCGTCTTCACCGAGGAGGAGCGCGTCAAGATGGTCAAGGGCATCAAGTGGGTCGATGAGGTGGTTCTCGGTGCCCCGTATGTGACCACCCTGGAGGTTCTCGATAAGAATAACTGTGATTTCTGTGTCCACGGCGGTGAGTACAACAATATCATGATTTACTGTACTGTACTCTACATACTGTTTTATTAATTCCAGATGATATTACAATGACAGCCGAGGGCGTCGATACATATCACCTGGTCAAGTCGGCCAATCGCTACAAGTGAGTATTGTCTGAAGGGATTGTTTCATGAATCGAACTAAACTTTGGCATTCTTTTTATCCATTCCAATCCATAGGGAGGTACGACGCACAGCTGGTGTCTCGACAACCGATTTGGTGGGTCGCATGTTGCTGCTGACACGCAATCACTTCCGCCAGGGATCCGCTGAATACGACATCGAGAAAGAAGGTAGCTTCCGCTTGTTCCATGGCCCTGGCTTATGTACTGAATTAAGTTTTATTTGTGTCCCTAAAGTGTCCCTAAAAGCCCATTGAATCACTGCCGCCAGCACAATCCTTGTTTCATTGAGTGTTCCGTTCATTAAGTTTTTACATTTTTAACAAATACTAACTTTAGACTAAGATTTTTACTTTCTTTTTCCCATCCACTCTCTCTCTCTCTCCCCGGACTGTCTCCTTCTGTTAATCTTTGTTGTACGTTGCTCTGCATGCTGCGCGTAAACCACCAATCGAATCGAATCGAATCTCAGTTCCAAGTATGAGCAATTCATAAATGTAGCTTTATATTGTCTACGCTAATAGTATAGTTTAGTGGTGGGCATGTCCTTAGCGACACAAAAAAACCTTATCTGCTCGACTCGAGACACATAACCGAATGCTGCAACGAAAAACAACAGCATACATGGCATGTGCATGACGCTTAACGGGGTTTTTTTTTTGTTGCTATTGGTGGAAAACGCCTGTCCATTGCTGGCACCGCACGCTTGGCATAGACTCTTAGTTGATTCCGTACCCGTAGCCGTACCGTTTTTGACTTGTTTGATCCGTGACTAATCCTTTGACTTATGTTGCTCTCTACATCTTTACTCTTTCTCTTCTTTTTATTTCTATGTACGCACTGTTTACCACTAACAAAACAATATAATCTACTACTCGTATATGCAAATCTATGCTAAATCCTCAAATGCCAAATACCAAATGTCCTGTGCGTGTGCGCGCCCGCGAAATGAATGACAACTGAAATATGAAATATATCAAAAATATTACCTGCAATGTCCTGCTGTCTGCAATCAAATATCAATATCCAAATCAAATCCGAATCCAAAACCAAATCCAAATCAATTCCTGTAAATGTAAATGTAAATGTAAATACTCTCTCTTATATTCTACACTGCTCTCATTCGTCTGTGTTCGCTTTTCAATTACCAATTCCAATTACCAAACAAATTGCATAAACAGCGAAAATGTTAAAACTACTACAAATAAAATCCCATCCAGGTTCTTCGAATATGGGTCAAGATTCAGCTGCCAAAAGTCCCTGGACCGGCTGCAGTCAGTTCTTGCCCACCACACAAAAGATAATACAATTCAGCGATGGCAAGTCACCAAATGCCGGAGACAAGATTGTAAGTGTAAACAGTAAACAGAGACTAAGCAGAGACTAGTTCTAAATCGAATGTTTTTTTATGTTCTTTTCAGGTGTATGTGGCTGGAGCCTTTGATCTGTTCCATGTGGGTCATTTGGACTTCCTGGAGAAGGCTAGCAAGCTGGGCGACTATTTGATTGTTGGCCTTCACACAGATCCCGTGGTCAATTCGTACAAGGGCAGCAATTATCCCATTATGAATCTGCACGAACGCGTGCTCAGCGTATTGGCATGCAAGGTACGATCTGCTTATGCGGCTGCTTGAGCTGCTCCTGTTTTAACGCTGTTTTGGCTTCTCTTTTCTTGTATAGTTTGTCAATGAGGTGGTGATTGGGGCGCCTTACTGCGTCACCGAGGAGCTGCTCGATCATTTCAAAATCGACGTAGTCTGCCATGGACGCACTCCCATTGCGATGGAGGATGGCAAAATTGACCCGTATGCCGTGCCAAAGACGCGAGCCATTTTCGAGCTGATCGACTCTGGCAATGAGATGACCACCGAGCGGATTGTGGAGCGCATCATCTCGCATCGTCTGGAGTATGAGCGCCGCAACCAGGCCAAAGAGAAGAAGGAAATCGAGGCATTTGAGGCGCTGCAACGCCAGAAACAGACCCAAAAGGCGGGCTAGCAGTAGCAGTAGCAGTCCCTTGCCCTCCTTCCGATTTCACGCAATAGACGGATGTTTTATTTTTTTTAGTTTCGTTTTTTAGTTTTCCGTTTTGTTTAGTGCTTGTCACCTTTTATATGGCCTTTGTTGCCCCTTGTTTCGATATGATATGTTGTGTTCAAGGCGTGGCAACCACACACACCACACAAGTCCCCCCACAAGCAACATAACCCCAACCCCCCTCGCCAGCGGATCGGCTCCTGCGTACGCATCTCGTTTTCTAGTACAATTTTTGAATAGCTGCAGGCTTTCAGGCAGGCAGGAGGCTCTCTGCAAGCCTCAATGATATAAATTTATATAAATCGATATATATATATATATGTATATGAAATAGTCTACGATAATAGCATATTTAAAATCTAAATTGTATGTAAGCTCAAGATTGTAAATTCTATGTTGTATGTAATAAGTGTCGAGAAGAATGAGTCGTGAGTGGACTCTAAAAATTGTACGAAATATATATGTTTAGGCCAAAAGCAAATATTTTCTCTGATTGTATCCATTTATCAGCCTGTCTTGTGCTTGGATTGTAAATACAAATGTGAACTGTAGTCGCAAGTGGAACTCTGGATCTATCAAACGTAATCTCTGATATTTTGTCTTCAATTACAAATATACATATATCCTAGTGCAAGTTCTTGTCCGTTAACGCTACTCATAATGTTTTATGTTCAATGTTTATTTAGCTCTAGATTATAATATATTTATGTATGTACATGGCCAAAAAGTAATCCAAAAAAATGAAAGAATATTTATAAAGAATTTGTTGTCGATTATTTAATCTGTTCGCCGAGTAACTTTAGGTCCACTGTGAGCAGCTGCTGCCACACATCCAAGTCCATTAGTCCGCGCAGGTCAGCGAAGCTGATAAGGATGGCGTTGCTGTCGGTTTTGATGAACTCCTTGCAGTCCTGGGTCGCGCAGACGGATCGAGCCTTCAAGTGCTTAGAGTAGCTGCGCGAAGACTGTTCTGCCTGGACCAGCAGGCGAATGCAGACGGACACATCCTGCAGCGGAGTGGACACCCATACGGCCAGCACGTCATCCATGGCTGGTTTGCGGTGCCACAGCAGAGAGTGCTGGGTGCGACAGCCAAAGACCATAAGCACGCCGTGCTGCGAATACTGACGATACTCCGACGGCAGATGATTGTTTCGAGCGCATTTCAACGGATTGAGGCCGGATCGACGGTACCCAAAGACCCCCAGAAGCGTGTTCACATCGTGCTCCAAGCTGCTGATATGGCAGCACAGGGAAACCTTCTGCTCCGGACTCACCTCCGCAAACGGAACACCCATCCCGAGCAGATGGTCCCTCAGATAATGGCCCAGCAGCCCGCTGGGGTCCAGTGAACAATGACAGGCATGGCACGGACAGTGAATCAGACGAGGACGTGAACAATTTGAGTTGTTTCTGATTGTCTCAAATAGCGACGACTTTCGAATGCTGGACTGTGATGTGGTTGACTTGTACTCGTATCGGTTCAGTCTCAGAAACCTATCCTCCGACGTCGAGGCCTCCGATATGGGCTGGTTAAAACTGGAGTAGGACTGGGTGTTCTGTATATGCTGATTTCCCCTCCGCCCCTGACGTTTCTTACTTTTGCTCTGTCTTGGATCATTGAAATCTTTTTTATTTGAAGTGGAGTGAAAGGTCGGAAGTAGGATTGACATGTTTGGATGGGCTGAAAGCTTAGCGGACAGAAACCTAATTCAACGGCATAATTTTGATGGAATGGAATATGGAAATGAGTTTGACTGACCTGACAACCTTCGCTATGCTATGGAACGGGAAGTGGTCTTCAACAAAAAACCTTGACAATTCAAATTTGTTAAATGTATTATATATTGGCCCAGCAACCGAAGCCGCCGGGCACTACGAAAAAATTCATTTTAGACTCATTAGAGTGCCCCTCTCCACGGAAATCTTTAGTAAAAGGCGAAAGATTTATTCGACAATTGAAGAGAAGCCAGAGTAACTTTTCATTGCCAAACCCGTCCAACGTTAAACTAGCCTGGCCAGAACTGGTTGGGAATCATAAGAGCAACTCGCGCTACACCTAAAATGGGGTTGGATGTGCAGTGGTGTTGCGTGTATGTGACCATTGCTCGCTGAGCAATATGGTAAGGTCTTGTCGACAGGCTGGTTAGCTGTAATCAAAGACTATACAAGACTATTGTATAGTCTTTGCTGTAATGCAAACATTTCTATTCTTCTATATTTGCATACATATATATATATATATATATATATATATATATAAGATAGAGAGTTTGTGAGGTGAAAGATTACATCATTCATTTATTTTTTCCGTGGAGTACACCTAATTTTGTTTTTACACGGTCGATTGGTTCCTGAATCAACCGTGTAAAAATAGACATTGATCGTATGCAAAAATAGGTGATTGGTTCCTTATCTCTAAAGCCTATTCAAATTAGAGAACAAATTGGGAAACGTGAGAAAAATACATATATGTACATATATTTCAAAAATGTAATCCCCTTAAATTGCTCTGACCAGTAAATTTGCTTGTATGTATGTACTAAGAACGAAAGAGAATCAAATATTTACATATGCTCATTTTTGACTTCGTATGGTTTCCAGCTATTTTGAACCATGATAAATATAATAAAATTGTGTAAAATATTTAAAATTTTTGATTTTCAAACCGTGTAAAAACAGAATTTGGGTACATAGATACGTGTGTATGCTCACTTCAGTTTGGTTTTATTATATTTTTATCTCATTATATACATATGTATGTCCGTATTACGAACTATGTTAACTTTTAAATAGAAATGTATTGAAACAAAATACATATGTACATATGCATGTACCTACGAGTATAAAATTATCACAAAACAGCTACCATGTACATACATTTTCCTCTGCCACGCCCAACTGCTTGACGGAAATGTTTGCGCCGCTACCAACAATCACCCTCAATTCAATGCAGGCGGTAGTATGATATTTAACCTCTTGTGTGTCCGTATAATTCCCAACTGGTTCTGGCAGCTTGCCTATGGTGTGGCGGCTGTTTTGCTGTTTCCAGTTATCGCTTCTCGGCCTTATGGCTAAGATCAAAGTGTAGTATCTGTTCTTATCAGCTTAACATCTGATAGTTTCTCCATTGGAGAACAACAAATGTTAAACTGATTTTTGGAATCAGACGGAGTGCTAGGGGCTTGCTCCACCTCTGTCGCGGGTTGGCCCGGTATTGCAGTACCGCCGGGATTTCGGCCCAACTTAATAATAAATTTCACAAATTAGTACAAGTATAAACTGAGGATGTACGGTGACATCTCTTAGGATCAGAAGTCAGAGTCGGTTGGGAAGAAGCAAGAACTACTTCTGAGGGTACTTGATGAAGGATTTGGATTAGGTAGAATATCGTCGCACAGTGGCAACAGGAATGCGCTGGAAAGATTAAGTGTCTAAATCCGGAATCTTTTTTTTTTAAGCAGCATATTTAATTAAAATAAATTAAATTATTAATTTAATTAAATTAAAATAAAAAGGGCTTGCTATTTAAAGTTTGTACCTACATACACTACTGGCCAAAATAATAAGTACATCGGTGTCGTGCTAGTTTGTTATGGAATAGCTCGAATGTTTGTAAGTGTATGGATGCCAATTGTTTATATTTGGAAAGGTTACAGTCTTGCCAATTATTTAAATCAAAAATTAAAGTGGGGAACCATCTTAATAAAATTCTATTCATACATTTTTGCAGAATGGGCATTTTTGGTCTGGCCAAAATAATAAGTACACTGGTGTTATTTATATATTTGAAAGGATTGGATAAGGATTTGGTCAAAGGATTGTTGTTTTTTATTAAGTTCCTTCATATTTAAGTACATGAGAGTCAAAAAAATTCTTTAGATAGGCCGTACTCCTGAAGAAAGGAAGTTTTCCATAAGTCTTCAAAAAGAAAGGAAAATTCTCCGGGAAAATGGCGAAAAGTCTTGAACGATCGGTATTTTTGGTTCAGAATACTTTCAAATCTAAAGTGCTTATTGAAAATCGAGGATGGAAGAAGAAATCTTTACGAACAACGGACACCCGCATCATCAGTCTTGCAAAAAAGGATCAGTTCATGTCTTCCAAGGCCAAATACGCTCAAATTGGGAAAGAAAAATCAGGTCTGATGGTTCGTCGGAGACTTCAATATATAGACCTAACAGCACGTATAGTCCGAAAAGTTACCTTACTCCGAGTAAAAATTTTGAAGATGAAGCAAAAACTCGTTGAAAATCATTTGGCATGGTCTGGGTCAGATGGGTCTTAGAAGTGGAATAATATATTATTGAGAGACGAAACAAAAATAAATCCTTTTGATAATGACTCCAGAAGATGTATACAAGGACCCAAAGGCAAAGAATTCGACTTCCGGTACACAAAGAAAACGGTTAAGAACGGAGGCTGATGTATAGGTATCTGAGGATATTTTTCTTGGCATGGCGTTGAGCCGGTACATCACACAACTAATCATGTGATCCAATTCGGGTACAAAAACATATTGACAGTTATTATACAATCTTAAGCTGAGGAAAACATGCCCTTGAGATGGGTCTTTCTACCGGAAAATTACCCAAAGCACACCTCAAAGGTGGTGAAGGCTTGGTTTACGGGAAAAAATGTAAACGTTATGGCTTGGCTAATTCAGTCTCCTGACTTAAACTCATTTTAAAACCTTTGGGGTGACTTAAAACGTCGAATTAGTAAAAATTATTTTCGAAAAGAAAAAGAATTGTGGAGAATTTGTGCAAAAAACGTGGTGTGAGAATCCAGTGGAGACTTGCCCCAAACTTATTGCTAGTATGCCAAGAAGGATGGCCGAAATCATCCAAAATAAGTGTGGCTATATAGGATACTATTAAAAGATTATAAATTATAAGAAAAAAGTGTAAACATTTTGATACGCTTTTAGTTTTTCGCTTTGGAGAATTGCTGTACTTATTATTTTGGCCAGCCCTTATTTATGATTTTAAGGTTTAATCGATCATAAAATATATATTTGAAATGAAAAATGCTTATGATAAACATTTTTATAGTCTATTGTAGGTTAGAAAACTGAAAGTAAATTTGAATTTTTAATTATGTTTACTAGAAAAGTTTTATAGGACGTGAAAGAAAGCTCATAAGCGTGTACTTATTATTTTGGCCAGTAGTGTATTTGTAATAATTTGAATTTGAAAATCAAGATTTTTCAAACCAAAAAAAAATCAAAAATCCGCAACTTTTCGTCGGCGTGTATAGAGGACCTCGATTAACGTACCAACAGACTGCAGAGCGCTGATGAAAAGAATTATTAGAATTTTTTAAATGTCGTAAAAGTCTATTAGAAATGCAGTAGTAGGGATAAACCAGATTCTTACATTTGTGCAGGAGGTTGTACTGAAAGAGGAGATCTCACAGGGCGCTGTACATAAACTCTCCATAATAATATTAGCTCATTGCAGTACCGCCGGGATTTCGGACCAACTTAATAATCCATCTTATAAGTAGTTTTGTAAGAGTATTTGAGGTTCAGATTCGCTGCGCGTCTGCTGTTCTGATTCGACAATCTTGCCCAGATTAATGAGAATGGACACAGGTTTTAGGTATTAAGTCGTACATTTATTTTGATAATACACCTATTATTAATACAATTTTTTTCCGAATGTGTGTTGCTTTTCGTTTGCGCTTTTTGGTACGTTTAAATCGGTGTTAATACAAAGTTGTCCGGAGACGCGCTCTTTTTAAGGGCGTGTTCAACATTTCTGTCCATACGCAAGTAATTAATAATGAGAAACATTTTAAAAGTAAACAAAAAGGATAACGTTCGAGTCGAGTAATGTTCAGCAATTACGATACGTTGATATACATTTTGCCATGCGACGACTATTTGGTTTTCGGTGTTTGGTTTCACTTTTTGAAAGGACAACTTCAACTACGGAACAATCTGGGCTGGCTGTGGGCTCTTCTGGTTCCTGGCTAACTACAACTACTAAGATTAGTATGTATTACTAACTGGTGAATAGCTGCGCTATGTTTCCTCTACCGATAACACGTCAACCGGAACGAACAATGCGCTTTTCGTTTCTTTTCTTTGGCGAGAGACCACTACTACGTTCAAGTTATTCGAAGAAGGAAGAGATTTGTGATGTGTGTAACGTATACAATGCAATAGATCTACAGTTGTTTCTTTGCGTGTGGGCGTGCTTAAAACGACGTGAGAATATGCGCCTCTAGGGATTCTAGACAACCACAGCTCCGGCCTCGGAACGACTGACTGGCAAATCGGGGCAATTTTTCCAAGAGTCCGACAGCGGGTCATAGCATTCGACAGCGTTGATGGTGACTTGCGCACGATAAAAGTTTACCTCGCATGGCTGCAAAGAAAAGGTTTATTACGGAACGTTTCCAAATTTTGGGTGGTGTTGGATCTATTCAATCGATTACCTGATCCCCACCAGCCACATAGAGTAGGCCATCGGCAGCGGCTACGGCAGGAATGGCTCGTGGTACGTTTAACGCACAGACCATTGTCCATTTGTCCTCGTCGAAGCTGTAGCGCTCCACAGAGCTGAGAATGTCCTGGCTGATGCTACTGCCACCCACCACGTACAAGTAGCGGTCCAGAACGGCCACGCCCATTTGGCAGCGAGCCGTTTGCATGCGGGCCAGCTGTGTCCACTCCTTGGTGACCGGATTGTAGCTGAAAGAGATGGGGATGATCAGAGGACGAAGTAATTATTTTGTATATGCGGAAAAAACCTTATCAAGTCTGGCAAATGTCGGGTGGTTGTTGTGCAGCCGCCCACAATGTAGATGAGACCCTCGAAGCTGACCACACCCATGCTGAACCGGGGCTGCGGCATGCTGCCAATAAGTTTCCAAAGATCCTGCTCTGGGTCATAGCACTCCATTGTGCCGCCAATATCGTCGCCAATCCAACCGCCAACAGCAAACAGATTGCCGCCCATGGTGCAGAGTCCAAACTCGCAGCGAGGCACTATCATGGGGGAAATGGGCTGCCAGATGTCGTTCTGGGGGTCGTAGACTTCGCCATTGGCCAGAATCTGGGAGCCGCGTTCGCCTCCCACCACGTAGATCTTGCCGTTCAAGGCCGACACACCCGGCAGTATGCGTCCCACTTCCATGGGAGCTGTTTCAGTCCACTCGCGTCGAAATATATCGAACTTGGCCACCGTCTCGAAGATGCAGTCCGCCGAGTTCCATGTCCGTGGCGTATCCCGGTGGGATCCCCCAATTATGTATATGTTCTTCTTGGCCAGCTGACGGGGGCAGACACGCAACGGCACCAACTGGCCGCGCTTCGAGGCAATGTCCCGACAAATCGAGCGTAGCGCAATCTTCACAGACATGTCACGACAGTCGTCTTTGAGGGCCTTATCGATCACCTTTACGGGAACGAGCGCCATGCGCACATGAGAAAGTATATCAAAGACATAGCAGCGCCGTTGCGTCACATCGTGCTTAATCCATCGCAGAGCCGCCTGGAACACCTGCGATTCAGAGTCCACGCGCAGCAGCTCGGAGTTCAGCAACTGCGACAGCAGAGCCTGCGGTGTTTCCAGGAACTCGTCCTCCAGGGTTATCTGAGTGTGGAAACATAAAATACCGCTTAGATTCTAACTACACGAAATTGATTATTTAGTTGGGCCGAAATCCCGGCGGTACTGCAATACCGGGCCAACCCGCGACAGAGGTGGAGCAAGCCCCTAGCACTCCGTCTGATTCCAAAAATCAGTTTAACATTTGTTGTTCTCCAATGGAGAAACTATCAGATGTTAAGCTGATAAGAACAGATACTACACTTTGATCTTAGCCATAAGGCCGAGAAGCGATAACTGGAAACAGCAAAACAGCCACCACACCATAATCACGTTGCCGGAACCAGTTGGGAATTGCCCCTTAAGTCCTTTCATATAAACGTAATATTTACTCTATGAGGGTTGCACATTTTTAAAGCCGTCTTTAAGGCTTTGGTGTGCAATGTTTCAAGGAAAAGACCGGCCGACCTCGGATTATCTTTACATCCCCTTAACGATCGATTGGTTATAAGGCAGCTGGTTATAAAGTGAACTTGAAATCAAACTTCTACATTCTGTTTTCTATAATATAAAGCAACAAAGGAAGGATCCAAAAGTCTTCAATGTGGCTGGATTGTTTCTTCTGAAACCACAGACGTTAATTCCAGTTTCCAGCCGACAGTTTTTACTGATCATTTATATGGCAGTTATATGATACTAATGGAAGCAAAAGGATGGAACTGCGTTCAAAACATCCCCTACAAGGGTACCATAAACTCACAGTGTCGTTGAGGTATTTCAAAATGCAGGTAAAGTTCATATTAAGGTTTCTTGCAATTCCCAACTAGTTATAATAGGCCCGGTATGGACAGGCTCTGGGTTTGGCGGTGTAAAGTCACTCTGGCTTCTCTTCAATTGTCGAATAAATCTTTCGCCTTTTACTAAAGATTTCCGTGGAGAGGGGCACTCTAATGAGTCTAAAATGAATTTTTTCGTAGTGCCCGGCGGCTTCGGTTGCTGGGCCAATATTGTATAAATTTGATAGTGGGAGCAACTTACTGCCGGGAAGTTTGCGTGGACAAAGTTTAGTGCGCTCTTGGCCAAAGATTCGCAATTATGCGCTTCGGCGAATCGTAATATGCCCAGGGCATTGGAGGCGTGCAGCTCGCGGCAGAGGAACTCGCAGCAACCGTCGACGACCTCATTCAGCTGGAGCATATCGGCAGCGGCGAGGAGTTCTTGGACGTTTGACTGCAAAGAAAGACTACTGTGAGGAAAGAGGACCAGTATAGAAGGAGAAAAGAACGCACTTGCGTGATCTCACACCGTCCCGTGTAGATAAAGTCGAGCAGAATGTGCAGTATGTCGCCATCGATTGTGTGCAACACTACCGATTTCTGTTTGACCTCGTTTAGGCCGAGCTCGGGCCGAAACATCGCCTCGAAATAGGCACTGGCAGCACTCAGCACCGCTCTGTGGGCGTTGAGGGTGGCCTCGCCTGCAACTATCTCCACGTCACAGAAGCGGGCCTGTTCCCTCAGTTGATTGAGATTGGACAGGACTTTGAAGGGATATTGGGCGTTGCAGTAGGAGGGAAGATTTGTGCGTTGTGTGGAGGCCTCGGCCCCTGATCCTGGCGTGGCCACATTGGCCTGCCCAAAGAAGTCGCCGTCGTTGGTGGGAGTTGGGTTTTGATTTGGATTTGGATTGCCATTGTGACAGTTTGCGTTGTATTCGTGGTGTATGGAGTAGGTTTTCTGCGGTGGCATTTTCTTTCGTTTGGTATGTTTGTTTGTTCGGGTTTCCTTGTTTCGTACGTGTACTAATAAATGCACTGTTGGGGCAGCAGCTCAGCCTTTTCACATTCAATTAGATATCTTAATTAAAGTTAATTGCTGCACTCTGCACCATTTAGCCTGTGCGTTGTTGTGTTTGGGTTCATTTTTCATCAATCAAAATGAGACACACACACACACCCACGACTGCGACGAACTCACACACAGGAACGAACACTGGAAAAGTTTACATACATTCCCAAACACAGCATGAGGTTTGCTTTTACTTGCACTAACGTATAATTTACTGCACCATAGCGACTATGCTAACACAGCTATTACATATTTAGCTACTAATTAGAAAGCAGCATATTTTTCTTAACTTTTATACGCTTTTTTGTATGTAGTTCGTGAACGATAAAATATACGGGTATTTCGAGTTTTACATTTACATAGCGACTACACGATAACTACACATTTGCTACATATTGGGAGGAAAAAGTGGGTATGTCTTCAAGGTGAGGTTCGTACGAACCCTTCAATTTGCCTTGGCGGTTTTTGCCTCTGGTCCGTACCCTTTTTTATAGCCTATTCAAAATTAAGTCTTATTTTTCGTTGCACTATTAGCGAATTTTCAAAGTATACTGTAAATATATTGATGTAAAAACAAACTTTACTTGAACAGGATAACAACCGCGGAAAATAAAACATACATAAAATAAAACATGTAGCAGTGTGACCGTTGGATGACCAGATACCAGATGGAAAAAATACAAAATCATAGTTTCACAGTCGTCAGGTATCGACTGACCTCATCAGCTGTTCCAACTTGTTATTTAATTGTTTTTTAAAGAATTCTCAATTAAAATTGCCAAAAATGCTGCTGCGTAAATTGCTACCCGTTCGCTGTGGCTACCTGGCACGCCGCTGGGCCAGCTCCGATCCCCTCAGCCTTCAAAACGAGAAGCTGCAATCGTATTTGGAGTCACTGCGCCAGGAGTACTACGGCCTGCGCGTTAATGCTACCGGCAATAGCAGAGCGTATGAACGGCTCTCACAGCTAGAGGGAGTGGTAAATGCCCTGGAACAGAGGCGCGTTTTGGAGCGCAACATCACCAGTGCCAAGGACATAGAGCAGGAGAAGGACGAGGATATGCGCAAACTGATGGAGGAGGAGAACGAGGTCTACGCAGATCTGTTGAGCAAGCAGGAGCAGACCATGCTGCAAGAGCTGCTCGCCTTAGCCGATGACGAGGTCTATCCGGCGCTTATATTCGGAGTGAATGCCGGAGCCGGCGGGCAGGAGGCCATGCTGTTTGCCCAGGAGCTCTTCGAGATGTACACCAGCTACTTTGAGCACATGGGCTGGGAATACGAGGAGTTTGCCCGCGAAACGACCGACATAGGAGGCCTGAGGCATGCCAATGTCATGGTCAATGGTGCAGATGCCTTCCATTGGCTTCGCTTCGAGGCGGGCGTCCATCGGGTGCAGCGTGTCCCCGCCACAGAGAAGGCCGGCCGAATGCACACGAGCACGGCCTCCATTACTGTGATTCCCAGACCCGCCGATGTCCATGTTCACATAGCTGAAAAGGATCTGAAAATCGAGACGAAACGCGCCAGTGGAGCAGGTGGGCAGCATGTGAATACCACCGACTCGGCTGTGAGAATTGTCCACCTGCCCACTGGCCTGGCCGTGGAGGCACAATCGGAACGCTCCCAGCTGAAGAACCGCGAGCTGGCCCTGAAGCGTCTTCAGGCGCGGCTTGTGCAGCAGCAGCTGGAAAGCTCAGAGGCCAGCAAGCAGGCTACAAAGAAGGCGCAGCAGGGCAGCCTCAACAGGAACGAAAAGATTCGCACATATAATTTTGTGCAGGATCGGGTCACGGATCACAGGATTCAAGGCGGAACACTCCACAATCTGGATGGGTTCCTGAAAGGTGGGGAGTCGCTCAGTGGGCTTGTAGAGAAGCTTCAGCTGGAGCACCGCAGATCTCGGCTAAGAGACCTATTAGAGGCGTGGCAGCCGCCACAGAAGGCAGCTAATAAAGATTAAAGATTAGAGCACATTGTTAGCCTAAATTTGTTGATGTTTAATAATAAAAAAGTTACACAAAATCATAATTTAACTAACAGGTGCCCTATCTCAACCAACTCTGGCCCAATCAGCCGCACTGCCGATGTGCAGTAGATGCTCTCTAACAGCCGCCTCCAAAATGTCGCGAATCTCCCGACAGCCAGCCATTGCCGTCTCGATGACGGTCTCCAGATGGTCAATGTGAAAGCGTTCGCTCATCTCGAGGAAGGCGATCTTCTGGGCATTGGGCAGTGCAGCCACGGTGAGCATGGGTCCGCCGGAAACCTCTTCAGTGTGTGAGATGTCAGTTAGGGGAATGCTGCTTTTGCTCAGCGAGGCCGTGCAAGCTACAATAAACTCATTCAGGCAAATGCCGGCATCGATCAGGGCCAGGGTGGCGGCATTTAGGGCAACCGCATAGTTGGCTCCATCTGCTTGCAGAACCTCCACGTAAATGTCAATCTGTGAGCGTGGATACAGCTCGGACTTAATGGCCGCACTCAGCGCCTGTTCTAAGTACATTTTGAACTCCAGGGATTTCCGATCTCCTCGCGGACGGTTCTTTCTCTCCGCCGTAGCGAATGTGGCCTGGCTGTACTGGCAGTTGATGATGACATCGTTGGTCTCCGTTTTCATACCTTTCGCTTGATGGGGTCCATATACAGCGGCCAAAACTTTTGTGTTTCCTTGTTCCATGTAGGCGCTGCCGTCGGGCTGCTCGAACACGCCCAATTTACACTTGATGTGGCGCAATTCGTGGGGTCTCCGGCCATCCAGGCGCAGACCCTGTTCGCTGAGTAACTCAAAATTACCGGCCATAGGTTTTAATAGAGCTAAACAGTTTATTTCAAAAATGAATTGCGGCACGTGTGTGCCTTTTTGTTTACAACCACAAAAATATACCGTCAGAAATATACCGAAACATACCGTCTCATTTAAAAAATATACCGTAAATATACTGACGAATTCAAGTTCTATTTTACATATTCTTCGTTTTTGATCTTCCGTGGAATATTACCAGCTATATAGAACATTTAGCCATGCCAAATGTTCTTAATATAAATTAAAACACGTTTGTTACGTTTATATTGAGAAACAATTTTTTTTATCGGTATATTTGCGGTATATTTAGAACAAAACGGCGGTATATTTCTGAGGGTCGGACTGTATATTTGATTGATGAATCCGCGGTCACACTGATCCTAGCTACCTAAATATAAAAATAGTTACACCAAAAACAAAAAAGAATACAATTTTTGAAATATAAAGAGTTCTAGTGTACTAAGAGTTCTAAAAAGTGCGCACTCGACTACCCACTCACAACTATGTCAAAGTCCAGCGCAGGTATGTACAAAGCAATGTAAAACGAGTGCAAGCCAAGAGATGGCCGCCTCTGGTTACACACGAAACCAAAATAAATACAAGCAGACGGCATATTTCGAATTAACCAAGATTTTGTCTACTCACAGCACGTTGGGTGAAGTTCTTCAATGCCGCTGGTATACCATCGCCAGCGGCCGCCGATTATGCACATATGTTCGTCGAGAATCGGATTCAGGAGGACATGCTCCTGGACCTGAACAAGGAGTACTTGCGAGAAATGGGGATAACGCTGATGGGTGATATAATAGCCATATTGCGGCATTCGAAAAGCGTATGCGAGCAGAATGCCCGAGATCTGGTTCTTACGCTCGATACCAATCCCATACCACTGGCCTGTGTGACTACCTCACCCGTTGTTAAGTCGGTGGCTGCTACAGTGTCGATTGGGCCCAAGACGAAGGCCTCGCCTCCCAAAAAGCCGGCAAGACGAGTTCTTCCCGAGCATGAGGGGAAATATAAGGTAACACTACCTTCGGGAACCACAGAGCGGAGCAAACAGATTCTGGCCAAGCGGGAGAAGTGTGAGTCTCGCGAAACAACCCATTACAAAAGACGAGATTCTACTTTTTTCATGTATTTTCAGTGTATTCAGATCGCGTGAGCAGCTCAAAGAAATCGGACATCTTCTCACGCCTGAACAAGCCGGCCGTAAGTGACGATGAGGCCCAGGAAGGCATTGTGTCCAGCTCGGGCGAAAGCAGCGTCCGGGTGCACATCACAGGAATCAAAAAAGCAGCAGATACCTGCAGCAACAGTTCGGTCTTTGCGCGTCTCGGCGGAAAACATACAAATGATGCAGCCCAGGCCACGGGCACGTTGACTAAGGAAATAAAATCGATTTTGAAGAACACACAACGCTCCGTCGGAGGAGTGACTATGAATTCGCCCATAGTCAAGGCGAAGAGAATTGCTTCGACTGCTGTGCAGCAGCCGCAGCAGAAGGTGATGCTCGTCCACAAAGTGCCCCTGAAGAAGGGTGACGATAGTGAGGCCGACAGCATGAATAGCGACGATGATATTCAAGAGGCATACGATTCCTCCGATGGCAGTGACGTCGAGATGTCAGGCGGTGAAAAAATTGTTAAATTCGCCTCGACTGCGGAGGTTAGGGAGATCGCACCACAATCTGCTTACAAAGCAAAGCACGGCAAAAACCTTGCCAATAATATCAAATCGCGGCTGGGAATGGGTAAGTCATGTCCCAATTGGTAATCCACTTAAATTAATCCCTTGTTAAACATTCTAGTGTCGAAACTTCATGCGACAAAGAAGACGTATAATCTGAAGGCGTCACCTTCGAAGAAACCCCAGGCTCGCATCAGTCCCGTCAAGGGCAAGACCATACGTATGCGCAGCGACGAGCTGATGACCCGCCAGGAAACACTGTCGGTGCACAAGAGATTAGGCAGTGGCCTTGCTGCAGTTCCTGCCAAAATGGCTCCTCCGCCCGTTTACCGTCAGTCGCGACCAGAGCCGCAGAAGTACGTCCCCCCACGTCGTCACAACAGCATGAATGCAGGCCGCAACAAGTCACGTCCAGCATCCAGCTCCGTCTTTGATCGATTGGGCTTCAATAACTCTATGTAATATAATGTATGCGTGCCTCAGAATTGTTTAAGTTCTTCGTCTTTAGTTAACCAGTAAATATTTAAAAGAAATAATCATGTAGTCATCTTATATATAATGCAATTAACCGAAATTGTAGTATTGTTTTTGGCAAAAATATCTGTATGATCTTTCTCTAGGATATTTCTAGTCCTTTTGGGTATGAAACTGGATAATTCCAAAACTATTATGTATTGCGATCAAATTGAAATCTTGCAAAATATCACCATTGTTATTTGTTTGAGATTATTTTCGTGCAAATCTATTATTTTCAAATCATCGAGAAGTCTGCATCCACTATGTAGTGGATTATGTAAAAGACTAGATAGAATTCACCTATTCCCTCTGTTGCACCTTTCCAAATGAAGAACAAAGAAATCATTTAGTTACGATCTTCAATTTATTAGTTATGTTAAATATAGCTGCTATATACAATTATGGTTTGGTCTAGAATCTAGAGTATCATATCCATTTAAATAATTTGCAAAGGCTTTGTATGTACAATCTGTCTGCGGGCACTTAAAGTTCTATATCACTGGTTGCTAGGCAAATCACTCCGTTCGTTCCTTTCAATTGTATTGACCATCCTCTGCCTTCCGCTCACTGCTGCAGCAGTGCTTGTAGGGCCTGACGCCATTCCACTGGCCAGGTGCTGGCATCAGGATTGATGCTAAGCAGTTGGCGCATTTGGAGTACGGCTCGTTGCTTCTGCAACATGTAGGCGTATAGCATAGGTGATGGAGTTGCAGTGGGAGTCGCCAGATATTGGGGCTGCTGCGGTTGGGGGTACGGGTACGAATGTGTGTGCGGATGCTGCAACTGTGGTGGAGTTGTGGGCGGCGTGGGAGGCAAAGTATGCTGGACCTCTCGCTCCGATTCCTGGCGACGTTTCCGCGGTGTGTTTTCGCTTAAGGCATATGGCCGGAACAGAGGCGTGCTTGTACTTGTGGTGGTGGTACCGCTGCTGCTCTTCTTGCCAAACTTTTTGTGCGTATAGTTGGACGTCTTAAATTTCTTGTGCGTGTAAATCTCCTTGGCGTCCGCGGAGTCGCCTCCGATGGTCTGGTAATCCAAGTTTGAAGGGGCCATGATGTGGTTGATGATTTTTGTTCGAAGTGCGTAGTTCAGGATGCTGTTGTCTTGTTGGTGGCTAAGGCTCGACTGTGTTGTTGGCCACTGCGCAACATTCCTTTATATAGGCGCTGGGCGCTGGCCGGTTGGGCTCTGCTACCTGTGAGCCCGGATAAATTATAATTAAGGTAGTGTGCGCCTTGTTTATGGGAAAATCTTCGTTGACAAAAGGTTGCCATTGTCGTAGAAAGAAAAGGATTTCGTGAGCAACACCTACTACCTACTGCGAACAATGTCCGTAGTCGTGGATGAGCAGGTAACACTAAAGTCCTTTGTAATTAATTTTTCATTTGCCGCACTCGGCTCGCACCTTCTTCTTGGCCGGAATGTCTTCTGCCTGCTGGTCCTGTTCTGTTTTTCCAAGTATTCTCTTTCGAATATTTCACTAGAACAATCCCCTACCTAGAAACAACAGCGCCTGCGCTTGCCACTCTTTGATGATTCCCAATGTCTCCATGCGCATAGGAATAGAAATCTTATCTCGCTTACCGCTAATCTGCCTCATTAAGTTCTGGCTTGGGCTTGGGTTCAGATTCTGTTTCTGTTTCTGGCCCTGGCTCTAAAGAGACTCTGCTGCTCATTGAATGGAAATTTATTGGGTTTTCCCGAAATGTTGCGTGTCTGTCTGGCAGCCTGAAGCACTTTCGAGATCGTTTGAGAGCGCACAAACACAATATATGTATATTATTTGGTATGTTAGTTTAAGATGAAGTTTGAAACCAGATATTAGACAGCGATAAGGATGATTCAATCGGAGAAATGGGAAGAAAAAGAAAAGAGTTGGAGAACTTTAGATTTATACAAGCATAATTTACAATATTTATTTTTTATTAAATGTACATCTGGTGTTTGTAATTATATGAAACAGGGTACAATCAGGTCTCAGGTGTGATTTCTAAGAATCAAAGATGGAGCAAACTTTCTTTATTTACCTTTCCCATCCTTAGGCAGATCGGATTCCCTGAATATCCTCCTGGGAAGAAATGTACATAGTACACATTCAACTCTCGGATTCAATATTGTACAATGCGCCACATATATTTGTATCCTCAGATAAAGCACTTCCTGGTAGGTGTTTGACAATTGTATCCTTCTACCGAGGTCATTCCCCCTGTAAAGCATACATAGGTACATATGTAAGACAGAAAGGAAGAGGAAGCATCGGAGACTACCAAAATCGATTCTTTCCGTTACAGAAGAGATGGCAATTGATCGATATGATAGTGGAGCACACAATCAAACAATATAACAATCTTTCACTGTAATACTTGAAAGTGAACAAATAACAATCCCAATCCTGCACATTCACTCGACATCTTGTCGAGGGCTGGTCTCAAGCCCACCTGAAGTAAATCCGCTTAGGGAGTGTGGAAAAGAGATGCAGACAACCATCTCTGACTGCATAAATCAATTGACAAAGGGCATTGAATTGAATGAAACTGGAATCCGACATAATTCCAGAACAGAGGGAACATTCAGTAATAGTCGAACTTCTCGGATCTGAACGGTGAAAGACGATTTTTCAGCTGGCCAAGCTGAAGTCATAAATGCGTGTTTGCCAGATCGGTTTCGGGAACGGGACTGTGACTGTGTCTGTTTCGGTGTCTGCTATTCAGGTGACACAAAGGAAGCCGAAACAAAAGCGGGTCAGTAGACAGCATGGCCATATTGAGCGCCAGGATTACACAGATCTGATCCGATCTTATCCCATCCCCTGCCCATGGTCACAACAGGTAATTCCGCCGAAAATGTCTGGCGATGTAAACAGCCCAGAGGGTAGAGCGGGAGGGAAAAAGAGAGATCTGAGTAAAAGGACAACAACTGGTTTATGACACCCCAAGCCGAGTGGAGTGGAATTGAATACCAGCCGGCGGATTAGGGCCAAACTAGGGACTCCCTGGCCAAGACCATTACCTGGTCTACCTGAGCCGATCGTGGTGATTAGTTCGGGCCATCTTTGAGAATGAATGAACTTTGATTGGGAAATACCTGCACGGACGGTTGGACGGGTACGGGGACGGGGACAGGGAAGGGTGGGAAAATCTCGTGGATTTGCTGGTAGCTAGACGTAGTGGGAGAAGGAGGCCTTCTGATTACCTATTATTGCATAAAAGTGGCCGCCGGGAGGAGGGGCAGCACAGTCGTCTCACCGACACTAAAGCATACACACCTCCCAGTAGAGCACACGAGCAATTCAACCACCCACAGCCTACCATGGAAAACTACAACCACAAGAAATTCACAGGAGCCCTGAAGCGGAAGCGGTGCCAGGAAGAGGAGTCCGACGACGATGTCGTCTTCATTATGGAGCAGTGCGGCCATCGAACCCCTGAGCAGCCGCAGCCCAAGCGCCGCTTCTTCCGGCCCTGGCTGGACGAGTCGTTGGCCCAGGAACAGGAACCCCAGCCGACACGGACCCGACAATCCCATCCCGGTAGCCCGGCTAGCCCACCCTTGGTGGATGCCACCTCGACGTACCACGCCAACATGGTGCGCTCTCACACTCCCCGGCAGCGCAGTCCCCAGGAGCAGCTGCGTCGGGACCGCAACACCTTGGCCAGTCTTCGCCACAGACGCTCCAAGCAGCAGGAACAGGCTCTCATGGAGCAGCAGTACTTCGAGTACCGGCGACAGCACGAGGCCAATCTGCAGCAACAGGTCCGGCTAAGCCTCTACTACGTGAGGTTCCTGCAGCAGACCATGGCCGCCACCAGAGAACCTCTGCAGGCTTCCAGCCATCAGCAGATGCCTAAAGCCCAGACAACGACTCAGCATTCTTGGGGAGTCCATAACTAATTTTAGTCGTTGCCGTAGTCCTGTATTTGTAACTTACTTCTAGTCCCCTTGTGATTACTTTTAAAGTTTTATTAATTTGATTTGTTGACAAACAATATATGAACAAAATTGTTACTGAAATTATTTCAACGTTTTTATTTTATTTTGAGAATTGATTATACCTCCTGAAGAGGATCCTAAGAAAGGTTCCTGTATAGTTTATTGGATGGAGAATATATTTATGTATCTGACGAGTATTTACATATTTGGCTGGAGACACCATCACTTTCGATTGATAGATAAGTAATTGTCTTCAGTGTAAACACAAGCCATCTGTTTTCAATACATCATTCTATATATCTATGCTAAAAAGATACAAAAATGAACGAAACGCGGGGGAAACTCGAGAAATGACAACGAAATTCAACAGACTCTATAATTCAAATTAGCTATCTTTATTAGGTGATTTATTCAAAATATTGTCTAGGAAACTAAATTTGAAATTGAAAATTCAAAAACTACCACTCATAAGTTAAGTCTTTACTGACTTTTATTTTTTTTATTGAAATGTATGTATATTATACTGGTTATTATTCTATTATACTGGTATACTGGTGATCATTACTAAGAGTGACATAATTCTAGGGACATTAATGCCAAATTACAGAAGAATATATATTAATTAGAGACAATAGAAAAGATTTAACTTATGAGAAAATCCGCATTGCAATCAAATTACCATTTTCTGAAATACTTGTAATTGCTCGAGCGATGATCATTTCCAGAGCATAGAATCATGAGCGAAGATCCGGTTTGTCGTTGACAAAACCCGAATGAAATCACCGTCGATGACACTATAAAAATAAAAAAATGCACCCTAGGTCGAACAGAATATGGGGTCATCGTAGGTAAGAACAATATTTGAATAATACTTAATATAATAAAAATAAATAGCATTTACCATATACATACATATGTGAACTTTTATTGTGTTTACACGTAAGTTTCGCAAATCGGGGTGAACCTATCCCATGGGATCTTCAATGTGCGCATTTTCTTCACTGTTTGTGTTTGTATAATAACAAATTAGTATTCCGAATGTCAGGATATAAAAAAAATGTTCTGTACGAAATATTATTTATTAATAATAGATTTCAAATTGGGCGCTAGTAAACTTTCTTCGTGCGTGTATGAAAAATCTCGTTCTGTGGTATGTGCCTGGAAACACAGCCCACCCACTACTACGGGGCATACTAGCTGTAATTAAAATCCGATGTCGTAATAATTATAAGGGTTGTAACAATTATCCAGACGTCAAGTATCGCTACACCAAATGGTGGCCACCAAGTGTGCTGTACTCTATGAGTAAAAAATATTTATATGTAAATATGTCAGGAAAATAAAGATCGAAGAAAGTTAAAAGATACTCAGCTATAGGGCTGTGAACTTTCAACGGTAGTTAGTTAGTTAGTTAGTTAGTATTTAGTCGGCGATAAAATCTGGTCATAAAATATGAGTGTGATGTAAGTTGTTTGTTTCGCATATTGGTGTCCGTATACTCGTATGTATGTAAAACGCACATATATGGTTACATCACTGAATCTCAGAGGGGCTAATATATTGCTGCAATGAAATACTTTTTAGAATGAATATTCATAGGAATATTTTGGAAGGTATGCAATTAAAGAATGATGAGGAACACGCCATATTTAATGAAATGGGTATGATATTTATCACTGAAGGATGCATTTATCCGTGATCAGCATAAACAGTTTGGAATATGAAACTTTGCATAAGCCGATCGCCGATCTGACTTAAGTACATGTACAGTATCTAAGAGCCGGAACCACCAGGATCAGATCTCATATACATAATGTATTTAACGAAAACATCGACTGAAAGCTCAATATCTGAAGTAAACGAGGGGGAGCGTGGTGAGTTGCTGCTACGGCCGCTACTCTAAATGTATACCCGATACATAGTCAGTATGGCTCTCCTCCGCCAGACAGCGCGTTAATTAAACGACAAAGAGTGCGTGCGAGGGAGGCAGAAAATCAGTCAGAGCTTGTCGTCGGGCACTGGGTAGCCACTGAATATTGATTTGTTTCGGATTCGGCCATCTGGTAGATATGGTCATTCTCTATTATTGTGCGTTTTTATTTTGTGGATGCCACAGATTTTCGTCCTTTGTGGGGCCGAATGTTTAAAATACACTCATCACAGTAAGATTAACAGGCGTGATCATACCAAATTTTGGGTGATCCAGTCTTAATAGCCTCTGAGATCTGTGGATGCCACAGATTTTCGTCCTTTGTTGGGTCGGAAGGGGGTGGGCGAAATCTCGAAGTACACATTTGCAGGTTCGATATCACAGGAGTGTGGATACCAAATTTGGTTGCTCTAGCTCCTATAGTCTCTGAGCACTAGGCGCTCATAGGAAAGGACAGACGGAAAAACGGACAGACAGACCAGGCTCTATCGACTTGGCTATTGATGCTGATCAAGAATATATATACCTTATGGGGCCGGAAAGGCTTCCTTCTGGACATTACACTCATCCATTTTCACTACAAATCGAATATACCCCTTTACACATTTTAAGTATCTACAAAAAACTTTATCGCGAGGGTATGTATGTATGTATTTTTTCATAGCTAAACCAAATCAACTTACTTATCGATCTGAAATGGGATGGAATGGAAGCGCTTTACCTGTACTGATGTTAGTGGAAAACTATAGATAGATCCGTTTGATCATAAATCATATCCTGGATCTCAAGAAAACATGAGGGTGACTTACCTTATGGCATTTCCTAAATGCGGTCGATACTTTTGGAATTGTCAACCCCAAGAAAATGTGAGTATAGGCCCACAGGGATTTTCACAGAATTAAGACAAAGTGCGGTGGAGATGTCAGACCTGAAGCAGAAAGGACAGGCCGGAGGACCACACACGGCAAATGGCGTCAAGTAGCCCAATAAAAATACCGCTGTGTATGTGTGCATAACGCTTGTCGAAAACTTTCCTGTTCCGGTGACAACATTTGGTCGGTCGGTGGATGGTAATCCTAAAAAGGAATAATTAGGCAAGGCCGAGGCGACAATTAGCGAGAACAGGTCATAAAAAAGATACCCTGATCCACACACAACGATTACCTAATAGAGATGCGCTAATCCCTTTGTTGACAGACCCAAAATCAAATGGTATCGCATCCCTTTTTACCTGTTCCGTGTATAAAAGCAGGACATAAGGGCAGGGAGTCAACCATTCACTCAGCAAACAGCAAGCGAGCAGCAGCATCATCAACCGACATGGATAATTCTACGACGACCTCCAGCTACACCCACAAGAAGTTTTCCGCCAAGCGCAAGCTGGAGATAGACCAAGGCCTGGACTCGAACACGGATAGTCTGATGTACCAGGGGAAGCCAGCCGCCAAGCGCCGCCAAACCAAGGCACTCTTCCGCCCCTGGCTGGACAAGAACAACGATCAGAACACTGAGGCATCCCCACCAACAGCCGGTCCACCAGAGTCAGCTGCTCCCGCCTTGGGCCCCACCTGCAGGCCGACACTCGCTGAGACGCCCCGCCAGCGCAGCCCCCAGGAGCACCAGCGTCGTGATCGCAGTCTCCTGGCCAGTCTCCTCAGTCGCCGGGCCGAGCAGGCACAGGCGCAGTACCTCGAAAATATGGCCAAGCTGGAGCAGCAGGTTCGCGTGAATCTCTTCTACCGTCAGCTGTTACGGCAAGCCGTTTTCCAGCGAGGAGTGGCCGCCCCGAACAACCTGCTGCCACGGCAGCAACAGCAGTTCCTCCAGCAGATGGCTCTCTCCCAGCAAATGCTCGTCTTTGGAGCACAGCACTGATATGGGCGGAGAGGCCAAGAGGAGAGATCTATATTGACTATGGACCATAATGTGATTTAGACCATTAATGTGATAGCCCTTGTTTTTTTATTGAATAAAAAAATCTGTAAGCAATTATACTTTTTCGGTGTTATGGACAGCAGTGCTGTGAAGTTTAAGGGGCGTGGAAAAGGTCAGCGAAATAGTCGTAGCACTGATTAAAACTCTGTCAAATGTATGCGAGGGTAGGACCTAGAAAGTGGTCACAGTTTTACTCTAAATTATTGCTTATAAAGTCAATAGACTGTTAAAGAAACTTTATACTTAACGAGGGGGAACGTTGTGAGTTGCTGCGGACACCGCAACTCTACAGTTATACCCGATACTAAGTCAGTATGGCTCTCCTCCGGCAGACGCCGCTAATATTAAACGACACGACAAAGAGTGCGTGCGAGAGAGACAGAAAATCAGTCTGAGCGTGACGTCGGGCGCTGCGTAGCCACTAAAAATTGATTTCTTGCTTTTGGCTACAAAAATGATCCGATCTGATCCAGATTCGGCAACCGGATAGATATGGTCGATTTTGCAATATTGTGGATGCAACAGATTTTCGTCCTTTGTGTGGGCGGAAGGGGGTGGGGCGAAATTTTGAAACAAACTCGTCTCGGTCCGATATATTAGGAGTGTGGATACAAAATTTGGTTACTCTAGCCTTAATACTCTCTGAGATTTGTGAATATCCCCAGATTTGCATCCTTTGCGGTGGCGGAAGGGGGTGTGGCGAAATTTTGAAACAAACTCGTCTCGGTCCGATATATTAGGAGTGTGGATACCAAATTTGGTTGCTCTAGCTTTTATAGTCTCTGAGATCTAGGCGCTAATGTTTTACTCTAAGCAAAGCCGCCTATGCTACGTGTGTGTTAGAGAGAGACAGGGCGAGAAAAAATGAAATTGTTTTCTTGATGCTGGCTATAATAATAATACGATCCAATTCAGATTCTGCAGTATAAAAGATATGGTCATTCTCTACGATTCTGCGTTTTTGGTTTTCTCGTATCTTTAAAATTGTGGATGCCACAGATTTTCGCCCTTTGTGGGGGCGGAAGTGGGCGGGGCAAAGTTTTGAAATATTTTTGTAGCAGTGACATATCACAGAAGTCTGGATCCAAAACATCGTTGCTCTAGCTCTTATAGTCTTTGAGCATTAGGCGCTGAAGGGGACGGACAGACGGACGGACGGACAGACGGACAGACGGACAGACAGACATGGCTCAATCGACTCGGCTATTGATGCTGATCAAGAATATATATACTTTATAGGGTCGGAAACGATTCCTTCTGGACGTTACACACATACACTTTTACCACAAATCTAATATACCCCAATACTCATTTTGAGTATCGGGTATAAAAAGAATGTAGACCACCAGCTGAAGAAAGTGTTGGTCCCACATCTATTTGGGGTATAATATTATATTCGTAACAGAATTTTTTTCCAGCTTAAGATAGATTTGTTTCGATAGATCTTTCTCGTATTTAAGCTGTTGTTTGTCATTGCAATACGGCTAAGTAAAGTCCGATTAGGTAAAGTTCCTCGCTAAAGAGAACATTTAGCTAAAAATTAGTTTTCGAATGTATATTATAACTGTCTTTAGTCACACTTGGATAGATATTTCTTGAGAACAATTAATTTCAAGTAATTACCCGACAAAGTTCAGCGAGCTAAGTCGAGCTCAGTTTCACAATATGCTCATGGGGGCTTTCCAAGGTTCGGCAAACCACAAAGAACAACAACGTTTTGGCTGAAACGAGCTTTCGGCATTCGGCATTCGGCTTGAGCCGCCTGATGCAATGGGCCACAAATATTGACAGAGGGCTTGCTGGGATACGAGGGGTTCGTGATATGCTAACAGTTTGTGGGGTCTCCGGGTGCGAGCAAAGCTTCAAGTTCAACTGAGATGCGAGACAAAGTTTTGCAACCGCAATACTCGAGGTGCAGATGCAATTTTCAATGTTAGCCAGGCCATAGGCAAAGCCATAGCCGGAGAGCCAAAAGAGCGAGCCGAATACTGAAATTGAAGAGAAAACCGAGCCCCAGCAAAATGTTGGCAATTAACTGAAACCTGAGGTTTGTTGGCATGGTACAAGTGCAAAGTGGTTTATTGGGTTGCCATGGCCGCGACGGAAATTTTCTGCACTTGGATTTTCCGCCGTCACCTGAAGCATAGGAAGTCGCGCTCTCGAGTATTATCAAATGGCCCACAATGAAAATTAAGAGCAATTAACTGCGCTGCGCTCGCTATGATTGCGCAATGGCCAAAAGAGTTAATTACGGCGGGCCAAACACTGGGACAGCGGGGACTTCCCCCTGGAGCATGAATACTGAAGTTAAGCAAAGTTTTCTCGTACAGACTGTGACACAGTTGGCTGCACCTTCGTCGTCCATGTCTCTAAATATATTTTCTGCCTCTGATCAGGGTGACTTCCTTATAGACTGTTGATTTTCTACTTGGTTAAGCATTATGCAAGTAGAGTTGAATGCAGGTTGACTGGGTAACTGTTGGATTGAGTGAAAGCGTCTTCTAATTTCTGTATACACAAAGGTATACATACATACATATGTATATTAAATGTAATTGTTAACTTTCTATGTTAATAAAAAACCACGACATTCTTAAAAGATTTAATTGTAATAGAGTTAAATATCTTTAATGATTATGTTTCCAAAATAAATGTGGTGAACACTTAGTTGCCAAAAACTATAATCATTGGGAGAAATCCATTTGTATTTTTTATCAGGGAGCAAGCTGTGTTCGGGAACACACATTCAGATCTCTCTCACTGAGATTTCCGGAAAATACAAAATAGAGGGCCAGCGACCAAAATGAACAGCAACGCTAAGAAACAACTCACCGACGTCAACGTATTGGGCGACCGCTTCTTGTGGGACATGGGCCGCCTCTGCATGAACGAGCTGTACTCGGACGTGTGGTTCCTTGTGGAGGATCAGCGCATACCCGCCCACCGCTTGATTCTGGCCGCGCGCAGTGACTACTTTCGTGGCCTGCTCTACGGAAGCATGTGCGAGTCAACGGAAACCGAAATTCGGCTGCTAGAGGTGCCGTTGGAGGCATTCAAGGTAATCCTGGGCTACCTTTACTCGGGCACTCTGCCAGTTTCCACACTGGACCTGGATTCCATCTTCAAGGTGCTCGGTGTGGCCAACCTTTATTGTTTGCTGGAAGTCGAGTCGGTCCTAGCCGATCATCTGAAACAGAATGTGGCCGTCGACAATGTGTGCAGGATCCTGGAGACAGCACGCCTATATGGATTTTCTGATCTGGCCGAGAATTGCTTCAAGTTCATGGACCGCGAAGCGTCCAAGCTCGTAAAGCACGACTCCTTCCAAATGCTCTCGAAGGAATTGCTTGAGGAAGTGTTGCCACGAGACACCTTTTATGTCCTTGAAGATGAATTATTCCAGTTTGTATGGGAATGGAGTCGCCAAAATCCGGATGTGGACATCAAGTCGTTGGTCCCGTGCGTACGTCTCCCACTCTTGAGTGCCAAACAATTGACGAATGCGGTAGGTCTCTCCGGCCTCGTCGAGCCGGGGAAAGCATTCGACACCAATCTTGCAGAGAATGTTCCCTACCGTTACGTATTTGTGGAGCCGGGGTCAAGTGTTAGACCGGAACGTATTCTTCGCAGCAATGTTTGGGACTTCGGCAAGATGTTTCGAGTTAACCAAATTAAGTGTATGCTTAAACCTCCAATCTGCTGCCACGTGGATGTCTCCTGCGATAAGACCCACTGGGAGCGGGTGGGAACCAACATAACAGCTATTATAAACTTCACGGCGCGTCCCGTTTACTACATTCGGTTCATTGGCTCAGGGAGTGGACGTCCAATTTGGAAATGTGTTAAGATGCTGACAGCCGGAAACAGCGGCGACCCGTAAGCGTGGGTCAGTCTGCTGAGGTCTGACCCCTTGTCCTTTAAATTTGCTTTTCCGTTTTACTCAAATAAATATATCTTATAGTACATGTACACATAACCTAGATCTGTAGTAGCACTGGTGACCTTCGGCTACGGATATTCTTTTATGCTTTATAAGATATGCTTCAGTAACTTAACTTTTGAATGCCCTTTCAGATCGATATGTATGATGTAGTAGTCCGGGTTTCATCAATGTCTAACGGACTCGACATTTCTAAACGTATTACAACAACTCCATTTCTAGCTAGCACACGAGTATATTTTTGTATAAATAATTTGGAAGCAAAGAACTCTTCTTAGAAGATGTTTCGCAATCAGTACGACAACGATACGACGGTGTGGAGTCCACAGGGACGCCTCTTCCAGGTGGAGTATGCCATGGAGGCGGTTAAGCAGGGAGCGGCCACCGTCGGACTTAAGAGTAAGGACTACGCGGTGCTCATTGCTCTGTGCCGCGCATCGGAGACGGAAACGATGCAGCCAAAGATTATGCCAGTGGATATGCACATGGGCATATCAATTTCAGGTCTGACTGCTGATGCCCGCTTAATCTGTCAGTATATGAGGACCGAGTGCTTGTCCTATCGGCATTCGTACTCCGGAATCATACCAGTGAACCGGCTGGTAACCAATCTTGGCAACAAGATGCAAGCGACCACCCAGCGCTACGATCGCCGGCCCTATGGTGTGGGAATTTTGGTCGCGGGCTACGACGACGCTGGATCGCACCTTTACCAAGTGATGCCCTCAGCGGTGGTCCTCAACTGCAAGGCCATGGCGATCGGTTCGCGTTCGCAGAGCGCTCGCACCTACCTGGAGCGTCACATGGACAGCTTCGAGAACTGCTCGATGGACGACTTAATTTGCCACGGTATTAAGGCCATTCGCGGCTCGCTGGGCTACGAGGAGAATCCATCCCTCGCAATAAATGTCGCCATCGTGGGCGCCAATCTACCATTCAAGGCCTTGGGCGACGAAGAGAATCATAAGTACCTCGAAATGGCTAAGGCCATAGACAACCCAGAAAAGGTAGCCGACGAGGCACCCCCAAGCGATGACGATCTCTTGGGCCAGGGCCCGAGTGCACCGACCGATGGCGAGGATGCTGACACCATTGCATCCACAGAGGACATGTAAATTCGAGAACATTCAAAATTAGTACCTGTTTCGTTGATTAGTTATTAAAATTATATGAGCGTTACACAATTGTAAGGCATTGAAAAACATACATACGAGTATGTGTCGTGTGTATTTAAGTTGTTGGTATAAACATGAAACACGCCATCCCTCCACTTGTGTTACACAATTCTATAGTTCCAATAATTCCTCCACTTGAGATCAGTGTATGTTAGACAAGACGCTTAGACGTAACTGCAACTTGCTTATATATCTAAAAAATCATAATAATAGTACCTTCTCCCCGCCACAATGAGAGGTGAGTGATGGATGTTTACGGCTAAGGCTCTTTTCATAATTGCTGGTTAAAGTTTTGTTATTATTCTGATCGGTATCCTTTGGTTCTGCAGCTTTTGGATCGGCACCTAATGGTGTGGGGATATCAGATGGACGAAGTGCATGAAGCAATGAACCAACAAAAGCCCGAGCAGGTGGAGTCGGTGGAGATTCTTGTCCAAAGACCAGCTGAGTACGAGTTTAAACAGATAGGCTTCCACGGGGAGAACCGACCCAAGTCAGGTGGCCCGCCGGAACAGTTTGCGATAGACAATGCTGCTTCTTTCACTTAAAAATAGTTCGAGGAAGCTTATGGTAATACTCCGAAAGCTGTTCGAGGGACTGCAACAGGAGCTGGAGGTTGTGGACCTGCGCCGTTTTGTTCAAGGCCGAGATGGAAACGGAAACGATGTTCGCTTATACGGCATGGACTACTTGGGCATTCAGAAAGCCTTCCAACAGGAAGAAGCCGAGTTCAGTTTGGTAAGTGGCCCAAACTGGTCTTGGGTGAGAAAGATTTGACATTTTACTAAGTTGAAGCTGAACGTCGATGGCATTAGCTTGAAGTACCATGGCCGCCCGATTCCAGTTCGGAATATAGAAGTACTCAGGCATGATAGCGTGAGAGAAACGAATCACTTCTTTGCCTCGCATCCTTTATTTTTCGCTCTCCTTGACGAGAGAAAGATTTATGCCACGGATCGATATGAATAGATTACGGTTCTACCTGATGACATATAAGTATTTCATTCGAATGAGATTTAAAACAATACCAAGAACTCCTAAAAAAAACAAAGTTTCATGGCTTAAATTTGTATTTCTTAATGAAATGTTTCTACAAGTAACAAAAACTACATGTTTTTCGCGTTGAATCAAAGGGATAGTATTATTATATGGGTTCTACTCATATTAAATTATATATAAAACTATAAAACTAAACCATTAATTTCACACGTATTCATTTCTTGAAGAAACTTACAAAATAACACTTAAAACAACCTTAAAGTAATGCTAAAATCAAATAATATAATCACACAGTGATTAGGGAGGAAGTGCTCTCAGGGTAGCTGCACTGCTCCCGCTGCATGGCTCCGATCAGATATTCGATGCTGAAGTTCTTCGCGGGCATGGGAATATTCTGAGGCTTAGGCGCGGCTGGGCTTTTCGTTTCCTTCGCCTCCTGCCTGACCAGCTGCTGGAGGTGATTCAGATAGACAGATGCTCGCATGCTCTGCTCGGCTATCTTCAGGTGCTGGCTGGAGAACTCGTTGTACTGCTCCTCGATGGCCAGGTGCTCGAGCTTCTTTACGCGTCGGCTCATGCGGCAGGCGATGGTGTTCTTGTTACGCCGCTCCTGATCCTTGGGCGTGCGCTCCTTTTTGGGAAACTTCCGCACCATGTTTCCGTGATACTTGCATATGTTTTGCAGAGCGGCAGCGCTGATCGAGGTCAGAGAGTGCGAGGATGAAGCGGATGAGGAAGTCGATGCCGCTGCGGTGGTTGATGTGTCCAGACGTCGGCGCTTGGCCAGCGGGAGAAAGGTGCTTCCATACTCACTGGAACTGAGGCTGGTGCTGTCCTCCTCCCACTCATCGTAAGTGCTGCGACTGCGACTGCTGTAGGGCGTTCCAGTGCGGGAGATGAGCTCTTCCTTTAGGAGAAGATCGGCTTTGTCTGCCGATCGCCCAAAATCGAACTTCTTGTGGCGGTAGATTTGACTGTTGCTCTCCGTGGACTGCATTCTGCCGATGATGTTCTGATCTCTATGTCACTTGATTGACTGATGACCCGTTGCCGCTCTACTTGTCTTATATGCACCCGCGTGGATGCGCTTATCACTAGTGCCGCCCCCTGTAATCCGCCAAGCCAAGCAGTTTATGGCTCTGTTTACACAAAATCGAGTAGAAATGTTTTTTTTGCAAAACACAAACAAGATCGTAAAATCAGTTGATTTGCCTGCGCCCGGCCTCTGCGCCTGCGCATGCATACGCACGCGTACGATCCCGCTGCATATGCGCGCGTCCCATCCCTTTCGCACAACCTATTTTACCTACCAGTACCAGTACCAGGGCAGAGCGAGACGACACCCGCTGCGCTGGGGCTGGGTCTCTGTGCATGTTTGTTCTTGTCAGCATTCTGTCAGATGTTTGGACGCCTGGACAAATTTGCTGGACAAATGGAATCCATCGTCCATCGTCCACTGTAGCCTGTCGCCTGTCGCCTGCCTCCGCCGTAGGTGGCAAAATGCGCGCCTATTGTTTGTCCGATGTACTAGACAATGCGATGTCCGATGCTCATTCAATTCGTGTTTGTTCCTCTTTTGCTGGTTATTCCGGGCTTGGCCATTATCCATTGTCGCAGCTTCTGTCAAAGCCGATTGTGTTACGAGTATTCTTGTTCAATTTTTCAATTTTTCGATTTGGTTTTTGCCCAAATGCATTTTGCGGCCTCATTTGTCTATCCTCTTTTGTCTTCGTCGCCATTGATAAGATATGTACTACTCTTATGTATGAATGTGTGTATGTGTAGAACTTCTGTGTGTTGTGCCTCAGTTATTTTAAAGGTTCCAGTTCTGGGAAACCGTAATGCCCCTGTCAGTCTGGAGTCTCTTGCAATAGATGCCGATAAGATGAGGTCTCGGAGGTTTGCCTTGGAATGACTTTTACTTGGGTTGCAAAAGGCAGACGAGAGTTGATAAGGTTTGAGATTGGGACTGGGGGTTGGGTGTCTCTCGTGTGGTAGGTCAGCGAATAGATCGACGTGGGAAATGGCGCGCTCTAGGAACTTTCTGAGAATGAGCGCAGACTGAGATAAGATATGCAATTGAAACTACGATGAGCATGGTGAGCACTGATTAGAGTTCTTGAAATACATAAATCTAGGTAGATAATTGTATAAAATAATAGAGTATATTTGAGCAATATATTATTTTATGGTATATTATAACTTTAAATTAAAATCAAATCAATTAATACAATTTCGTATTATAATTTCAATATTTCCAGGTAGATCTTTCCATATATGTATGCATTTAGAAATGTTGAGGGACTTTACCTGATTAATAAATAACCGCCACCCCGACAACTCAATGAAACCTTTAAATAATTATACAAATAAATATATTTATATCTAAACCAGTTTAATCTAAATTCAATCTTCCCCAATCCCTACATAACATGTTCCATTAAGTTAATTACTCCAATGCCCTTTGTGTTATAAGTGAATAGTTAGATTGAACACCAATTTCCTCCCTTTTTCAAATCCGTGTACCTTGTTTTGAACCCAATTCAGCTGCCAAACTCATGGTATTAACTTAATTATACACTTTTTAAAAAACTTAGAAGCTTCTACTTATTCTGGATTACGATGTGACGAGCTTGTGTGTGTCATACGTCAATTATCACTTCAAGCACGTGCCGAAGCTTCGACGCACTTTGGAAATACAATGTTCACGGGAAAATTCAAGTGCAGTTGATGTGCAATTGAAAATTTGAATTATGTACGAGAACCTTATCTATGAAACCTCTTATCTTGAGCAACTACCCGTAATTACATATGTATGTACACAGCTATGCATGCAAATGCTCTCAAAATATATGAATATACTGTGCACTCGTATGCAAGTTCGAATTGGGTGCTATCGGAAGCTACCATCGAAGCTTAAAAAAGATTACCAAAGATCATACAAATCGTAGCACTGCCATAAGAATGATCGTTGAAAAACCATATGTAGCTTTTAAAAATAATCTAAGAGTAGTTTTTATCTTTTGACACCAAAAGCATTAATTTAAACAAAGTTAGTGTACTACAACTATCTTAAAAAAATGTTATCAGTTGTGTAGCGCCATTTAATGATGGGGTGTACATGGCTTTAAATAAATACGTTTTCATGAGAACTATGTAACCTATAAAATTTACAAAGTAATTGCAGTGCTTGCTAAATTAATGGATAGTTTCCTCAAACAAGATGAGAGATTCTGTACCGCTGCAAATCTGTCGGTGATCCCAGAAAGACCTTTGTATAGTTGCCCCTACAATCGAGGAGTGACTAATCCCTAAACAGTGGAGGTGGAATGGATCCGAGTGCTGGGCAAACTAATTGAGTGTTTGTTTTAATCGCGTTACCCAGAAGCGAATCCATTCCAGTGCCACAGCGACACCGAGACTAAGATCTGGAGACGTCGGACCCCATGCAAGACGAGGAAACATCAAAAGCGGCTTCAAGCGCATCCGACAGCTGCCGGTAGTCGATTGCCGTTAGTTGGTAGTATTTGGATCTGATGGGGGTTGTCGTAGTAGTAGTCGTAGTCGTAGTCGCATCGGGTCGGTTTGGGTCGAGCCAAGTCGAGGCGAGTCGAATCGCATCGAGTCAAGTCGTTGGGTGATTGGTGGCTTCAACTTCACGACTCTGGGTGGGGATTTAATAATGTCGTTTGTATTTCGCTGCTGACTCTCTGTCAACGACAACGACGACGATCTTGTCGTCTGAATCGTCATTAGTTTCACGTACTCGTAGAGATGGGCATGGATGGGCAGTCACTGCAAAACTCCATTTCGTGCAAGCTTCGTGCAACAGCAGAGCTGCATAAGGGCGATGTTCTCTATATTCTAGAATTAAATCTTAAATTCAATTAAAATTATACACAATACATATTGATGTTTCATGCTGGTCAATTATCCTCGTGAGTCCATCCAGTCCCATCCCTAGTTCCAATCTGTGACTATTTTCGTTTCGCCGGCGAACAGAGGCATCCCGCCTCCACTTCCCCCTCCCAATCCCTATTATTTCGCTATTGTCGAGCCTCAGTGTTTGTGTTTGCATTGTCGTTTGTCTTTGCAATTTCGCTTCTATTGGATTTGATTTGATTTGCTTTCTGGCCATAAATAAAAGCCCCACTCCGATCGAAAGTCTCAGACGTCGATTCGCATTTGCATGGGCCAGGTTCCTATTCCTCCCCAGAAAGTAAACCAAACCGAAGAAAGAAAGAAAAAGTCACAGAGCTACTAGGAATTCATCACCAAGAGCTATCTATAAAAACAACCAAAGATTATGAAACTATTGTGGAATATCGTTTTGGTCGCACTGTGCGGAGTGAGTCTGGCAGAGGATTTCGAACCAGAGCTGCCGCCCGTTGAGTTCAAGCCCGTCCGAGAATTATGTGAGTGCTAAAAATAATATAAAAGTGTGACAAAAACTGTGCCCTGCCCACTAAATATTCCATTTGCGAAAAACACCTCTTTTGTGCCATTTATTTCTATATACTCTGAAATATAGTCTGAAACTTTTAGCCGTGTACTTTTTAGTTTAAAGAAGACACAATACAGTGCACAGATATCTTAGATTTTGTGCTCCAAGTGCTTGTGTCATTGAGAAAACCACACAAAATAATAACAACTTTAGCTGGTTATAGCCAATGGTTTCAGTAAAATCACAGATTGCAGTTTCTGTCATCTTCTTATATTTGTGTGGTCAGATTTGTGCAAATTTTGCGTATAATTTAGCAAACAAAACCATGAAAACGTGTTCGATAATAATATTCAGTAAAATGTTGAGAATGAAAATGCTTTACGCAGTGGTTAGGAAACAACTCTCGATATTGTGATGAGTCTAAGTATGGCTAGATAATAGTAACAAAGGATTAGTCTGGGTTGGTAATAGAGACGAATAAATAAGCTCACAAGGATCTTATATTTGAAAGTTTTTTATGAAGATTTCAATGTAGGATCAAATTAAAAAATTGATTTAAAGTGTGAACTAAAACCATCTCATTTTTCTGCCTAAGTCTTTGGATATTGCAATTTTATTTGGCTGGCAATTGAATACAAATCGTAAGAGGATTTCCTAGGGTTAAGTGTTTATCCTAAGTTGGACTTAATCCATTTGTCGCCATTGGAAGTAGGGACGCTTGATATATTATCTTAAAAGCTGTCGTATGTATTAGCAGATAAATAACGAAATTCAATAGAAGCGAAAAGATCGCCATCTCCTAATAGCAATAATCGTGTGAGGCACGCAACGCTTGTGTGAATTTTATAACAAAGCAATCAGCCTACTTAGGAGTCAAAGTTCAAACCGTTTTTCCTTAAAACAATGGCGTTGCACAATAAGTAGTTGTGGGATCGCAACAAAATGTGACAAATTCTATCGAGCTAAGCACACAGATTCTTATAATACTAGTATACAAAGAGTAAGATTCTATTTACTTTTATTGATTACCATAATTAATCCAGCTTTGTGCAATCTGTAAATGGTTTGCAAAGTGCCATTCAGTGGGTCTACAAGCAAACAAAATATATAATATCACGATTAGCATTCTGGAAGTGAAAGCCTTTGCATTTAGGGCTGAGAAGCTTATAAAAAATAATTGATGCCTAGAAGAGGGGAAATATGCACATAGTATTTTTGCATTAATGGGATACACGAAATGGTTTGTTTGGCAGTTTTTGGTTCATTTATTTCAAGTCTATTTTTGTTTGATTCAGATTTAGGTTCTATTTAGTTAATTTTGTATTGTCATGCTATTCATTGTGGCTAACCAAGTGGTTTTTTGTCATAAATATAAAAATAGAATCGTTTCGTTTGGACTGTACTTTGCCACTGGCTGGATTATTCGGCAGAGCCGGACAAGTTCGTGGCTTAAGTCTTTTGTGTGGTATTGCCACTTCCGACGGACGACCTTGTCCACGGCAGCGCAATGCAAAAAGTCTTAATTACAAGCGGAGTCGAGGCGAAACAAGCGCGTTGCGAACAACTGATGTATAGCCAATGCTCGACAGTACAGTAGAAACTCTTTTAATTGAACGTACTCGTAGTAATTCTCGTTCGGAACACAAGCAAAAACAAAAGCCAAACAGCAGATAAATTGCGCATGACGTTGACAATTATGTGAGCAGCAAAACGACGATTACGCAAACTGAAGCTGAAAATTCTCAACTGGAAAATGTCACGTTCTGAGCATAAGCGCATAGATCGTAAACGATATATCTAGCGTTTATGTGTGGCTAAATATGTCAGGGTCCGCCTAATCTCGTTCTAATCTGATTCGTTTGGCATTCAACAGCCGGCGATATACCGACCTGTCGGGAGAGCGATCTCAATATCAACGAGTGCATCAAGCAGGGCCTCCAGCTGATTACCCCTCGCATGAAGTACGGCATCAGTGAGCTGAACATTCCGCCGCTGGATCCTTTCGAGATGGGCAAAAGTTCCTACAGCTACAACTCGGGTCTGCTGCAGGGACGCATTGCCATGAAGAACGTGGTCGTGCATGGCCTCAGCGAGGGCATTGTGGACAAGGTCAACTTCCGTCTGAAGAACGGACAGGTGCGGATGGAGATTCTCTCGCACGTCCCCCAAATGCTGGTCGAGGGCGCCTACAAAGCAGACATCAAGCTCAACGACCTGAAGCTCACCCCAAAGGGCACCTTTAACGTCACCCTCAGTGAGTCCATTAAAGCTACCCTGCCCACAGCTAAACATTATATATAATTTATTTGCGTTTACCTGCAGCCGATGTCACCATGAGAGCGAGGCCCACCGGGGAGCTGTACGAGCGGGACGGTCACACTTACTTGCGTTTGACCAAACTGGAGACTGAGCCCAAAGTGGGCGACCTGCGTTTCTACGCCAACGGCCTGGTGCCCGATCCGGCTCTGAGTAAGCTCCATCGCGCCCTAATTACTAAAACCACTCTCTAAAACTCTTGTGTCTCTTGTGTGTGTGCAGACGATGTCATCTTGGACTTTATAAACCAGTACTGGCGGCAGCTCTATCAGGCCATGCTGCCCGAGACACTGGCCACCTGGCAGCCCCTGATTCTGAAGTCCTCAAATGATTTCTTTGCTGCCCTACCATTCGATATGCTGGTGACCAAGAATTGAGAGAATTCTTTGACTTAGCTACCCATTGTTGTAGTAGTATTTAAACACTTCGGTTCTATATGTTCAGCTCAAGGTGTTAAGATAGTTTGTATCGCAATAAAGAGTATCAAATCCCACGAATACTTGATTTACTTGAAACAAATCAATATTAACCGATCTACCAATGTATCGGTATGACCCGAAAGTCAGCCTACTAAGAATTCCTACTTTCATAGCACTATATTCATGGACACACAATACATTGAGGCAATAATAGATATATGAATAGATATAGCAAAAAAATAAAGAAATGTAGGTACCTACCACTAAACACTACCATGATTGTTAGTGCACTTGCTATCGTTTATAGAAAGTGATTAGCTTTCCCAGGAACTTGTGCTACCCAAAAGAAAGTTGGTTAGACTCGTACTTGCCGCTGACTGGCCTTGGTTGATTGTATCGACGCTTGTCCTCATCGAATCAGTTTGGCTGGAGTTAATTATCGTTGAATCTTTTATCACATGCCTCTAGTTTTGATTGTACAAATTCAGTATGGACGTACATCTCTTTGAATTTAATTATGTGCGTTTGCTTGATAATCGTCCATAATATTTCTATAACAAGACTAGATGTTGTGGTGAATAGGCCCAACACATCGACTGTAGAACACAATATCCTTTTTATTTTATTTGCATTATTATTATATAAAACAAACTTAATTTAGATATCCACTTATACATTTCCGAGACGAACGGAATGTGGGTACCCTAACACGATTAAAGGGTATAGCTTTCTTGCATTAATTTTAAACGAGATCTGCTCGACAATAATTAGGGATTAGGTACACTGAACAAATCGTTTGAAATTACGTGACTAACTCTAGAATTGGCATACAAATTTAATTTATATTTAATCTTACGTAAGCCCGGCTATACCTAAACACTAACCAGAAAGATCACTGCATACAATAATTAAATATTATACATAAGTACTTGAACACAGCTTGAAGCACTACACGAGAATAAGCCAGAAGCCAAATTTCAGAAAACCAGCTCTATGGCGGCAGTAAGTCAGAAGTCTGTTGCACAGTGTAACAATTCATACTCGTACAAGTCAGAACTCAATGGAATATATGTACATATGTATGACACATGTAAGTATCTCCGTTTCTAGGGCGAGCAAAAAGTACAGTTCACAGTGGAATGGTGCATATCTAATTGAACATTTATACGGAAATGACTCACTGAAGCACTGAAGCTCTCTTCAGGTTTAATCTTCGACCAGGCCCTTCGACGGTGTCGTCAAAAAACTATCCTAGGGCATGGCCAAAATAATTCATCCGTGATAAATAGGAATAGGTAATTATTAAAATGATTTGTCGCAAATCATCGTTGTCGTAGGCTATTATATTTTCAATAATTTTACCATTTAATAATACGACATTATAAATCAGGGGGACGGAGCCGGTTTTGCGATCAGTCAAAGTCTAACTGTCTGCCCGATAATGCTCTGCTGATTTACAAGTAAAATGTACTCAGTTTAGTACGAGCTAAGCGGCGCTCTAGTCTACAGTCTCCAGTCTCCAGGCGATAGTCTCTGACTAGGAATGTGCAGCGTTGTGCTAATTTTGAGATAAAATAGCTCGACTTGGTGTCTGAGAGATTCAGTTGTTCGCAAACGTTCTAGCCGCAAGTTTGAACAGCCGATCAGGCATAGAACGGATATACAAAATACACAGAATCTACAAAATATATTAACAGATCATCGAAATGCAATACGTTATTGGATTGCTGTGCCTGGTGGCTGTAGGAGTCAATGCAGCTCCCGCTGCTAGTAGTAAATACTTTTCGGGTGTGTACAATTTTCCAAGACACGAGAGTTTGCATTACTCGTTATCGGCTTTCCACAGCGAACGATTTGCCGAAATGCTCAACGGACGAGGACAAGCTTGGGGAGTGCATCAAGGAGATATTCAATACGGTGACGCCTCGTCTCAAGGACGGCAATCCCGAGCTGAAAATCCCGCCCTATGAGCCCTTCCATCTCAACCGCACGAGCTTTCAGTACTCCAGTGGGACTGTCAACGGCCGTATCACCGTCCGGAATGCCAAGATCTACGGATTCGCGGCCAACACCGCCAAACAAGTGAGCATCAAGGTCAATGGCGACAAAGTCAAGCTGCGCCTGGTCACCTACATGCCCAAGATGAACATTGTGGGCAGCTACAAGGCCGACATGCAGGTGAATCAGCTCCAGCTGAAGCCCAAAGGCGAATTCAACGTAACGCTGAGTGAGTGTGGTTTGGGTTTCGAGTTGGGCTTGGGCTTGGGGCCTTTCTAATTGACTTGATTTTTCCAGTGGATGTGGAGACGACCACGTTAACTGAAGGAGAGCTGTACGAGAAGGACGGGCATCGGTTTTTGCGCCTCACCGGCATCGATACAAAGCCAAAGATTGGAGATTTGACCATCAAAGCCAATGGAATTTTCCCAGATCCAGAACTGGGTGAGTTTACCCGCAGTGATAGGAAAATAAATATCATTACAGCGAATAAATCAGTTGGAATGACCTTTTACCGGTCATTACCGCAACTTTTGACGAATGTCTGATTGATCCCGATGGCTTAACGGAATTTCTGAATCTCTACTTGCAGATCAAATAGCCCTCAATGTCGCCAATCAATATTGGCGCGATATCTATGGAATCATGCTGCCTGAGACGCGTCAGTATTGGCAGCCCCTCTTACTGCGCATGTTCAACGAGTCTCTAGAACTGGTTCCCATCGATCAGTTTATCAAGGAGTAGTTCAATTAGTTATAGTTTTACAATTTGTGATGATGGCTTTATAGTGCATAAATAAATGATTATATTGCCAAGGTGCAGTTAAATAATAATTATTGTATAATTTAATGACCATTTCATTCTAGGCGCCATTGGAGCTTGCCCTTTACAAGCCCAGCCAGCTGGAATAATGGAAATATAAAAAAAAAACTAGTTTTAATCGGCCATTTCATGCCCCAGCTCAGCGTCCAACCGGGTATGTGCGTAAATTCATTCATTTTTTTTCGAAATCGCGCCCCTCTGGGTGACCTACCTCTAATGATAATCGCGTTTATAGGTTAAGTGCAGGCTGTGGTGCCTAGGTCGGCCGACCTGAAGTCGACAATGGGATGTGGCGAGTATCACGGGCCAAGTGCGAGCAATAAAGTGCAATTGAGCAAGACTCAAGCTAGTCGTAACCTAATTTTTCTACTGTGTGAAATGTATTTATCAGTTGGGCCGAAATCCCGGCGGTACTGCAATACCGGGCCAACCCGCGACAGAGGTGGAGCAAGCCCCTAGCACTCCGTCTGATTCCAAAAATCAGTTTAACATTTGTTGTTCTCCAATGGAGAAACTATCAGATGTTAAGCTGATAAGAACAGATACTACACTTTGATCTTAGCCATAAGGCCGAGAAGCGATAACTGGACACGGAAAACAACCGCCTGGCCACAGGTGCTCAGCCAGAACCACTTGGGAATTATAGGGACACAGAAAATGTTTTCGAATTGATTCCTCTGCCTTTTAACAAATCCGTTTACCGAACTGAAGTAGGTAACTGCTGGGTTACTATTATTATGAAGAGTATGTGTACAGCGCCCTGTGAGATCTCCTCTTTCAATACAACCTCATTCACAACATTTTTAGATTTTAGTCAAGAAGTTGGGTTATCCCTAGTACTGCATTGCCTTTTTATACCCGATACTCAAAATGAGTATTGGGGTATATTAGATTTGTGGTAAAAGTGGATGAGTGTAACGTCCAGAAGGAATCGTTTCCGACCCCATAAAGTATATATATTCTTGATCAGCATCAATAGCCGAGCCGATTGATGCATGTCTGTCTATCCGTCCCCTTCAGCGCCTAATGCTCAAAGACTATAAGAGCTAGAGCAACGATGTTTTGGATCCAGACTTCTGTGATATGTCACTGCTACAAAACTATTTCAAAACTTCGTCCCGCCCCCACAAAGGACGAAAATCGGTGGCATCCACATTTTTAAAGATATGAGAAAACCAACGAGAAAACTAACGATAACGAGAAAACGCAGAATCGTAGAGAATGACCATATCTTTTAGACTGCAGAATCTGAATTGGATCGTATTATTATTATAGCCAGCATCAAGAAAACAATTTCATTTTTTCTCGCCCTGTCTCTCTCTAACACACACGTAGCATAGGCGGCTTTGCTTAGAGTAAAACATTAGCGCCTAGATCTCAGAGACTATAAAAGCTAGAGCAACCAAATTTGGTATCCAGACTCCTAATATATCGGACCGAGACGAGTTTGTTTCTAAATTTCGCCACACCCGCTTCCGCCCCCGCAAAGGACGAAAATCTGGGGATATTCACAAATCTCAGAGACTATTAAGGTTAGAGTAACCAAATTTGGTATCCGCACTCCTGTTAGATCTTACTAAAAAACTTGTATCTCAAAATTTCGCCCCACCCCCTTCCGCCTACACAAAGGACGAAAATCTGTTGCATGCACAATATTGCAGATTCGAGAAAACTAAAAACGCAGAATCATATATAACGACCATAGCCAAAGGAAACAAATCAATTTGCAGTGGCTACGCAGCGCGTGACGTCACGCTCAGACTGATTTTCTGTCTCTCTCGCACGCACTCTTTGTCGTGTCGTTTAATATTAGCGGCCTCTGCCGGAGCAGAGCCATACTGACTTAGTATCGGGTATAACTGTAGAGTTGCGGTGTCCGCAGCAACTCACAACGTTCCCCCTCGTTTCTATTACTATTTTACTAAATTGCTTTTAATAGAGAACGAATATTACAAAAAACTATTAACTGTTTTAATCAGCGCTCTGCAGTCTGTTGGAACGTTCATCGAGGTGTCCTCTATACTTGTTACAGAATCGTAAGGCGGTGCGCCGACGAAAAGTTGCGGATTTTGGATTTTTTGGTTCCAAAAATCTTAATTTTCGAACAGATGGAACTATTTTCAAAATTTAAAAATAGCTAACCAATTTTGTAAGAATCCAAATAATAATTTAAATCGAATGAGGAATAATTAAATAGTCAAAATCAAAATTCCAATTTTTGAAGACAAAATATAGTAGAATTTGCATTTTCTACATACATAAATGGTATTCGAGTTTTGTGTTTAACATTTAACCATTTGAAAATGTTTATTACAAATATGTAGGTACAAACTTTAGAGAACTTTTTTATTTTATTTTAATTTTAATTTAATTAAATTAATATTTAATAATTTATTTAATTTAATCTAATTTATTTTAATTAAATTTTATTTTTAAGCGGAGGAAAAACTTGCTGAAGGTCCACTCCAAACTTTTAAAATATTCCGGATTTAGATACTTAATTGAATTATTTTTCCAGCTCATATACCAATAGTTGTCACTTCCTGTTGGCCTGTTGCCACTGTGCGACGATCCCCAATCCAAATCCTTCAACAAGTACCCTCTCAGAAGTAAGTTCTTGTTTCTTCCCACCCTACTGATTAACTCATCTTTTCAAAAGAGTCAAAACAAGAACTGGCAGAAGAATCAATTAGAAATGCGCTAAGAGATGTCGCCGTACATGCACAGTTTATACTTGTACTAATTTGTGAAATTTATTATTAAGTTGGGCCGAAATCCCGGCGGTACTGCAATACCGGGCCAACCCGCGACAGAGGTGGAGCAAGCCCCTAGCACTCCGTCTGATTCCAAAAATCAGTTTAACATTTGTTGTTCTCCAATGGAGAAACTATCAGATGTTAAGCTGATAAGAACAGATACTACACTTTGATCTTAGCCATAAGGCCGAGAAGCGATAACTGTACATAGCAAAACCACTGAAAGAGCATAAGCGCGCTGCCGGAACCAGTTGGGAATTATATCGTACAAACCATCTACCTCTCTGAATGTGCATCTTGTGTTAGGGGTTACTTTGAGGTACTTTTCATTCAGACAAAGTCCACGAATGACACTTATACAGGAGGAGTGTGTCTTGGGCTATAGCTAAGAAGCAGGATTACTAAGGGAGGATAAGAAAATGGATGGTCTGGCATAATAGCAATACGAGTTTGAGTTTTCATTGTGCAGTTTTATTTTTCTTTCATAGGACGATGTACAGAATTCGATTCGATCCGGGTGTCCTTTAGGTATCCTTAAGTGATGTAGCACTATAGTGTTTCCTTTAATTCCCAACTAGTTCTGGCGACTCTTATTCAAGGTAGGGTGTGTTTGTTATGGCAAAATTACTCTGGCTTCTCTTCAATTGTCGAATAAATCTTTCGCCTTTTACTAAAGATTTCCGTGGAGAGGGGCACTCTAATGAGTCTAAACTGAATTTTTTCGTAGTTCCTGGCGACTTCGGTTGCCGGGACAATCAAGAATGAATGCCAAAATCGAATGGGGCTTTTTGATTTCAGCCAACTTTGTTAGTTGTTTGTTAGCAATTTCATGTTATGGGCATAAACAAACAAATAGAGGCTAACCAGACCGGACTCTGGGGGGCAATAGTGAGATAAAAAGTACATTTTATTGTACACTTGCCTTAGCATAAAGTGATGTAATTGTACTAGGGTAAGGTTCGAGCCGTGAACAGCGCTAAGTATGCCATAAATCAGCCCACTCTATTGCCAACAATTATTTATTCTTATTGCTTATAGAGACTGCTCTGTGCCTCGCATACTAAAAGCAATTGGGGAAGGAACGCCAACGCCCGACAAAGAAACACGCGATTGTCGTCTGCCCCACGACTGGCTGGACATATTAAATATGCACATTCAACATTTTAATTTGGCATTTGATGCGACTGTACGAAGAGTGGTTCGACGGATGTATTGCCAAAAGGATGTGAATTCCCAATATTCTGGAGAATTAATACGTTCTGATCTTAGCCATCCAAAACTCGGGCTTTGCATAGAAAACTTTGCAAGTCATCACGTCCCCAGACAGCCTTGAGCATCGAATTGAACACCACTTCCAAATTTCTCAAGTTCATGAATAATTTTATGCGGCCTATTCCCCAACACGCAGTACGTATAAATGCCTGCGAAGATTTACAACTGACCCACATTTCTCATGAATAACACCCACCCCGTACCCCGTAGAAAAGGTTGCCAGACAATGCCCTGTATGGCCTCGCACCCGCAGTCCCTCTCAAACTGCAGACGTGCCCTGCAGCTTGATCTAAAAACAGGGATGGGAAAGAGTTGTGAGGCAACCGGGCCTGACAGTTTCCTCATTGTTCCTCTGACAGATTTGTGGGTGCAATCGATAGATGGATGCTGACGTGGTTCGTGTGGGTATGCGGCTGAAGACACAGACAGAATATAACTCGGAAATGCTTTGAGTTTTCTTGTAAGAGACTTAGGAAATCGAATATTATTGTAAGCTTTACTAAATTTAATGACAAATTAAGATCAATACATACTCAAAAATTTAAATGGAGCAATTTTTGTTGTGTTATTATTGTATTGAGTAGGGACTAAATTACATTTCAAGAAACGGGAACGTATGTATGTTTTAATGCGATTTCGAAATCTATATGTGGATTTTCCTATTTCAAGGGATAAATATATTTATTAGTTTTATTTTGACCCTACAGTAAATTTGTCTTAATTAAGCCAAATCGACTTGGTTGAACGATCAGTAATTCGTTGGAATGTTATCAAAGCAGGACTATACCGTACATGTACTTCTGTATGTGTTATGTATTCGGTGGATTTATATGAACTTTCCAATTGAATCATTATAATTATCGTTTGTTATTTTGGTTACCTGTTACGTTACTCATGATCATAACAACTGGCTGATCAGTGACTCCCCAACTGTAGTCACGATCGTTCTCTCAAAAAGCTTTCGGTAAGATAAGCTTTTGCCTGTACGAATTAGCTTTTGGATGCTTGTTGGTGTTACTGCCGCTGTCGGCTTCGGCTTCGGCTACGGTTTCGGTTTCGGCGGCAGCATGGAAAAACTTTGGAGCAAAAAATCCCAAAAATCGGGCAGGTCGGAAACTATAAATAAACGTGGGTTTTGTGCAGCGCTCATTTCAAGATTTGCAACCGACGCGCCGTCAACACACAGCATTTTGCTTGCAGACTTTTTTTCGCAGAAGTTTGGCAAATAGTTCGTCTCCGTCTCCGTCTCGCGTGTCTCTCTCTCTCTATCTGTGTGTAGTTGTGTGCGTGTGTTTGAATCTATGAGCAATTGCATCAACAATTGCAGTTAACCGAGAAAACCCAAAAGCAACAAAAACATCAGAGAAACTGTAAAAAATACACTCGTGTAGAAATAAAAGTGAAGCCGGTTTGAAAAATTACGCAAAAAAAAGGAGAAACAACGGAGACAACAAGATTATTGTGTTAAATCAGCCGCACAGAAATAGTCAAATAGCGATTAAAAAAGAGTAGAGCGAAGTAATCCATCAAAACGGGTTTTCACTGTGTGTAAAAGAGTTCGAAGGAAGGCAAAGGTGCTGCTCGAAAATGCATTTACTCTGTCTGTTGCACACGCTGGCGGCGCTGGCACTCGGAAGTGGCTCAGCGGCCACGCTGCCCACGGCGGCACAAAGCGTGTTCAGCAGCGATCCCAATCCAAGTCCCAGTTCCAGTCCCAGTCCCAGTGCCAGCCCCAGCCTCAATCCCGGCCAGGAGTACGTTGGCGAGTATGCGGAGGGCGAGGCCGAGACGGGGTCATTCGATTTTGGCGGCCTGCAGTTTGATGGAGGTAAACGGGATTATGTAACTAAAACAAGAACTTGATATTCAAACAAACAAATACAACACACCACCACCACCACTTCCCCCCGCCACAAAAGAAACCAAACCAAGAGCCAAAAACCGTAAACCGCAAAAGAAAAAACAAGTTTGTTGCTCAAGTCTTTTGTTTGCTAAGTGGCAATTGGAAAATGTAATTGAAAATGCGGCTGCGGTGGCCTGTGTGGCATTCAAATGGAAATGCAATTCATTTTTTTCCTCGTTGCAACATGGAAAAGGTTGCGAATGCGGGCTCGAAGGAGTAAAATGAACTAGATATGCGCTATGAAAAATGGGAAAAACTCTAGAGCTCATTCTATGTGAACTATGCAAAATTAGATGAGAAATAATTTCATAGTATTTCTCACCTCAATGAACTCACCTTATGAACTGCAATTTATCGGCATTTAAGAAAATTCCAGCTACTGATGAACTTTAAGGTTCTTCAAAAAGAGGGATGTTCTCAAGGATTTCGGATCAATCCTCGGGAACTATTTTGATTTAAAACGATATAGCATTGATTGCTGGGGGAAGAACAGAACCGATCAGATATCAAACCATATGCAATCACGGGAATATTTGTTCGACTACTTAAATGTTAGCAGAGAATATTAGAGCTTAATTAGTATGAATTCGAATATCAGTTTCTTTCTATCACTAAGTATTCAGAACACAGATCTGTCCCCCCTAAGAAGAATTAAGTAGTAAATCCGTTTCCTGCTGTTCAAAATTTGTTTGTATCTTGTTTTTTCTGTATTTGCTGTATAAGCTAAGATGATTCGCCATTTCACTGTCCACCTTTGTTCCAGGGACTTTGAGTTCTTCATTTGAATTCTGATCAGGCCGTGCCTCGTGCGCTGCCCATCAAAAACTGTCTCGCGTACCAAGCCCAGCTCTTTTAAAATATACATTTTGTTGTTTTCTGTATTTTCATGCATATGTATCGTATTTCACCCGATTTATAGGCCTGCAACCTTCAGAAATAAACAAAAAGGGGGAAAAATACTGAGAAGCAACAATAATAATAATAAAAAAAAGTACTTTTAAATGAGATTTCCAAACTGCTGTAGAAAATGAAATTGCAATAGAAATTAGCAAGTCTATTTGCACTAAAAACATTTTATTTATTCGACTCTTAACACTTTTGTGACGGCAAGGGAGAAAACCATAAAAAATATGTAAGAAAAAGACTGGCAAGTCACCGCCTCTGCCACTTGAACTTGACATACTTATAGATTTGAGTAAAAGCAGCACTGAACGATGATGGTGATGTGTGGACAGTGCCCAGTGACTGCAAAACTGGGCAAATAGAAATTCTCCGACAACGACTACGACTACAGCGCAAAGATGATGCAAGGCAGGCAGCGGTAATAAATGCAGAATCAACAAGGGAGCAATAGAGCAACAGGCTCGAAAAAGTCAAATTAAAATATTGCCAATTGCATTAATTTTATCAGCATTATGGTGTGATTGTGTGTGCGCGTGTATCTGTGTGCTGTTTGGGCCGTTGCGAAAAGAGTTCAGCATCAAAAAAACCAACAACAAGGCATACATTCGAAACCAAACCGGCTGCCTGCTGTCGGCGCTACGGTAGCCGCTGACAAAAAGCAAAAAGTAAAAAGCGTAAGGCTGAAAAACTGACCTACATCAATGCGTAAGCGTCTTTTTGTTGGGCTTTTGCCGAACTGAAAGCTGCAATTGTAACCTGTCATTGCGCAAAGAAAAAACTTCACAAAAAGGTAAAGCGAGCGGTCATTTATTGACATTTACTTGGCAAACAGGCAAACAGAAGGCTTAGGCAACGAACTTCACTTCACTTCACTCCACTCGCCAAAACTAGTAAAACGAAGTGCTTAAACTCATTTCGGGTACCTTTTAATTTTGGCATTTGGAAGCGTTGATTGGGGGCCGCCCCGCCACTCGGTTCAACTTTGACATTGAACTTGTCAGGCGAAAACACCACAAAGAAACGAAATGAGAAAAAACTTCAAACCCTCAAGCCAAATGAGTCATTAGGGTTACTCACGCGCTTAAATTGCTTGTCTGCTTATCTGGGAAATTAGACAAAAATTGTCTCCTTCTTTGAATGCTTAATTACAAGCTTAATTTACATATTTATTTTTTAAAATTTTTTTTTGGTAATTTGGCAAAGGAACATTAAACGTAATTGTTGTTTGAATGCTTTACGCCTGTCATTAGAAGATGAAAAGCCCATGACCAAAGATTCCTTGTCTCAAGAATAAATCTCAATAATAATTAAACATCAACCTACTGCTTGTTTTGCAATAATTTAGAGACAGGAAAGTGCTTTGGTTTACAGACCCTAACCGAGTAAACTTCGCAGATCGGTGGAAAGCAAACAGGTTGAAGCTGATCAATTAAGTTCGTAATATCAATTGAAAATACAACAATTGTTAGACCTGTTCTTGAGTGAATTTTAAGTGCGACTAGGATTATATCAACCAATTCAAGAAAATTGCTGCAAGTCAGTGACATCTATGAGAAGTTTTATTAAAAAAGCTAAGTGAAATAAAAGAAATATTCTAGAGTAAACCTGAATTAATTTATTCCTTGAATGTATGTAAGTAGTGGCACGCTTAGAACAGATTTGTATTCGTAAGCTGGACTTTAAAATCGAAACCCTTGAGTGCACTTTAATAAAACATAAAATATTTTGCCCGGAGGATTCACTGCCGTGAATCTCTTGTTAGTATTTTAATTGTTCAAGACCTTGGCAGGTGTCTTGTCTCCCTGACACAAACCCCAATCGGATGTCAACGCAGCAGAAAAGCGGGCAGTTTATGTCCAACGCCGGACACGTGAACCGGGCCACGCTTGAACGGCTGCCACAGATCGCAAAAAAATAATTATTATAATCATAATCTCCTCGAAGCAAGGCGCTATGCCATGCCTCGGTGAACTTAACGACTGAGGCTAGCCATGACTTAACCGATCGTGAACTTATCTACCATCTACCATCACTTTCGCCCTCCAGTTACACCACATACGACGCAGATCAGCGTCTCGAATGGCGTGACACCCTGTAGTCTCAGCTCGCCTGAGCTCAACGAATGCATACGCGGACTGATCCAGACATTTGCCCCGAAGCTGAAATACCACGGAGTGCCGGAGTACAACATGGGTTCCATTGATCCGTACTTCTACAAGCGGGGAATCTTCCGGTACACAAACGATGGCATTCAGGGTGGACTGCTGATCAAGAACATGGAGATCTACGGAATCAGCGACCTCCAGGTCAACAGTGTGGTGTCTAACTTTACAGAGAACGGCTTTGTGATCAAGTTAGGCCTCGGACTTCCTCAGCTGAAGGCCGGCGGACACTTCAAGGCGGACGTGAAGTTCGGCGGACTGCGTCTGGTGCCCAAGGGTCCATTCAACATCACCGTGGGTGAGTAAAACCGCAAGCAATCGCCTAAAGTACTTTCCATTTAATTTAACTTGCGTTTACTCCCAGACAACATCAAGGCCACTATTCTCACTGACGGACACATTGAGCAGCTGCCCAGCGGACAGCAGCGTCTCAGCCTTCATCGCCTGAATGCCAACGTCAACATCGGGGACGCCAAAGTGGTGGCCAATGGGATCTTCTCCGATCGTAACCTTAGTAAGGGAATATTGTTGAATGAGGCTGAACTCGCGTTTCTGATTGAATTGATTTTACCCACAGATGGCATGATCCTCAATCTGGTCAACGAGAATTTACCAGAGATCACCCGCGTGGGAATACCAGCCACCCGCGAGCAATGGGCACCCATTCTGGTCGCGCATATCAACGAGTTCTTCGCTAAGGTTCCTATCGAGAAATTCCTGGTTCAATGATGCACAACCACAGCACGTTTCTCATGGAATATTTAGCCCGTAGTTAGTTTTAGTCTAATAATTACAACTTTAAATTTATTTTAAAAGCTGCTTCCAAATAATTTTCAGTGCTCAAAACTTTTGGCTACCATTTGGAAAGAATTTCTACGCATCCAATTTGTATTTATTTATGTCATCCATTCTAAAAAGAAGAGAAGTTGTGTGAAAACATCCAAATAAATATTTTTTCGAAAATTAAATATCCCCTATTGTATTTGATTCTATTCATTTTCAAATATTTATATGTACTATGTTATTATTACGGATATTCGATTGTGCGAGTTTTACTGGGTTAAGTATTAGATGGAATAGCTAGTGTGGAAAGCTACATACATACCTAAGGCCGTAATATGGCGTTAAATATACATATTTACTTTTCCGAAAAATCTTTATTTACTGTGGCAGTTGTTTTTTCTTTCTTTCATCTTTCAGGACTTGTCGAAAAGCTCTTTTTATTCCTATTTTACTACTAATATTAAAAAAAAAAACGAAAAATAAACTCTGTCAAATGATAATCGGTATATATTTAATTCAGGTAACCTAAAGCATATGTATGATCTTTGCATTCTGATCATGTGGCCTCAAAGCATTCACACACAGTATTCCTGCAGTATGACACCTACTCATGCTCATAATATACTTTGAAGTATTGCTACATAAGTATGTTGTAAATTGTATCAATATTCTACACGGAAAAAACTCGACAAAATACATACTTTCAGGCTGGATCGTGTAAAATACATGTATGTAAGGATGTATCTACATATGTATGTATGTGCGTTCGAGCTGTGTAAAAATGCGATTAGCGCCACTTTTCGTGAGAGAAGCATAACATTTTTATACTAAAAATGAGTACTGTGGTATATTAGATTTGTGGGGAAAAAGAATGTGTGTAACGCCCAGAAGGAAGCGTTACCGGCCCCATAAAGTAAATGTATTCTTGATCAGCATCAATAGCCGAGTCGATAGAGCCATGTCTGTCTGTCCGTCCGTCCGTCTGTCCGTACCTATGAGCGACTAGTGCTCAGAGACTATAAGAGCTAGAGCAACCAAATTTGGTATCCACACTCCAGTTAGATCTCACTGTTAAAAGATTACCTAAATAAATCATCCGATTTGGTGAATTCTATGGGATTTGCTTCATTATTTTTTTTTTTTGCACGTTGAAATCAGAACCTATTTTATATACACATATGTGAAATATTCAAAAATATATTAAATTTGTTTCAAATAATGCAACTTTTATAGATGAATATAGATCAGAGATAGTCGAATAATACAGGCAACCAGTCCAGTCACGAGTACATCAAAATGGACTGCGATAAAGAACACAGCGAACTTAATTCAAATAAAAAAGAGTATTTAAACTTATTTAATGTACGCTCAACTTGCACGCAGATCGATAATACATATACTCTTAATACATATGTACATACTTAATAATACATACTCTTAATATGGGCATTTTCTTATCAACAGGATCTGGCAATTCAAATAAAGTTGACGAAATCAATTTTGATCTACGAGTAAATACATATATAATGCATATATAAATATAATACATAAATATATGTAAATACTGTATGGGATTTGTTATCTCGAAATCAACAGACAAGTCGTATGCAAGCATGATTTATGGCATTTATTGATAAGCATTAATGGACAATAATTGCTATATAAGAATGCTTGAGTATTTCATTTTGCATTCAGTCTGATTTAAGTCTATCAACGGGAGTAGTGATTCAATTAAAAGTCATGCAAACATATTGGATTCTAGTGCTTTTCTTCCTGCACGTGGAAGGAGACATCACTATATCTACGGAAAATAGCTTCGAGAATACTGCTGTGAGAGCTTAGTGCACTGTGAAATTGTTATTGAAATAAACTAATTAGTTGGGTAATCCGTTTCCAGCACTGTGAGATGACCCGGGATGAGGACGATGAGCGGTGTGGCGCCATTTGTTACCCGATTGTGAAGCCGTTACTCCGGTACGCTGCCCTATGCCAGGGGAAGGATGCATCCATCAACGAACTGAAGGACGAAATCCGAGAGAAAGATGTTTACATCGCCCAATTGGAAAACAAGATTGAGCTAGCCAAGTCAATGGAAATTCAGGCAATTAAACAGCTGGAGTTTCTCAAAGAACAGACGAATGCCAGGCAAAAGAGCTCGGATCAACAGTTGAAGGACAAGGAGACTATATTGCATCTGAAGGAAATCGAAATTTTGAAAATGGAGAAAGAAATTAAGGATCGTGAGTCAGAAATCCATGACAAGAAAGAGCAGATCTCAAAAATGGAAATTCGGATTCAATCAATAGAGGCTCAACTGCAATCGAAGAATAATTCCCTCAGAGAACTGGAGGATCAAGCGAATTCCCTTAAACGAACCGAGGAAAAGCCGAAAAACATCTCGGAGGCAAATAGTTGTCTCTCATTCAACGATTCCACTGATATCCATTCCATAGTGTTGCCCGGAATAGGACCATTCCTTGTGCCTTGTAATTCGAGTGTTTCTGGATCTGGCTGGACTGTAATCCAGAGACTAGTCAACTGCCATGAGAACTTTAATCGGACTTGGATCGACTACAAAATAGGGTTCGGAGACCTGCGGGAGAACTTCTTCCTGGGACTGGAAAAAATCCATCTAATGACCTTGGCCCAGCCTCACGAGTTGTACATCCAACTCCAAAATGTTTATGGAGCAACCAGCTATGCTCTCTACGATAATTTCATTGTAGGCAGCGAAGAGGAAGGCTACAAACTGAAATCGCTGGGAGAATGTTCAGGAACAGCCGGAGATTCACTAACTGAATATCATCTGAACATGAAATTTTCCACATTGGACCGCGACAATGACAGAGATGAGATACGTAATTGCGCAAAGATTCTGGGAGGTGGATGGTGGTTTTCTTTAAATTGCGGACAAAGGTACACATATTTTATGCCGAACTAACGCTATTAATTATTACGCATTTGTCATATTAATTTGTCTTTAATACAGTTTCCTCAATGGAAAATATTATAAATGTGACGACGGAAAACATGGCGGCGTTGCTTGGGCCACTTGGCAGAACTATGAATTCACGACCGGGCTTACATTTACTCAAATGATGATAAGGCCCAAAACATAGAAATTTGATTTGATACACGCACCAGGACTTTGAAGAAGTTGAACAAAAACTTCAGTTATTCATAGCTGTAAGTGTATATTTCTCTTAAACAGTATTCTTACATGTATTTAAGTCTGTATCTGTATGGTAGATTTGTAGATATGTAGATTTATCGCGCTCTGCATCTCTATTTTTATACCTAGCTCAAATTCTAAATGTGTGTAAATAAATCTATTATTTATACAAATAATAATAATAAGAAAAGTTCACCAAACTTCTCTTCAATTAAAGAATTACTTGGACGTTGACATGCATGACTGCATCTTACAAGAGTCGATGCAATTACTGCACCGTCAAGTGGCCCGTGTGACACTAGCAGAAGGCTGTTACGCGCGGATCCCAGGGGGAAAGGAAAAATGGAAGGAACAACGGTATAAATTTTCTAGTGAGTCTAATAGGAATCGTGAAGTTTATGCGGCCAAACAGATCAGGGCTGTCTATGTCACCCAAGCATTTTTCTACGGTTAACTAAGGATGGGAGATTCACTAATAGCACAGCCTACTATACGGATTCTATACGGTCCAGGTGTACTTTGTACCATACACCATACACAGGAGCCGTATTCTAAGATCGGACAAACTAGCGAGGTTTAACACCAAGATCATCTAGCAGGGTAATTCTCTCAAGACAACCACCACAAAGGGTATATGGAGCCAGCAAGAGACTAAAAGGATGAAATGAACGAGGCATTAAGGTGTAACATGTTTTCACAACACCATGACTGAAATTTATTTAGATCAGATTGCATACCTAAGTACTCGAGAATATTTTAATACCGAAGGCAAGTCATTAATAAAGAGTGTGAAGAGTAAGGGGCCTAGATGGCTGCCCTGTGGTACTCCCGAAGAAACCTTTACTGGTGAGGAGAGGGAGTTTTTGAAGAGGACTCTTGGAGACCTGCAACAAAGATTGCTAGAAATCCATCTCAGGAGGTTGGGCGGAAACCCTAAAAGGTCAAGTTTAAAAGGGAATGGCTTACAGAGTCGAATGCTTTACTGAAGTCGGTGTAAATAACAAATTATGCTGTTTTAACTTGAATGCTAATTCTCAAGTTGCCTCCGCATTAACTCTAAGTAGTTGCAACATTAACTGAAAGATTACTAGGTGAAATAGGTATCAAACTCTGTTAATGAGCTTTTGACTGGTTATTTTTGGAAAAAATATATAAATATGGGCAGAAATACAGAATGCATACAGAGATCTGGTTCTATTGACTTTTTAACTTTTATGGCCTGGTGGAAATGCCTATATTGAACGTACATATCTGGCTGCTATCTGCTACTTAATCTCTTCAGGGTTATTCGTTTGGTAATTCGTTTGTAAGGATATCTATTGATTTCTCTTACTCATATTCTTTTTATAGTGCAGTTAATCATTAATATCTAATCAATACCTATGCGTATTTGATCTTTAGAATACTATATTTATATTCCATTAATTCCTAAATATACCATTATAAAGGACCTAATTACTCCATTCATAAGTACGACATGTACTCGTATCCAGAGTTCAATTGACAGAGCTTTCATCTCATAAAGGCTCTTGAACTGGCTGCCCCTTCTCCTCCTCGTCTCTGAGCTGTGAACTCCAATCTCGTTCCCATTTCGAGAGCAATCCCATTGAAGCGCTGTTCAAAAACCATATTCAACACTCCCACTTCACGATCAATCAGACAGGCGAATGTGCCCCAAAGCACCAATTACAGACAATTAGTTGGCAAAATATTGAAACACAATTATTCCGAAAAGGTTCTGGGGCCACCATGGCCGTGACACTTAGCTTCCCATCGATCAGCATTTGAAACGGGGATCAAGTGTGCTTATTGCAATGATCTGGGCAAGACTCGGGGAACAATTGACTTCATTTGTGATACTTCTAACCCCCAAGACGCCCTCAGTTCTTTTTTAGATCCGTTGACAGTGCGCCGGGGACTGGGACTCGGCCCTGATTAATGTGGATTTTAATTGAATCCTGAGTTGAGCGGCATCCTCCTCGCCGCCAGTTCAATGGACGCCCAACGTCGTAAATTTTGCATATTATTTAGTAAACATATTTGCGTCGTCTGCCGATGGGACTAGGACTGCAGCTGAGACTGGCGGAACCACTGTCTGGGCAATGAAAACGAATTCAAACGGGCTTTGGTCTATTTCATGTGGTCAAGAAGAAAATGAAGTACCAAAGGAAATGTGCGCCCCGGAATTTAAATGGAAATTTAATCTAGAAATGCACTCAAAGAAATTACACTAATTTGCAATTGTCATCAAAGAACCTTCATTTATGAATGCATATGAAGCAGTCAAACAATTTCTTGAAGTTCCACTTAGGTAAGATTCTGAGGTAAGATTCTCCAAGTGCATGAAATTTCTGGAAGGAGAAGATGCTGCCGCAGCAGGATTTTTTTAGTATTAGTGTGCAGCCGCACAACTTCCAGGCGGCCACTGTTTCAGTTTCAGTTCCAGTTCCAGTTCCAGTTGGTGCGTGTTCGGATTCGGGTTGCAAGAGACTCTGTCCCTGGTGGCTGGTGGGCAAAGGAAACGGAGGTGTTACTGGAACTAGTTTAGATGTGTCGGCTCTGTGATCAGCGGTAGTTGTCATCATTGCGTTTGGCGTCGCGTGTGCATTAGAAGGAGGCCCGGCCCGGCCGGCCCAATAAGTTGGCTAAAACCCAACCAGTGAAGAATCGACATTTCGGCTGCTCCGACATCCACAGTGCGGTCGGCGTCGCTGTCGCTGTCGTTGTCGGTGTCGCCGACGCTGGCGCTGCTGTCGTGTGGCAGCATAGTTGTTAACCAAACCCCAGAGACGGCTGTTGGCTCAGAAGCGATCGGACCTTACTACCCAGCAGACGGTCCTGCCTGTCTAACGCACGAGACCGAAACCGAAACCGAGTCCGAGACCCAGAACAAGAACTTCGTCGTAGTCGTGGTCAGGTGAATGCCATCGGGGCGACGTGCCTGGCATTCGAAAAGAAATTCCGAGTCGCGATTCGTTGTGGCGGTTCTATATACTATATAGCAGACAAGTTATATATGGTATCCCCAGTTCAAAACGAAAACAAATTGGGAAGATAACAGCAGCAGCAGCAGCAGCAGCAAAAACAACAGCGAAAATGTTTGCATTTTTGCGGGTTTTATTACTTTGTGCGCATTTGTTGCATTTTAAATCAATCTCGGGAGTGGATCTGGATCTGCCAGAGGTATTTGGCGGGGAAGGAGCTGCAGGAGCGCCTGTGTGGCAGAATGGTGAAATCAAGGCGGCGCCCGAGGCAGGATCTGCCGTAGTAAATGCCACAGTGGAGGAGAACATTGGTGTGTCCGTGGAAGGTGAGCAGATTCCCTGTGTCAAAACGTGAACCAAAAAAAATACTTGAGTGAGGAATTGAATTTGAAGATTATTTCAAAGAATTTTCCAATTTTAACTATTGGAATATTTAGCTAAATACGTAAATGTGCAACTAATAATATACCTACGGTGTACATAAAATGGTTGTATTGTATTTGCTGGATAAACAAAAGAATTAAGACACGAACTTGAAAGAGTTTTTAGTGAAAATGAACGAAGCCAAAGATAAAGTTATATGTGCGTATATAGAGACATAACTGATAAAAGTGGCATTTAGAAACAAATTGATTCGGTGGATCAAGCTATAAGATTCCCCCTGTAAGGTATCCTAAATTAGAACCATCTAGCTATATACACCCTAACAATGACTTCTCTCAAATATATCGCAATGTACGTCACCCAATAAGTTCAACGACATCGGGGGAACTCTTTTCAGATAGACCAGCACATTTCATGCCTGGCACGCACCGAGTATTACTTGTGTGACCTTCAGAAATCTATAAATGGTGTATGGCAGCCATAGAGATAATGCGAAATTTGTTCGCAGTGTGCCTGGCGTTGTTTGCTTTACAACATCGTCGGTCTGTGGATAAGTCGGTATTCCAGCCCTTTGTGTCAGTTACACAAAGATTTCTAGTGCAAACAAGATGGAAAGATATATATAGAGAGAGAGAGAGAGAGAGATCTGTGTGGGCAGTCGTGGACTTTCAGATCAACTTCCACTTCAGCGCTTGTCGTGGCCTGTCGCCTGTCGCCTGTCAATGTCTCCTGCAATCTATTCTCTTTTATTGATGTCCAACAATTAGACAATTACATTCTTTTTAGGTTCTTTTGATGGAAAGACGTGATTTGCCATGATGTTTGTTTTCGGGGCGACGACATAAGCCTATTAATTTGGGATGGTTTGGGGATTGGCCTATAAAAAAGTGCCATATAGAAGCTCTTAATCTGACACCTCCCACTGAATTATCAGGCAATATTCATTAAAAATTATTTTTGTTTGACTTCGGGCCAATTCGTTGCTCAGCAGCTGTTAACAGCAATGGCAATCGGAATCCAAATCGCGATAAATATCATTTATATGGCTCTTGGTCATATAAAATTTAAGAGCTGCCATAAAGACCTCCAGTTTAACATTGCAGTGGTCCTGGCGTGGAATTCAGGTTTGCATGCACACGCCCCGATGCAGAAGCAGCGGCAGGCAACCTGTAACGGTCGGGCAGACCTTGAACTTGTTACTTGCCCCTGGATGTTGTTTAATCTCCTGAGCATCTTGCGCATCAAGTGCTTGCGTCTGTTCACCAGACACTGCCAACTTGTTGTTGGGTGTGTCTGAAGAAGCCCACCAGAGTTTGGCACAAGATAATTCTTTATCTTGCCGACGGAAAATATTATAAACCACATCTACAAATGTGTTTCTGCAACGCAAGAAATCATCAACATCTCTTTTCTGTGTGGAAGCACGCACTGTGATATTTTCGATTCGATTAGAGTCCGAAGGTACATGGGGTCCCGAATATAGCTGCCAGTCCAGTCAATCAGCCAGAGAGCTTACAGACTTTCAGGTGTGTCGGAATCAATCAAGGCAAATTTGTTCCTCTGGTTTCAGTTGACAGCTTGTCATAACAATTTAAAGGCCATCAATGAAATGTCCGATAAACAATGAACATGCAAGTACAAAAATGTAAGCCACTATTTGGGGCAAGTGAGTAATTTTTGGTTGGCTTTCTATAGGCTTAAAATCCCAATTCAAGTGAGTCACAAGTGGACTAACATTTTTGTTTTGGGTGTTTCTCTTGCTTTGTAATATGCAAATAAATCGTGCAGAAAAAAGTTAATTATTGATGCGGGGCACGCCCTGAACGTATTCTTCATTACGAGTGGTGTCGGGGAAGCAGAGACCACGTGCAGCTCCCCGGCTCCCCAGGTCCCCGCCCCGTTCCCCTATCCGAAACATAACGAATTTTATGCTCGATTTAATATCAATTAAGTTTACACCTCGGCGATGGCACAAACGGCTTATGCCACCAAGAAGCTCGTCTAAATTAATCGCCACAAAAGCTAACAGCTCGTAAACAGCTCTTATCTCTCAAGAGATAAACTGTCCAAATGGCTTATTTAGGCAAATTTCATGCTCAGCCGCAGAACTCCGACTACGAGTGGCTATCATATTGTATATGGGCCGAAACGGAGACAGAGAAGAAGTGTGTAATAAATTAGGGAAATAGCAAATTCATGCTAAATAGCAGCAACAAAGAGCCGCTCACCAGACAAAGGCCTAGACCAATTTTAAGAAGCTGCCAATGGACCTGACAAATATATGACAATTGACAATAGAAAGTTGTCACAGTAGGGTGCAGCGCCGTGAGCTGGGCATCTCTGGAAAGAAATGGCACAGCAATTGTCATTCCATTCAGTTTGAAAAAAGCTTAAGTTTATTGTCAATATTCTGGGAAACAACAAAAACGACAACGAAAAATGTCAAAATATTGAGTAATCACTCTCGACTCTCGAAGAGGAGCGTGGACCCGAAACCTAAACCCGTAACCCAAACGCAGAACCCGAAACGTGAACGAATGTTGGGTAAATATTGGTTTGTCTTTTCTACCCATTTTTCTCTTATTTAGGTGCTTTGTCAATAGCGCAACAGATTGGCTAAAAAAAAATGGGTCTTAGGAGGGAGTTCGAGTAGAGCACAGTTTTGGCTAGGCAATTGCGTATGAACCTCAGATCTTTCGAGAGGCCAACGAACTTTGCTTTTGAGCACCCTCTGAAGTGCGGAGCGGTATACGTACTTCAAGTGAGGCACAGATGAGGTCATGGATCCCATCGATGGCATTTCCTTTTGCCCTGAATGCCCGGAATGCCCTGAAACCATTATGATTTTTACAGATCCCTCGTCAGCGAGCCTGAGTCGGAGACAGCGTCAACTCTTCTTCGACCCGAATCTCTTCTTCCTGCAAGGTGGCCTGGGCGGAGTGGGCGGGCTTGGCGGTCTTGGCGGTCTTAGCGGCTCTGGTGGATGGGAGGGATCCAAGTGTCTCACGGTACAGGGTCAGGCCGGCGCTTGTGTCCGCATCAACAACTGCCGCCAGTACTACCGAGTGGCCCGCCAGCTGACCTTCATCGCCCTGCGGCAATGGCCCCAGAACCCTCCCCTTGGCTTGGGCGGAAATATGTGCAACTTTTTCGACCAGCTGGGACGCATCAACAACGGCATCTGCTGCACGGACATGGATGCCAACACTTTCGGAGTATTCCCGCTGCCGACCACAACGACGACAGAAAGACCTTCGCCGGCTGCCGATGAGGGCGAAAATGGGGATGAACCAGAGGAGGAGCCAGTCAATGTTGACACTGTGGTTCAACCGGCGGAGACACCACATCCAGAGGATCCCATTGATAATGTGAACAGTGTAGAGGACACGCCGGACTTTCAGGATGTGAACACAATCGAGGCTAATGCCCCAGAACCCGAACCTGAGGCGGAACCAGAACTAGAGACGATACCAGTGCCCGCCCAGCCGGCCACACCCGTCTACCCGTATCAGTGGCCATTCGGCTCCTTTGCCGGAGGCCCAGTAGCCCAATGGCCGCCACCGCTGCCCACCCATCCGCCTACAACTGGAGGCTGGCCCCCACCGCTTCCAACCCATCCACCCAACCACCACTATCCGACGCATCCTTCGACGTCCGGAGTGCCCAGACCCACCACAGTGCCCAGCACCAAGCGCACCACCCCAAGACCCGCTGCCAGGCCGACTACCACCAAGCGTCCCACTTATCCCAGCTATCCGGTGACCTCGGCGCCTGCGCCGACGACCACGCGACGTCCGGTTAGCGGCTCCAGTCCCGAGGGCCTGCCGCTGCAGTGTGGCAACAAGAATCCGGTTTCGCCGGATCAGGAGCGCATTGTGGGAGGTATTAACGCCAGTCCGCACGAGTTCCCCTGGATAGCGGTGCTATTCAAGTCGGGCAAGCAGTTCTGCGGCGGCAGTCTGATAACCAACAATCACATCCTGACAGCAGCACATTGTGTGGCACGGTAAGACACCGCCCATGGCTGCACCTCCAACATCTGCTCGAAGCTACTTCTTATCCCCCTGTCTTGCAGCATGACCTCGTGGGATGTGGCGGCCTTGACGGCCCACTTGGGCGACTACAATATCCGGACGGACTTTGAGGTGCAGCATGTCTCGCGCAGGATCAAACGACTGGTGCGGCACAAAGGCTTCGAGTTCAGCACGCTGGTGAGATGGATTTACAATATAGGAAGGAACATTTTAGCTAATACAAATTTTAAAACCAAATTCCTACAGCTTGAAGTGCACTTTTGAATGAACGACAAAAATTAGATTGTGACTTAGAGCGAGACTTAGAATTTGCCATATACCCCTGAAATCTAACCAAAACCGCGATGTGGTGACACTGAGCATCTCCAGTGCAGATTCTGCGCCACCGATACCTGGGCACAGTCACCAAATCGCAGGTTTTTAGTTTTTAGAAAAGATTTTGGAGCTCTATTGCAAGGCTAAGTATTAGGCAATCTACTCATCCAGGCCTACAAACTAATTTTTGTCTGGTGCCAAGTTCAATGTGACTGTTATTAATATAAGTATAAATTCTTTATAAATCGTTTTATATATTCTTTCTCCTAGCACAACGATGTGGCTATTCTGACTCTCAGTGAGCCGGTGCCCTTCACCCACGAGATCCAGCCGATTTGCCTGCCAACGTCTCCGTCGCAGCAGTCGCGCTCGTACAGCGGCCAAGTGGCGACTGTGGCCGGCTGGGGCAGTCTGCGGGAGAACGGGCCCCAACCCTCGATTCTGCAGAAGGTGGACATACCCATTTGGGCGAATGCCGAGTGTGCTCGCAAATACGGACGTGCAGCGCCCGGGGGCATCATCGAATCGATGATCTGTGCTGGCCAGGCCGCCAAGGATTCCTGCAGCGTGAGTTTCTTCTTATTACCATGTAAGTGTCTGTCGTTTAAATTAATTTTATTCCACAGGGCGACTCTGGTGGTCCTATGATCATCAACGATGGCGGACGATACACACAGGTGGGCATCGTTTCCTGGGGCATTGGCTGTGGCAAGGGTCAATATCCGGGCGTCTATACGCGTGTCACGTCGCTGCTGCCCTGGATCTACAAGAATATCAAATAATATAATAGTTGATATAGTTTAAGACGTGATATGCAGACATGCAGAGCGAATAATGTAATAAATCGACAAAACTTTAAACGAATTTCGAAAATGCCTGAAAGTATGCAACGATTATGGGGATGTGCCTGAAAGCATGCAACAATTATGGGGATATGCTTAATCATCAAGCAATGTAGTTCCACCTTTCTGTTCGGACTACTATACCATATTTCTAGCCTTGAAACAATAATCAGATATAAGAATATACATCTCCAAACAAAGTAGGTTTCAAATAGTCATAGTCTCGGTGTCGTCAATCAAAAATTTGGCTTCTACTCAGTATAAAATCGAGTCAAAATGACTACACTTCGTGGGCTTGTCGCCGATGATCTATTCAAGTTCAATTCCATTGTCTTTGAAGAATTCGTGGAAGGCTACGGTATTCTCTTCTATTTATCGAAAATGACCGAAAATCCTGCGCTGTGCCAGGTGGCAGTCGCGCCCGATGGTCGCCTCATTGGGGTACTGGTTGGAACCCACGCTGTGAACAAAAACGAAAAGATACAAAATGAAAATGGCCCCGACTTGCATCCAACTTGCGGACACATATCTATGTTGGCAGTGGCCTCCGACTATCGACGCCTGGGCCTGGGAACGAGCTTGATGGGACACTTCACGGAGATCGTGGAGCGCTATTCGGACTGGTATGTGGACCTCTTTGTGCGCCAAAGCAATGTATCGGCCATCCAGCTATATAAGTCGCTGGGATTTGTCGAGTACCGCTTCCTGCCCATGTACTATATAGATGAAAATGGCTTTGAATTGCGAATGCCTTTGTCCCGAGATGTGGAGCGACTGTCGGTTAAGGGATTCTCAACGAACGTTTACTACTTCGCATACCAGGTGATACTCAATCTAATCAAGCAGTGTCTGGAGTATCTGAAGGACCGTCTATCCTGGTATGATTAGGAAGTATGCATGTGTACCACAAAAGTTTCCTGTACCACACATTTTTCCACAAAAAAAACTAATAAAACATTAGCAGAAAATCACAAGAAAATGCCATAAAAAGTTCATTGCACTCGGCCGACGTTGAACCGAAATTGAACTAAAAGCTTGAAGAAATCGCCTCAGGGGAAAAGATAAAACATAAAAATATATGTCAGAAGGCACATGGGGACGAGGTTTGTTTATACGAGTATGACAACAAATTTTCATTTCGGATTCTGTGCGTTTCAAGTTGCGCAAGCTGGCCAAATGAAAAATGGAAAGTGAAAATCATTGCGCGTGTTTCAGCCATCAGGGAAAAGCTACATATCTATCCATACACTATACACAATTATATACATAATTCTTTTCTAATTTGTTTGCGTTGAAACATTTTTTGATAATAGAAAAGACAACAACACGATTTGCAATTCGATTTTGTTTGGCACAGAAGGGAAGAGAAGTGCGTTATGGTGAAAGTATCCGCTTGTATCCGTACTTATGTATGTTTGTATCTCTTAGATTTGCCTTTGTGCGTCAACGGAAATTCGACTGCCGCCAAGCATTCAGCGCAATTGAGTTTCTTTAATTAGCTGTACACAAATATATTCTTAAATGTATGCCGAATACTATGCAGGATTTATGGATCAATGGTCACCCGAGTCATCCTCCGATAGGCACTGGGGAACCGTGTATACGACAGCCACCGACCTACGTAGCACATCACGTGCCAAAGGCTTTCTCATATTGTATGCATTCTCCGGTACGGGCTCGTCCGGATAGTAGTCCAGTACGGTTCTTCGAAGGACATATCCCAGGGAGCTGTACAGCGACAAGGCCGGTCTATTGCTGGAGCGCAGGAAGAGATCCACGTACAGGGCGCCCTTGGCATCCAGCGCCCTGGCGATGTGTCTCATCAGTAGTGTGGCCACGCCTGTGCGGCGATAATCATCAGATACGGTCAGTGCGCATACATGCCCGTGCCACTCGTAGAGTTTGCTCTCCAAATACTTGCCAAAGATGTACCCCACCCGACGACCGCCAGGCCCAGGGGCCACAGCGATCTGTGAGAGCTCCGGCCACTTCAGGAGATGTGTCAAGAAGAACTTCAGGCTGTACACTTCGGTGTGAGGGTCAAGGACGAGGGAATTGAACTTAAAAAGATCATCCAACTGCATCTCCCGCAAGCTGGTCATGATGTCTGCTCTTCGGCTGATATTTTGGTGAAATTTTAACAAAAACTTGTGATTTTGATTGAACGTTTGACGGAAAATTAAAATATGAATTGATTCCGATTTTGTGACCATGAAAAGCAATTACTGAAGTTCATTCGACAGCTTTTCTTTCTATCAAGTGTTTGCTCATCAGTGCTTGTTCCCCCTTCCTCTACCCGGTTCATTGTCAGGGTTGTGAATCCCACCATACGGACTATGCGATACGGACCGTCCACCATCGAGTAGTCGACAGCCTCCAGCTTTTGCCGCACACATGAACCGAAAATCATTTGACGCTCTTCTAATGAGGTTAATGTTCGAGGCACTCGTTGACTCAGCGCCCTGTGCGCTTTTCAAAGATCTATTTATACCACTTAATGGCGCATTTTGCACAAAAATAAAGAAAAGTACGAGCCGATATGTATAGATAGCTACTCGCGCGTACATACATATATGTAAGCATACCTATATGTACATCTATGTATATCAATTATATCGGTAAAGAGCCAGCGATCTATTTATAATCGAGGGCATCAGGCAACTTTGTTGTGTTCTCGCTGCCTGGACAGGTGGTGTGGTCCGTCCCAGAAGACGAAGAACTTGAATTAGACTTCGTACATACAATAAATGTTAATTATCAACTCGAAATACAACATTGGTCCACTGCCTGCCTCAAGATGAATGAGTTGCTAATTCCCCCAGACATTGCTCTTTTCCATTTGCCATACATCGCCCCTCCCAGAGATTATGCTTTGTTCTAGCCATACATATACATATATTCTATAATAAATATGCTACATATACTGGATGTTTTCTTAGTGGTCTCCCAGCGCTATATAATCTCGCCTTCTATTATTTATTTTCCAAGCAGATGTGATTTATTATGATTTATCTCAGCATCTGTCCGCAGTACAGGGCCAGCACACCGAGTGGAATCATTCACATCATTTCAGCATTGTGCGCATGGGTTCTCTGTGTCTCTGATACAAAACTCTTTAGTTTTATTCGTAAATCCGCGTGCATTTGGGGGCCTTTCCTTATATTCTCTTTTGGTTCTCGATCAATACAACTAACAACAAGGCAAATTAGCTACAGTCTGGGAAACAAATATAGGAATTGGTTTGAGACAAATTAAGATAATCTACATATTCACAGATCTACCCTTAATCGTCTCTTAAAGTTAAGAAATTCAAGATCTTTTTGAATAATCAGCCTTTCGAAAGCCCGTTAGGCGCTTTAGTTGAAATAATCCTTTTGTTGATAATCCAATTTGTTGAAATGCCTTCAAGGTCTGACCATTTATTTCACATATATTTTTTAAATATTACATCATTTTAAAAGCTATTCACAGGGTATGCTACCCTCTCTTATTTGAAATCATAATTAAAGCACATCCACTAAAAAAAGTAAATAAAGTAATACCATTTGATTAAATACAAAATGCCCAACATCGTTCGCACCTAGCATCAAATAATTTCCCGAAAAGTTTTCGAAAACGATTCGACTAGTGCAGAAATTGTTGCCCGAATGTTTTGGCCGACAAGTGTGAAAGAATCGAACGAAAAGTAATTTATTTAATGTTTCGAGAGTGTTCGGTACCCCGGCAACAATTGCTGGCTGGCTGGGAAGGAAAGCATAAAGCAAGGAACAAGTACAAACAACTGCGGGCTTGCTCAATTTGTTGTTTCTGTTAAATAAACTCAAAATTCATAGAATAGAATTTTCCAAGCAGACGCACTTTACACATGCAAAGGGGTACGGGAAGGGGCACGGGCACGGGCACGGGCACGGGCACCCAGACACTCTCACTGCCAGCAGCACGGGCTTTCGTATACATATATGCAGACATATAGACACCGACATGACCGATGGTCGAAAAATATATACAGGAGAGAAGAAGGAGAATTTGTTTCGAAATGTGAAATGTGTTTTTCGGCTTTTCGGCTTTTTGGCTTTTCGGCCGAGGAAATTTCTTGTGCGAATTCAGTGCGACTTGGGCTGCTAACTTGAACGCGTTGCAAACGAGAAAAACCATCCGAAAGAAAGAAAATTTTCATCTAAAACTAACACATAGATATATATCTATATCGTCTATCTATCTGGCTGGGCTGTCTATATATACAAATATATATAGATATATGTAGATACGAGTATTTTCTCTAGCAAAAGTGAGCAATACGTCGTGCCGTGGCGCGTTTTATAAATAGAAAATTACAAAATTCTGAACCGAACAATTGTGTACGAAAAGGGTTTTCGAAACCCTCAAATATACCTCGGACCGATTGGGGAGAGCCCCAAAGATAATCTTTGGATACTCAATAAACGATATAGATACATGTACCATTTGATTATATAGACAAAACTATTTCCCAGTGATTTAGCAGTGTTCGTGTTCGTGCCGAAAGTTATATAAGAAGGCGTGATATTTTGTGCGAAATAAATTTCAATTCATTATTCATAATTTTGTTTCAATTTTCCATGAATTTTTCAGTGTTTCTGTGTGCTTAGGTTTCCCTTGCTAAATCTTTTCGTAGAACTTGCGTGCGATTCGGCATAAACCATCGCCTACGACAGAAAAATAAATAAAAAGAAACCGATTTCTTCCTTCTGGCTGCTCTGTGGAGGCGGTGTGTAAAGTGATTCAAAGTTGGACTTGAAATACAAAGCAGGCGGCTAAGATGAGTTCTGGGTAAGTTATAACATATGTAAATCTGGGGACATGGGAATAGTTTTACCCTGTTCATTGATCGATGTAGTACCCTTTTAACTTTCGGTAACATAGCAATCCAATCTGGACAAGATTTGTGGCAGCTGCACTATATCTTTCCAATGTTTTTCAAGTGTGTTCAGCAAACTAATAAAAACACAACGCCATGCCGGAGGAGCTGTTTGAAAGAATGGGACAATAAATAAAACATATGTATGAATAGATATATATGTACTATAGTATATATAGTATATACAGAACATCTTTATGATGTCTTTCACAATTAAGGCTCTCACATGAGTTTTTTTGAAGGCCATCGATTCGCCCACACTCACGCCCTCCCTCGAAGCTCTCTCGACTCGGCCCCACGGGTGCACGCGCTTTTTGGCAGGCGACAATTTTTGCCTTTTCCCCGCCACCGCTGTCTTTCCCTCACATAAAGGCGAATTAATTAATTAAATATCGTATTTTTCAACGAGATTTCGGTGCAGAATTTTATGTTCTACCCCCAGCCGCCAGCTGTCTCTCGGCCGTGTCTAAAAGCATTTGGCACACGTGTTGGGAATTTAGACAACTGACGGCATTCACCGGAAGTTTTCCTCTGGCCACGCACTTCACTCAGACAATGCCCGAGAACCTCTCAAACAACGAAACAAATTTAAGAATTTGGCATCAAATGCAGTTCACTTTTTGTTTGATTTTTTCAACATTTTTCTTCGGACAGAATTTTCTTTTTTTGCACTGCTCTGCTGACGTTGATGTGTCGCGCATAAATTTTCAGCACCCACGAGAATCGGCGATAATATATTGAGGAAATTGGGTCAAAGTGATGCGAAGAGAAAAGGGAAAACAAGAAATTAATAATAATTAAGGTGCATCAATAATTTAATCAATTTAAACTTCAAAATCAAGGTTCAGTCAATACACAATGTATTGATTTTTAGGTATAGCTAAAAGTATAATCACTTCATTTAATTTCTTGCACATATTATCAAGTATACGATGTGTGGACTTGAAATCTGTATATCTTGTAAAAGCCACAAAAAAATACGTACATTTATTTTCTGCCATTAATTTACGTGTGAACTTGGAACAAATATTGACAAAGTAAATATTTCGTAAATATTTTATTTATTTAAGTTTTCGCATCTCAACGACCGGACTTTTGATGCATTACCAGACATGACTTTGATTTTTGTCAACGACACTTATTTTGACACTTCTTTGTCGGTTGTTTTGCTTTTGTAAATTGCGTAAATCAGGTGTGAATTATTTGTTTTAGTCATTTTTGCATTTTTAATGGATTTCACGAAGTTCAAGTTGATCGCATTTGACCGTGAAATTCGAATGTACAGGGGCAGAATAACTTAAAAGAAGATGCGTAACGTCGATAAAAAGAAGAAATAAAACTGTGATGAGATGACCACACCCAAAAAAACCCATATTCAAAACCCACTGGGAATTTAGGTACTGGCCGGCAATGTGATTATATTTAGAGCACTCCCAAGATACTTGGATCTATGATTGCTTTTTATTTTGATGCGGCCTTTCCCGGAAATCGATAGTCACATAAACTGGGCTTGTTGTTCTTAAAAATGATCTTTGAAATGAATAACTAAGAAAAGGAGGGTTTTAGGGAGAGGAAATAGTACAAAATAGATTAGTTAGGGAAAAAAAGCTAGATTTAATTTATTCCAGTTTATAACGTGAATCATATATTTGCTACGTACTTTCACTTAAAACCAAAAAAAGGAACTCTCTCAAATCAAATTTTCGTGATTTAGTTTTCCCATTCCACAAATCAATATCATGGCAATTTGTCAGCCAACACCAATTCAAAGTCAGTGGAAAAAAAACCAAAATCGAAAAAAGGCGCTGCCGGGACTCTGCTGCCCGTCTGGCCATAAAACCGACGACCACATGTGGTTGTGGTAGGAAAAATGTACGAGTATAAAAATTACGTATCCTCCAATCAGCCGAAGAAAAAATATTGCCGCAGTGCATTGTGCAACGGGCGCTGGCTCGGTTTCACTTTCACCTGGAGTCGCCAGGGTGACCCAGGCCGGATTAATATAAATAATTACAGGCCCATATCCAGACCCAGACCCAGGCCAAGCCCAGAGCTCAAGCTCAAGCTCAAGCGCAAGTCCAGGCTCTCCGCTGCGTCTGATGTGGCCATGTCATGCAATCAACGCAGCGCCAATCGCAAATGACAAATGCAAAACGAGCTGCAGACTCGGGTAGTCGTAGAAAGTGATGAATGGGCTCCCTGATTGCGACTTGTGAGCCCCCTCTTCGTATACGTAGACTTTTTTCCCCACTTCGGAAAGTTTCGCCCCTCGGCGTATAACAAGTTTTTCAAGGTCAGTCCCAGCAATAAGAGGCCTGAAATATTATAATCTTACACATGCCCGCCCGTGTCCGGGGGTGTGGGTGGGATATGAAAATCAGCTTTTTCTATATTATTAGCGTGGCTTTCCCTCGCTTTTTTTTACGTTTTCCTTAGAGATCTTTTTGTTTGCTTCCGCTTTTAATGGCATATAAACTTTAGTTCGTTTTTATGTTTGCAAATTGAGAATTATTTATAAATAGGATTAGTTATACCTACTACATATATTCTTCTTTGGTTGTTTTGTGCCTTTCCCTTATTTCTTGTTTAGTTTGGGTTAATTTATGGCCGCTATCGCTAGACTAAATGGCGTTGCTATTAAAGTTTTGGTAGCACTTTGTTTTTGGGTTGATGACGAATCCCATTCCATTAAAATTATATTGATCTAACTGGAAAATATGAAAGCTAAATTTAACCTCATTTGGGGATTTATACATACATATCTATCTATCTTTATGTATCTATCTATGTATGTGTACTCTCATATACATAGCTTATGGATAATCCTTTTTAGCGCCACCTGTTAGCTGTCGGACAACAAGAATTCTCAGAACATCAAAGATTGTTCAGAAGTACTGTAGATATAAATATATTTTCCAGACAATTTTCAACTCTAGTCATAATATTTGTAAAAGCATTGCCGCTTTTATTTTCGGTGTTGCGTTTAAGAGATTGCATTTAGATGCATCATAGAATAAATCAGGAAAGTTAAATTGGGTCAAAAAAACCAAACAAGCGCCAAAAGAAACGATTCGAGAAATTGTTTTCAGAAAGAGAAACATTTAACACATAATTAAAGAGAATATTTTTTCAGGGGGAAGAAGCCATTTTTCTCATATTATTTCCCACAATGAAGGGGGCCTGTGGCTAACTAATTAGATGGCCCTCGTGATTGGTGATTGATGGCTGCACCAGACCACATATCTCTGTATGACCCACTTTTGAGGCAGCCAAAAAATACGATTTTTACTGAATGAACAAGTGGAGACCAGAGACCACAGACCACAGACAAGAGAGCAGACATTTGACTGTTGGTAAAGAAATATTGTTTACATAGTATATAAAAGATCGAAAATTATTGGCAGGCACTCAGATTACAGGTTTCAAGTGTGCGTCAATCGGGGCCGCGCCGGCTCTAAAGTGTCTGTCAATCAGGATGAGTCAGCGCAGCCGAGCAAAACTATTCTGGATACTCTGGGTGGCTGTCCGATCCCAACGAGTTCGGTTCCCCAGTCAGAACGACCTTAACATGAAGCTGCCGCTCCGGGTCCGCGTCGATGAGCTTCTGAATGCTGCTAGCCGAATAGAAAACGAACTCCATGTGGACTAAGAGCTGCTCCACCTCCCCGAACCCGTGCCCGTAGGCCCCCGTCTGAGTGTGCGCAGAAAACTGACATAGGGCTTTCTGGCCATGCATGTCTTGGTCGCCGTCCAGGAGCGTGATCTGGACACCCACCTCCGTGGCCATCAACGGACTGACCATGTAGAAGATGACGGTCTGTTCCGCGTTGTCGGTGTCGTTACCGTTGTGTTTGTTTGCCAGCGGAGTGACATACATTACGAGCATTACGGGCAACTGATGGACGATTTGCAGCTCTGGAGACACCGGAGTGCTGAGTCCCACCTTCGGGGTGCCGTGGTAGGCGATCGCAGCAATCACATAGCTTGTTCCGGCCTTCAGTTCGTTGAGCTGCACATGAAACAGCTCGGGGCAATCGGCCACTGTCTCCAGCATCGACTCGCCGGGGCTGTGACCCATCAGAAGATGGGTTAGCATCTCAATTGGCGTCAGCTCCGACCCACAGAATGGCACTGGACACTTCAGTGGTCTGTTGAAGATCTGCTCCACATCGAGAAAGGCCTGTCCCACATTTTAGTGGAATATTGCAGAGCAGTATACTTCATTTTGTAGAGTATTCGACACTTACCAACATTTCACTAGTGCACAGATCTCCATGGGTCGCCATTGTGTTATATTGCACACACAATTCTGCCTGGGAATATATGATTATATGATTCATTTGAATTGATCGTGCTGACATTTTGACAGAGTTATCAGACACTTCAATGCTCTTCAACTCTGCCTAAAATTATTTCATTGGCAGTGCTGGAAGAAAAGCTATTCTGGCTAGTCGCAGGCCTTGCGTACATTGGTAATCGAATTAAGCGAAAGTTATTTCTCCAACCTGAAATACAGTTTCAATGTCTAGAATCATCCACGACCGGCAATCGGAGTCAGTCACAGACATGTTTTCTATAGTCATTTGTGTCGCAACTTTCCCCTTCTTTGTGCTTCTTTCTTCTGTCAGCATTTTAGCCCGTGGCAGGCGGCAATTGGGAGCGCAGCGCACAGATTGTTTGGCAGAAGAAAATCATTTTCGACCAGTCATTCTGCATTTAAAATTCTTCAACGCTTTCTTGCCAATTATTATTATTTAACCGACGGGGGCCTCAGGAAATCCCAAGGCAGTCGTTGGAAAGCAGTCGTCGATAATCTTACTTATCTTATCTTCAAGGCTAGTGGGAAGCGTTTCCGCAGATGCTTGTGTTAATTAGAGCAAAAAGGTGTACGTGGAGCGTAGCTGGAACTCGATTGAGAAATCCCCAGAAATGTGACAAAAAGAGGAGTGCGAGATAAACGGAGTGCGGAGAACGGGCTGGTTTAATAAAGAAAAACCACCAAAGTAATAAGCAGGCGACATGACAGCCGAGCAAAAACAATTAGCTGCACGATAAGAGTGGCAGATACAGCCGGGAGATACCAGATACCAGATACAGATAGACCAAAACGTCGAAAGTATTTGGCGTTTAGCTTTAAATTTGTCGTCGGCGTCGAACGGCTGTGACAGACGTATAAATTGGTCTGCTCTGCAGGTCGCTGGCAGGCCGTGTATCTTGCAGATACACAGCCACAGACAGCCACCGCGTGCCAGCCGAACGTTTATCATGAGCTCGGTTTTCCTTTTGCGGCCACGAAAAATGTATCTGCAACAAGTTGCCGAACAACTCAGACCCCCAGCCCCAGCCCCAGCCCCAGCCCCAGACGCAGGCGCAGACGCAGTCGCCAACCTCCAGCGAACTCGACTTCAATGCGCGTCGAGACTCTGCTGCGTTCAGTCGCCAGTGCGCTTTCAGATACACTCGTCGTAACCCGACTTCAGATACTTCTGCGCTGCGCGTGTGTCTAAACTTTCATGTGTCCATGTGTGTCCATGTGCGTCCATGTGTGTGTCTGTGCGGGTCCTAAGTGAGAAAATTCGTACCCAAAAACAAGGCCATTGTAAGATGTCCCCCTTTTATCTCCCTCGGGAGGGCCGAGCAATCTAGTAGTACCAGTGGATTCTGTTTTTGATTTGATTAGCCGCTTTAGCTCATGGCTAAAAATAATAGAGCTACATACGTGAGCATACGAGTATATCTGAGGCGGAACAGCTGCCTGCTCCATATTGCTTACGCGCCTCTTTTATTTCCCCAACCGGCCGTTGATTCTTCTCGGCTGTTCTGAGTCATCAACGAAATGATCATTTGCCGGCTGGTCTGCACCGAAAAAGGTTAGATTGCCTGCCCCATCGATCGCTGAGTCACTGGGCTCTGGGGCTTAGGTCCCATAGTGTCTGTCTGAGTGTCAGTGCCTTTGTCTGGGAATTGACAAATGCAAATCGATGGAGCAAACAAATTCACTCTTTGTTTGTGCTTTATCAACATAGGATCAGTATCTCCCTCCACTGGGGCATAGGGCAATTGTATAATGTAATAAAAAACGCTTCAAAACGCGAGTACTACTGATATATAGCCCTATCTTGTATCTCTCTTGATTGCTCCCGATTGCTATACCAGTTTAACCAACTGCACAACAAATTTAAGATAATACAGTAAACAATATAAATAATAGAGATTAACGAAAAGCAATGGCCACCTCAACGCTGCAATCTCCGGCCGCGTCGCCGTCCCCATCTTCCACACCATCGTCGGTGAAGAATCCGCAACTGAAGCGCGTCGTCTACTCCAAGTATCGGGAATTGCTGGGATCGTACAACGATAAGGCCAATGCCATCATCGACACGCTGCCTGCCTATATGGTGCGTCAGGATCGTGGATTTCAACTGTCAGAGTTGCCCCTGACTGCGGATACCAAGAACTGCATGGAATCATCGTAAGTCTCTGTCTCTGTCTCTGTCTCTGTCTCCACCTCCGTCTCCGTCTTCCTCTCGTTCTCGGGGGCCCAACAAAGAAAACTTTCGTCAGACAAACGTTGTCCCTGATAAGCATTTAAAGCGCAATAGCAAAAAAGTTGGGAAAAATACTCGTAGCGTAAAGAACAAAACAAAACCATTTCTTGGCAAATATTTATCACAAGATTAGCTCAACTGTGGAATGTGGGCGGCTGGTCAGGGCACCCTGTACTTCGGCTGGGGCTGCGGCTGCGGCTTTGGCCCCAGCTCCAGCTTCAGCCGTGTCTATTTATAGACACGCTCGCATACTGAGAGATGGCCGGACAATGACTATCATTATGTCATGTTGCATGTGGCAGCTTTCAAGTTCTTACTTCCACTGCTGCGGATGGTGCTGCTGGGTTGCCCTTGATCTTTAAATATGCGCGGGCAGCTGCAACTGCAACTGAAGCAGCGTCGCGGCAACAAGTTTGCTTTTTCTAGAGGGTACTCCAAGGAGTGATGGACTTAATAGATGGTGTATCTGATTCAGAGGATTACATGAATTTCGGAATAGTGTAGGGATTGTTCATAATTGAATAAATTTCTGTACTTCTATTAGCACTCAAATAACACATTCTTCTCAACGTCTTTTATATCTTAGTAAAGATATTTAATACTCATTTAATTAATAATTTATCTACAAGTGTTCAATAAGATAAGATATCTAATATGATTGGCATTAAATACTCGTAAATAAACAGTCGGATTCATGTTAGAGTTTCCCCCATGGCGAAAACGATTCGAACCAGAATCTTCCTCCTATCTTTCTATCTTCATAAGATATGAAGCAAACAAATGTAGTTAGACTTCTATGTTTTCCTCATGGGGTATCTCCCCGTCGATCGCCCTGCTCCACAGCACTTGTCCAGCAGTGCTCGTATCTGTTGGATCCACCCAGCTCCGAGCAGGCAGTCGCAGTTGACTGCAGATACATATTTGCACGCTCATTTGCATGCGCAGGGGGCAGATCCCAGCCAGAGTCGAAAAAGAGTCGAAAAAGAGTCGAAAAAAAGTGAAAATGCAAATTGCACAGATGTTTTTCTATCATTTGATTTTGAGTTTTCTAGCATGTTTTCTCCTCACGCACGGACAGCTTTCCGTGCTAACAAGAGCAAGATTTTTCCGTGTTTTTTTTGCCTTTTATTTTCGGCATGAATGTCATGCCAGCGAAATGCTGGCCTATACTCGATTTGCTGGGAATATATTTTTTGTATTTGTATTTTATGTATTACAAATGTCTATTTATGGCGCAAAGTGCAATTCGAAAATGTCACTGTGAGTGGCGCATATGATTATGATTCATCAGCAGCAGTATCAGTAGCAAGGGAATTATGTACATTGTGCACTGTGCAAGTTAATTAGTCACGTCCGATAATGGGGTATGCAAATGATAATGTGGCCTGCACTTGACCAGATCTTCCTGCTTCTGCTCCCCAGTGGCTTGACATGCTCTCGGGAGACCGCTAATTGCCAAATCTGTCAAGCAGTTGTGGTCAATTGCAGGCCGTGTACGAGTACCAGTCGAAGGTACTGACGCCATGTATCAGCCATTGACGTCATCGGACGACATCTGCCATGGGATGGGATGGGGAGCGGCGCCCCACGCGGCGTGGGCCTTCAACGCGGGTATCCAAAAGTTTTTAATGTTTGTTTTTGAGATGGTGATTTTGGCAACAGACTGTTTTAGTTTAGTTCAGAATGCGTAGTGGCCAACGGACCGGTCGAAACAATGCAAGAATATGGCAATTGAACAGGAAATCACCAATGCACTTGCGCACACTGACATTTTCCTAGGCTTGTCGGGAGCTAATAATTTTCATAACGCGATGGCCGGGGCCAAATATGGCCAGCTAACGTTTAATAAACAGAAACAGTTAACGAAACTGTTGTGTAAATTGAATTGAGTTTCCTACCCTGCCATACTCGCTAAATACGAACGTTGCACCGAACTGAACGACCTCACAATTTTGGGCACGCCTCGACAATTATGGAAGCTGTCGCTGGCGATGCCAATGCTATTCATTCGGACATAATCAATGGCAAGTTCAGCCGACTTGGGCATGAGTGTCTGCAACTTGTTGGGGCATATCTCTCCATAGTTTTCCGCGCCGTCCTATAAGGAGCAGACAGCATTTCTTTGATCGCGCCTCTTATGTGGGCAATTACCGATTTGTTTTTTGTCATTTGCTGACGATTCTGTCAGCAACCGCAGCGCGGGAGTTGCGTCATTTGCATTTGACTTTGATGCACGCGCTCCAATTTGCATCTGAGGCGCTCTGTGCTCTGTGATCTGTGCTCTGGGGGTAAGCTGAGTGTTGCAATCGTTTTCCCACACTCGGCCTTCGCATTTGCGGTTAAGCACGGCCCGGTTTAGCACCGAAGAGGGCAGGGCGGGGCAGGGCAGGGCAGACGCAGAGTACATGCGAGTATATCTGAATAAATTTGCCACACTTTGGCCGTGTCAACTTTGTGGAACGGAACGGAACGGAACGGAACAGTCTGGCAGCAGACGCAAAGACGTCACCTGTTCCTGTTCGCCTGACCCACTTGGAGGCGAATCATTCACGCACTCTCCTCACACACTCGTGTGTCGCCTCTGTCCGCCTCCGAGCGGGGAAATATAAAAACTAATGAAGCTGACTGACAAGAGGCACTGGCAAGTGGCAAGAGGCAGCATACTCGTAGCATGCAACAGGCCTGACAACTTTTCAGAACCCGAACGCGAACCAGAAACGAGGCCCAGACCTCCAGCTCGACGGCCAGATGCCAGCCCATCACTTTCTTTCAGCATAACTGGCTTTCAACATCCATACGTACATATCCATCTGTGTACGTATCTCCTCCCATGTTGGGACTACGGCAACGAGAACTCCGCCGAATGTCTTCGATTTTCGCTTTTAATTAGCAAATTGTCAACGTTAAAGGCCTTTACAATTAAGCAAATTGTGTGGAGAAAAGTTGACATTAAATATTGAGAGAGATGTACATGAAAAACGAATTATGATGATGGGGGAAAGCATAAACGGGAAAGGTAGGGTAGCTACTCGAAAAAAGTGTAAAGTATAGAAAAAATATCACCCAGGAAATGTGGTTTTATAAATTTATATACATATTCTAAATCCAACGGCAATCGATTCCAACTAAGAAATCGAACCCAGAGATTCCAATAACATTAAACTACATTGAGAGAAAAATGGCATAGTAAAAAGAAACACACCCATATTTAAATTAAATATACGGTTTGTCGTCTTTTTAATATGGACCATTGGTTATGAATGGGTGGACTGCATAATTTTTAATAGGTTTTATTTCATATATTTAGTGATTATAATATCGGCGGTTATACATCTATCAATAGCGGGGTTTAATTTGCGGCGGTACGGCGATATGCGGGCGGTTGCAAAAGGGAATTGAAAGATCATGCGATGCGACGGTCCCATGTAAAATACAATCAGAAGGGCATGAATAGGGCAGCTGTAATATAAATGAACATTGAACTAAACTAAGCGGCTAATTTCTCAACACCCATATTCAACTTATTTGTAGGAAATATAATAAATTTATATATGAGTGCTTATTTCTCTGGGTGTATATGAAATGGTACACAACATATGTACATATAAATGATATAAATTCCAGAGGGGGTTCCAAAAGATGAGGACTCTTCAAATATGCACGATTGTCTTGGAAATCGTAAAATAAATTAACTAAATCACATTTTTTGCTCTGAACCAACGAAAGTAATCCAATTCAAAATTATTGTGATGAGAAACAACAAAAAACATGGCATTTCTGCGAGACAATGTTTTCTGCCATAATATAATGCCCCATGAAGTCGTCTCACTTTCAACCTTTCAAATTTGGCACTCCGTCGGGCGCCTCACCATATATGGACCGGTTGCCGGTTGCCGGTGCTCCGCAACAACTTCAGCTCACTTTCCCCCTCGATCGTAAAAAAGTCAAGGCATCGCGCGGCTCATTGAACCATCGATGAGCGTCTCATTAGTGAGGCAGCAGCAAAGAAAGGAAAACACACAAATGAGGGCTCGCTCGCTCGATCAGCAGCGACCCAGAGGGCGAACCAATAAATTAGAAAAAGATTTAACAAAAATTGTGATAAATAGCCAAGGCGCATGCGAGTGGCGAAGAATGGAGGGAAAATCAGCATAGCTCGAGGGGGAAGTGAAAATGAAACTACGAGTATTCGGCAATCTCTTGGCTTTTTTGGCTAATCGTTGGCTAATCGAATTTAATCGTTGGCTTCTCTTCTCCGCAGCTATGGACAACGCGGGGCAGGAGGAGGCGGCTCAGGAGGTGGAGGCTACGAGGCCCCGGCCTGCGTACAGAATGCGATGATGACAAAAGACAAGAAGCCGTTCACCTACACCCCAGGCGGCATAGATCTCTCCCAGATCCGGTCGGAGCGCATGGCCAAACGGTTGGCGCGCAACGCCCAGTCGGAGGGTGCCACAGGAGCCGCCCAACAGAACAGACCCGCCCAGCCACAGTCGCCAGGGGGAGCCCCCAATGCGGCCAACGCGATGGGCGCAGCTGCCATGGGGATGCCTTTCCAGGTGCTGCCGCCGCCGCCACCGCCACCGCAACCACAGACACAGGGTAAGAACGGCACTCAATTTGGTGCCGCTGCTGCTGCTGCACCCCCACCACCACCCCCCCAACAACCCAGCACACTAGCGCCACCCACGGGCCGACTCAGTGCCCCAGGTTCGCCTGCCACGGCCCGCAAGTCTCCGACCCCGCAGCGCTTCGAGCCTCCCCCATTGGGCTTCCGTCCGGAAATCAAGATTCCGGCGAACCCAATGGCCGCTCTGCGAAAGGTCCCACCACCGGTGGAGAAGAACACATTCTGGAAGGATGAGTATGTCAAGGACCGCTCCAAGAGTCCCCTGCCAGAGACTACCAGCACCACCAGCAACCAAAATGGAGACTACAATGGCAGCAACGGAAGCAATTACAACAACTCAGATGCTGTCGATGGTGAGCAGAGCTGAAGGACTCGCTGGCTTGATCATTGGGGTTTTGGTTCCGATACTGATTTCGATACTCTTCATGACACCTCGCCAGCAATTACTAAGCGGTTACGGTTGCTTCTTCTAAACCACATTCAACTAACTCAAGACATGGAAAAGGCCCTACAAAAGCCTGGCTCAAACCTCCCACTAACTGCACTAAACGATTTTATTCAAGCAACAACGGTTTTCGTTTCAATGCGGTATCTAATGCAAATATTTTCTTCAAATGTAGGTCCAAAATCGTTTGACAACAGCAGCAACAACAACTGCAACAGCTATAGCCCCTACACACCCACTCAGCCACAGCAACCCAAGACCCCACCCATGCAACAGCAGCAGCAACAACAGCAAGCATATCAGCAACAGCAGTATCCTACGCCGCCTGCCACTCCGCTGCAGTATCAGCAGGAGCAGCAGTCGCCGCGTCAGGAGTTCCGCAGTGTGGCCATGCCCACATCGCCAGCTGTCAGCGTCTACACACGTCAGGCGGAAAGTCCTCGCTCTCCCTTCGAGCGTCAGACGGAGAGTCCCCGCTCGCCCTTTGAGCAGCAACGACCACCAGCAGCCAACTCTCCCCTGGCTAATGCACCACAACAACAACAGCAGCAACAGCAGCAGCAACAGCAGCAGCAACAACAGCAGCAACAGGCAGCCCAATCCGTGCCGTGGCGTACACAGCGTGCTCAGCCTGCCCCACAGCATCCACAGCCCATCTACAACAATGTACAGCAGCAGCAGCAGCAGCAGCAACAAAGATCTCGCGATGTCTTCAGCCCAGGACGGATTGAGACATCAGCAGCAACCAATTTCAATGCACAGCCGCTGCAGCAACAGAACTTTGGCCAGCAACAAACACAATATCCAGGAGCAGCAAAGCCGGTGAGTAGAAAAATATGAAGAACACTCTTACATACCATACATATATCTTTGAGAGGTAACCACTTTTACCACTACATACGAGTTTAGTTTAAGGGCGATTAATTTATACCGATGAATGAATGAACCAGTCAACAAATATATAAGTCGATGTGACCTCTAGTCTTGTTACTCATATGTCACATTGTGAAAGCCCTTGAGCGACGATGCATGAGTAACATTTAAAACCATTATCCTTGAATCAGTCTAAAGCTGTTAATACTTGAAATATATAATTTTGAATACATTTCATTGCGTGTTGTGGTTTTGTAAGTTGTGGTCGCATCTGTAGTCAGCCAAAAACATTTTTCGCACTGAAAATCATGTCAAATGCGTCGCGGAAGCACAAAGGCTATTTTTAGACCAGAAAACTAAGAGAAAACTCAAACTAAACATTGAACGCAATCGCCAAGTGCAGCGGGGAAAGAATTGGAGCTAAATTTAGAACACAGCAAAGGACAAACACGAATTTTGAACTTGAGGCAAGGCAGAGACCCAATTTGCTGTTGAACGGAATGTCTAGAAATGGAAAATATAACAAATCTTTTAAATGATTCTTCGTCTAACTATAATTCTACATAGACCAACGTTGGATCGCTCTACATTGCTCCCCTGGCTCAGCCCACAGAGCCCCAGGCACAGCGCATTCTGCTCCAGCAACAGCAGCAAACACCGTCCCGCGACTCGCCCATGCGTCAGTTGCCACAACAGCAGCAGCAGCAACAGCAGCAGCAACCACAGCAGCCGCAGAGCAACCAGCCGCTGCGTTGGCTCAGCTCTCAGCCAGCAAGCAAGGAACAGGCACCCTGGGCTCGTCCCGAGGAAAATGGCAATGTACTGCCCTCGACCTTGAGGCAGACCACGCCGGCGCCCCAGTCCCAGCCACAGCAGCCGCCACAGTCTCAGACATCTTTCTACCAGCCACAATTGGTACAAGGCAATGGCTATGGTCCCACTGCGGGTCCTGTTTCGGCTCCGTCAGCAGCAATCGGTCAGCAGAACTTTGGCTCGCATCCTCAGGCAGGGGGACTGCGCTTGCAGATCAACTTGAACACGAATGGCAGCAACAATAATACCACTCAAAGCGGTCCAAGGGTAAGCTAATCCTCGAAACAACTCTAGGATAGCTCTGTTTAATCCGGTTATTCCTTTTGTAGGAGCGCATCATACCCATAACACTGGAGCAGACCCCAACCTATGCCGCTGCACAACCCAACTTTGGTGGTAAGTTACACCGCAAGAGCCTTCCATTTGTTCAGTATCTTAACATTATGGCGCTTTCCTAAAACCCGTTGATGTTTGTAACTAAAACCAAGCCCTGGTAGACTATTCCCAACCCAGCCCAGCCCGAACTGAAACAAACAACGAACCCACTCAACACTACCATGCACTCTCCACTCCCCAGAATGTCTCCTGTATTCCCTCGATTACCCTCCCAATATTCCTTGATCTTGTCCAAATGTGTAACTCTCCATCTTCTATATCAACATGTGTCTATGTATACTCTCTCTTTCCCACGAAAGCGCCTGGTGGGCACATAATACGCTCAGCTAATCAATTTGTCGATCAAGGTTACAACAATTATCCAGCCCAGTCCAGCCACCCGCACACGCAGTGGCGTGAGCCCAGCTCCCAGCGTGTCCTGTCGCCCAACCTCCAGCCTCCTCCAACGGGCAACGGGATCAGCAGCAGCAACGGGAATGCCAATGGAGCGCGGATTATACCCATTTCGATTGAGGGCGGACGGGGGGGACCCGTCTCCCAGTCTCCAGTGCTGCTTCAAAAGTAAGTATAGTGCTGCGGACCGAGTGCAATGGCTTTTTCTTTTTTCTCTTTGTGCTTTACCAACACTAAACAGTTAGCCCGCACTAATGCGTAATAATTTTGTGCTTCTTTACAAACTAAACCAAACCAACGACTATTTAGTGGCAATTACAATGTGTATGTGCACCAGTGTCCGCTCGAGGCGGAGATACTCTACAGAAAGAATCGTCTCAGGTAGTACGAGAGCACAGTCGCCATAACAATCGTTTCTTTCACATCATGCACAGCTTTAAGTGTTGTAAACCATATTATGAAGTAGCAAATAAAGCTAGAAAGCTTTTATTCTGCTACAAGTTTCCTTTTGAACTGTGGATAAATGTTGTGTCTTGCCATTACCATATGTACATCATCTGCAAGTACAGTCTCGTACATCTCTGCTAAATTCAAATCAATTCAAAAATGTCATGTCTTCGTGTCAACCCAAATCCATCATAAAAATTAACCTAACACGTTTCGTTCGCACAAAAACAAAAACAAAACAAATCGTTGTAATTTGGTTTTTTGAGACATTTTCGATTGCATGCTAACCAACGACCTAACCTAACATTCGCCTATATCTACTTGCAGCGATCCGCGCTCACCGCCCATCCAATCGAAATCGTTTAGAATATTGCAAAAGATAACCGACACGGTGGACGATGGCAGCGGTGGAGAACCCCCGCGCCAAGAGTCCCCGCTGCAGCAGCCAGCGTCCCTGGACGAGGCCGGGGTGCCGCAGTTGCAGCGGCCCCAGTTCGCGCGCCAGATGAGCGCCCAGCAGGCACGCAATAGTCCGACCATTGAGCAGATGAGGCGCCTGCAACTGGCCCAGGATCAGCAGCAGTCGGGTACGCCTTTAGCTTGGTCCCCGCAAGGTGAGATTTGAACGGTTCCCCCTGGCCCCCAGTCTCAGATCTATCCTCGGAGCCCCTCATACTCTCCTTTCCCCTACAAACATCGGTCTTCATTCAGCCACTGGGATGGGATGGGGTGTTGTCATGGTGAAAGTGCGTGTCTCTTGGGAAGGGAAAGTGTTTCAGGTCTCAGGTTTTTAGGAAGTGTACTAACAATACTGAAAGCCGCTTACAGCCACAACAACATCAAACTTTTGGTCCTTAGTATACTAACGAGCTTCCTGTGCGTGTCCCCCCATACGGTTTAAAAAATGGTGCCATTTAGTTAAATTATCAAAATTATTGCAGCGCTACTAAGTAGACTAATTTAACAAGCGTTAAATCCACTGCTGGATAAGGTTTTCTATATGGTTTGAAACTTGCTTTTTCTTGCAGGTAACGGAGTCATGTCCCAGAATCGCTTTACGCCCCAACGTTATGGTAGAACAACTAACGAAAATCACCTAGAAATGTATACTAATTGCATATAAATCTTATCACCAGATACACCCCAACAACAATCACAGCAATATGTGCCGCCCAGTGAACAGCAGGTGCCGGAACCGAAGAAATATACCGGCAGTGCTATACCCAGTCGATCATTCAAAATCCTACAGGCAATGACAACACCCGAAAATGCCGGTAAGTGCTCCTAAAGATGTGCAAAAAAATGACAGAAGACTACCCTGATAGCAGTATATCGTTGTCTGAAAATGAGTTACAAGTTTTGATTCCGAAACTTCATACAAAACACGAGACAAATATCATCGCTGTATATATATACATATATCCATATAAGCTCCACCATCCTCACATAAGTAATCCCATACAGATACACCCACCACTCGCACAAAAACACACATCCCACATGGATACATAGTACATACGAGACATTGCATCAAGAGTTTTAGTTTTCTTAAAGCCTTTTTTATTGAGAGATTTCACCTTTTGCTTTGAGTATTGATTCTTGCCCTGGTAGAAAAGCGATGCGCATACGATTTAAGTATGGAAGAACACTGTCAATCAGACTGCATGATGATGTTTTTTTCTGTACAGTTGTCAGTGCATCCCGCTCCCACCGTATCGTAAGAAGATCGAACATATTATCCAATAAAGCATCCAGTTTTTGCATCCCTCACTCGCCATATATACCTGTACATACGATAGCCTTGCTTGATCGTTTAATCAACCATTCAGTGATTCAATCAATCAATCAGAACACATATAATACCGCACTCTCACCGTGTCTATTTCTCTTCTTCTTCTTTTATATCTTATGATAACCGTGCTCCAAACAAATAAATCCAAAAAAATACCAAAAAAACCGACCTCAGAACATAAAATTCACACCGAGCTGGACTCGGATTTGGAAAATGTTGACTTGAACGAAATCCCAAATAATAATAACTATAATCAAAATACTGAAAATACTCAAAATAATAATCATAATCAGCATAACAATGAGATTAACAGTAAAACCAATAAACGTCACAGTTACACATCATCCACACCCACCCCCACCCCCACACCCACCACAGACCACACCCAGGCCACATATTCATCCAATTCATCCCTCAGCTCTGCCGACAGCTCGTGTCCCCCGCGCTCTCAGTCAGTGCCTCCACACTATCCCTATGCCTATGGCTATCCGTATCCCTGGTATATGCCACCGCCCCCTGGAGAGGCAGCTCCAATGGCCCCATCCCATTGGCCGTATCCTTATCCCTATCCCCCACCACCGCCGGCGCATCATGCGGTGGAGGGAAAGCCAGCCGATGTATATCCGCCCTACTCGTACTACTATCCGCACCCGTATCCGCCCACAATGCCGCCCTACGGACAGCCACCAAGTGGCGGCGATGCTCAGCCTCCGGCTGGGTATCCACCGTTCCATGCCATGCCTCCCTACGGGCATCCGTATCCCTACCCAGTGGCCCCCAGCTACAGTCAGAGCTCCAACGATGAGAGTCGCGCCAGCAGCGTGCTCCCGGACATCATCATCACGCCCAGCACCGATGACATGCCCTCACAGGTGATCATGCAGCATCACATCAAGGTGGAGCCTCGCGATTCGCCCAAGCGGGCCCACTCTGTGGAGATCGAGGAGCTGGTGAGCAGGCCCAAGACCCGGAATATCTGCACCAGCAAGCACGAGGTCATCGATATGCTCAGCCAGCGTCTGGCCAACATTAACAAGATTGCCGGCGGCAACACCCATGCGAATCTCTCCAAGCAGCTCCAGAAGGACTATGCGGGCGAGCAGTCCAAGGAACTCGGAGCGAGATCTCCCAGCGAGAACGCTTCGATAGATGACAGCGATTCTGAGGAAGAGACCAGCGATGATGAGGACGAGGAGGAGGATACTCCAAAGCACGCAAGTCGACCAGCTCCTTTGCAGGCAATCAAGTCAGTGACCAACGTGCAGGTCTACAAAGGCAAAGCATTGGATCAGCATTTGGACTCGGAGAGCAGCGATAATGAGGATGATGATGATGAGGATGAGGATGTGACCACAGCGGATGAGATGTTTGACGAAGAAGAACAGGTCGAGGAAGAGCAGGAGGCTCTCATTGAAGAAATCGATGACGATTATGTGGTCGAAGAAGACCTGAGCGTCATATACGAGGAGGAAAGTGAGCTGGAACGCAGTAGTGAATATGCCAAGACTGTCATCCGAAGGGACGATTCCAGGTCCACCCTTGTGGACGACATAGAGAAGCAAATTGAGGATAACGACAATGATGATGATGACGAGTCCAACTCGGTAACCGTTCGCCTGCCGTTGCGTTTCTCCTTCAGTCGCAGCTCCAACGATGAGAACATAGCCACCGTCCAGGTTGGCAATACCACCCAAATCGAAGAGAAGCGCCAGAGCATCGTCAATAGTGCGGAGAGCAAGCGCAGCTCCTTCAGTGTGGCAAAAGTAGAGAGCGCAGACGAGGACGAGGACGAGGACGACGACTGTGAGGTGAGTGTAACCATAAGTCTGTCCAACTCATCGCGCTCCAACTCGGTGGAAAAGTACAGACCTACAGAGGCCTATTCCGTTGAAGAGATGGCCACACCTCTCAAGGGCAGCAAGGAAGACGTATCCGCCTCTTTCTCCCTGGGCATGCGCAACAAGTTCTTGGGCGAGACCATAGCCAACGATGTGACCAACAACATATCTCGGGCCAAAGCAGAGCCTGAACCCCAAGCCAAAACTGTCGAAGAGACTGTCAGTGCTCCGACGGAGGACTTTGACTTCTTTGCCACGTTGATGGCCACAAAAATGCAGGCACAGAAAATGATGGAACAGTCCAAAAACTTCTGGAAAACCACCAACACAGAACCAGCCCCATTAGAGCCGAAAGTAAAGGCTACCGACACTCCCCAACTAAGGGCCAAGGAGAACAGCGCCGAACCCAAGCCAGCCAGGCCCAAATCGGCTGATATGTCTAAGGCACAGGCTTCCTTGGAGGCAGCGAAGAACAGCTTCTGGTCCACATTCGCAACAGCTTCTCAAGAGCAGGAACAACCAGCCCCGCCAATGGAGAATCAAGAACGGATGGATTTCTGGGGGAGTATAGACAAGAAAAAGAAAATTGAGTCGGGAGAAAAACAGTGGACAAAAAATAAGAAAACTGTTACCTATACTCCCCTAAAGAAGGAGACGGCGACAAGAGTGGAGCACTGGACAACAACACTGCGGGCTCACGTGGAATCCATGCCATTGGCCCAAAAAGCTGAGGTTCATTTTGTGGTGGAAGAAAAGCCCATGGAGATCGAGAAGACAAAAGAGCAGGAACAGAACGAGGACTTCTCGGCTTCGGAAGATCAGTCAAGGGCCGCTTACAAAGAAGACTTGGAGAATGAACTTACATTTGAGGCTGAGATGGATAACTGGAATGGCCAACAGGATGAGCAGCAGGATGAGGAGGACGCGGACTTCTGGGCCGACAACAAGTCTACAGCGAGCAGCAACGAGGACGAGAAGGCCTCGGGACGCTTGGCTTATGATCCCACGAAATACCCCGAGGAGCCCCGAGAGGTGGACACTGACGAAGAAATTGATTTCTGGGCCGAGATCGAGGCGAAGAGGAAGCCAGACGACGACGATGATGTGACCTTCCACAGGTCGGCCACCTTCTGGGCCCGAAAAGAGCGTCAGAATTCTGTGGAGGAAACCCCATACAAGCCGGTGGAAATCAAGGCCTTCAGAGCCAAGCTGCCCGATGAGCCTGCCGTGGCAATCGATGTGTGGGCCACACTGGAGGCAGCACGTGGCACAGAGCCAGAGATTGTCGATCTCGTTGTGGAGGAGGAAAAGGTTCTCGCCGAGCAATACGAGGAGCTGCACCACGACACTCCTGAGGAAGAGGAAAAGGAGGAAACACAGCACCAACCCGTGGACGAGGTGCCCGAGAGCAATCTCCATATGGTAGATACCATGTCGCTAGCCTCCATGCACGAGCCGGCCACAGTCTATACCTGGGCTGCACCGCTGGAGGAAAGCTATGAGGATGTTGGGGAGCCCGACTTCTGGGCCGACATCGAAGAGGATCGCGCCAAGAAGGAGCAGGGCGAGGAAGTCGAGCAGAAGCGACACAACTACCGGAAGGCCATGGCCTTCTTCAACACATCCATCGATGGCCAGCAGTCGCCACCGCAGCCCAGTCCCAGTCCAACACCCAATCGCCACAGCGTTATCCTGGAGGCTGAGGAGCCCCAAGACCTCGACCTGGGTCCACCGGGAGAATACGAGATTGTAGGCGAGGATGGGGCGATTATGGAGGAGCATAAGCCCCAGACCGCTGAGGCAGACGAAGAGGAGCGTGGAGCTCCCACTCCGACCAACTTTGAGCCACACCTTCCAGAGGTGTATGTCGAGCCCGAGCCAGAGATGAAGCGCTTGGCCAATGGACTGCCCGACCTGGAGGTGGATAAGTTCAGTGAGGCACCCAAAATCTCAGTGCGCGACCGCATCAGCGCCTTTGAGGTTAGTTCCGATCAAGATGCACCCAGCTCCAAGGCATTGACCATTCAGTCGCTATCCGTGGACAGCGGTCATGGAAAGGGGACACTGTCCCGCAACAGCAGCACGCAACGCTCCGAGTCGGAGATCGAGGAGGATGACTCGGGCGTCACGGACATGAATCGACAGCTGTCAGAGACGGACACCGAGTCCGAGAGCTTCCCGGAGCTGCGGAAGATGACCAGCTACCAGCGAGCCGCCACACATTCCAGACTTTTTAAGCTGCTGCAGGACGAGAATGACCTGCCCGAGGCAGCGGCCCAGGCTGACGAGTTCCAGCTGAAGCCCAGCCGGCGCAAGATCGTCCACAATGTGTCCATTACCCGGCGCCAGAATCCCAACGCACTGGGCGAGGCCGAGAGCATGACCCAGCGACGGGAGCGCCTCTCACTGCCGCTGCGCAAGAACACCAGCATCGATGCGGACAATCCCTCGACGCCCAACAGCCCGGCCTCCCCCATCATGGGGCCCTCGGCCAAGAACCAGCGCGTGGTCAGTGACAAGCTCGTCAACGAACTGGTCCAGAGCCTACTCCTCAAGAGCGACAGCACACATCTGCGCAATCTTCCCATGGAGCGGCTGCAGGCAGCCGCCAAGCGGGCCCTGGTCGAGGAGATGGACTCCGCCCAGGAGAACAGTTCGCTAGACAGCACGCCCGCACCCACGCCAAAGCAGGACAAGGAGTACGCCGACTACTACAACAGCTGGTGCGACGCCAGCGGCAGTGGCGAGGAGGTTGTACCCTCGAAGGCCTTCCGAGCACTCCAGGATCCGCGCCGCAGCCCCTGGACGGTGCGCTGTCCGCGGGTGCTCAGCTCAAAGACCATCAACCGCGATTTGGCCAGAGTCACGGAATCGCCAGAGATCGCCAGCGGTCGCGGCAGTAAGAGTCCAGAGTGCTTCCGTCAGAATTCCCAGTCCAGGGAACGGTCGGTCAGCAGTTGGCGCAGGGTCTAATGCTAGCTGGAAATCGCAAGGCAAGAAAAGGCCTGTTGTATATAGAAGGGCGGGATCTATAGTCTTTAGCAGGGATGTGAGACCGGTTTAAGTGGGAGACCAGTTCTTCCCCGAAGAGCCTCGAACGGAACAAAAGACCTATGACCGACTAAACGAAAACCGACTTTAAACGGGCTCTTGAGGAAAGCACTGTATCATTTTGAACCGATTTGCATTCCTAATCCTTTGGTAAAGTAAGCGCCTCAGGCGATCTACCCCCACCCGCAAAACGGGCGATAAAAGGGGCTGGGGCCAGTTATTGCATTTCTCATCCCAATCACAAACACCACACACACACAACTACACACATTGTACATTTTGAATATTAATAAACTAAATATCTAATTGATACGAGTACCATAATGTAAATAAACCAATTGAGACCAATGACAAAGAAATCGTTCATTCGTTCGTTCGTTTGTTACCTCAGTAAAGCGTAAGATCAAAATCATTTCTAAATCGAACCAAAAATAATACGAAGCATATAAAACCTGAAAAACCAAAAACCAAAATCCAAACAAAACAAAAACCAATCGAAATCAACCAAAGATCTATCAAATCGCCACAATAAACAGCAAAATAAAAACCAATTTCATCTCAACTCAATGATTTTGTAAAACTCGTTCAAAATCCTAAGGTACCTAAAAATTGCAATTTTTATAAGAAACCCCCCAAAAACAGTTTGAACTAATTGAATGTTTTCATTATATTCCAAAAACTGTCCTCTATTCTATTCTATGTAATATATTATTTTATTTTCGCCGCTATTTGATTTTTATTCTGTTCTGTGTGCCATATTCTTTTTTTAATTTGTTTATAAAAATATTTGCGATAGTTGAATTGAATTGAACTGAATTTGAAACAGGTTTGTATCCTCCAATCAAATGTTCAGCTATTAACAAACTCAAAGTAAATCGTAGCACTTCCAGATATCTATTAACAATTACAAGTATTTACATCTTGGCTTTGATTATAGTACTTAATAATCTGAAGAAATTGTTGTGTATCGCAAATATTTTTATTGAAATGTTGTAGTTCCTATACCCTTCCCAACTGCTTTCCTTCCCTAGTTGAAACTTGAAACTGGAGAGCAAACTCCACCTTGTAATGAACAACGAATGAAGATTACTTTTTGTTGTTGTGACCATAAATAAATACAATCCGAATAAAAGAGTGAAACCATAAAATAGAAAATTGTACAATATAAACTTGTCGAAAAGTCGTTCGTTACATTAACCATTCATGAGTTCCAAATGCATAATTCAATGTTTCTTTTCTTATACTCAATTAACTTGTTCTACGCACCGTAAGAAATATATATAAATATTTTAACAAAATTAATCGTTAACTTTAATGATAATTACAATGACATTGAATGGCTTCTACCCCAAGAATTGAATTGAGTTTAATTGAATTGAAATTGAATTGAATGTGAACAAAACAAAAACCAAACAAAAGAAAGAAATTACAAATGAAAAGGTGAAGTTTTCTCTCAACATTGATTTGGCTGCCTGGCACTTGCACTTCCTCAGTTGCTGCTTTTATTTAGTTTTTATTTGTATTTTTAATTTGACTTTTTAGTTATAGTTTTCATTCTCTTTCCTGTATATATGTATGCAAGTCCGGTCCCGGTCTTTGGTTAGAGCTCTCGACCAGGACCAGAGCCTTGAATATTTCCACAAATTAGTGTTAGCTTTATCTGTTTGCTCCCCCCCAAGAGATATGGCCAATCGTATAATCTGTTCCATTTGATCTTTTTCAGGACCTGGACAATCGGATCTATAATTATTTCTCAATGCCATAGAAATTTATTATAGCGCAACAAAGCAGCATCGAGAAAACAAAACAATCGCAATGCTTGCTATACGATTAGACTTCTAGTTTAAGTCCAGCCGCAGTTAGGATCGCAAGGGAATGGGCACTAAGCAGCAGTTTTTAGTCAAATTTCTTAAAACTAACCCACACCATTGTAGATGAAGAGAAAATATATATATTTTTTGTTTTGTTTTGTTTGTTTAACGCGATTTGTTAGCAGCACTAAAACCAAACAAAAACAAAAACCATTCTAACACAATTACGAAGCAACTAGCGAAAGCGAACCTTACGAATACTAATCCTAATCGTTAAGCTCTGGAAGGCAGGTGCAATGAGGTAACAACGAAACGAATCAGAACTACACTGAATACTACATTACAATGACAAGAATCGACTAAGATCATTATATGAATCCGGATAATAGGAAACACGACTAATAAAATATTGTACTGTATACTGTATTGTATAATTTTTGTTATTTGAGAGACGTGGCAATTTCAGAAACAATATCACATTTGACGAGATCTTTTTGTTTGTGTCATTCATTATTTATTCATTTATTATATTCGTATGCATACGAATCATCTATTATTTTATACCCATTTAAAATACGATATATTTTGTGTTGTATGATTTTTTATGAAGTGAACATTTTTTAGTAAATAAAGAGATAAAACCAACAGAGTTTATATGTATTTTATTGAAGAAGTTGCATGCAATCCCAAAGAAATCCCTCGGGTAATAGTACAACTGTCTTTTATTTTCAGAAACTTTATAGGGACCAGATTTTGAGTAGAGTTCTTAATGTTATGGAGTGTGAATGAAACAGTAGGAGTTCAGTTAAGGTACAGAGAAGCCGAGTGTAGCAAAAACCTTTGTATAATTTTATATTTATCTTAAATTGAACTCAATTTAAATTCGATATATGTATATATTATATATGTATGTATATGTAGTTGTATATATGTATAGTATGGTACCCTTTGCAAGCTAGACTCTTGGCACATACAATATATGATCTGATCCATAGAGTGGACATGTTGAACGATTGTAACGCCAACAAAACGCACTCAAATTTCAACTACAAGCGTTACAGTCAATAAACATTTAAAGCTAGATATCAATACAATATATTGCCACATAGTTATAGTAGTTTGCTTAGCATTTGCAACATTAAATGCATGGTTATGCATACATATATTCTATAAATACTTTTTTCAACACTACGTTTCCCTCGATAGTTAACTTTGAGATACTTTTGATTTGTACAATTCACTTTTCAAACCAATAACAAATTAGCACTATATCAAATAGAAACAACAACTGTTTAAAATTGTCGATTATATAGTAAACAGAGCATAATCAAATAATCTACATAACAAATGGGCGTATATATGTATACATATATACATATATATATATATCTTCAGTTATTGTTTATAGTATTGCTTGGATAGGTAACTGCTGTCAAATCGAAACTTTTAAGACGTGGTTTTATTTGCTCCCTGCAAATCCATGAGCTCTTGCACAATCCGGTATTCATGACAATCCGGACAGAGCAGGCGACCATTTGAGCGGTTTGAGCGTTGCACCTTTTCGTGGCACACAACGTGCACGAGTTTAAGGTTCTTTAGGGAGAATATTTCGAGAAAGTACTCTAAAACAGAGATGTCTACTACACGCTTGTTGTGAAACGAACATTTGAGCTGCGGCTTGGTGACTAGCTCCTCGACGTTGGCTACCATGGCGGGCAGAATCGTGCGAGAGAGTTCAATTTGATGATCCAGATTCCACACCTGAAACAAAATGAGATTCTCGCGCGAGGCATACGGATTGATGGTGTGCTGCAGGGAGCAGCAGTTGCCATTATCCGAATACGCGCCCTGGCAATAGAAGTCCCCCAGATCGGTGCACAGCGAAACAGACCAATCATCGAGTATGGAATGCTGCTTAGTGTACTCCTTGATGAGCTGCCTTAGTCTCTTGCTTGGAAGACTTCCGGCATCGGGCTCCTCATCACCCGTCTGCTGCCGATGCTGCTGGAGGAAGTCGTGTTTTTGTTCGCACTTTCTGTTGAACATCATTGAGAAATAGTCGCAGCCGATGAGTAGATAGCGAAATTGCTCCAGCACCGAGTTGATGACTTGCCGGGCCTTGGGATTTTGCCTGTACAACGGATTGCGTGTCAGCTCCTCCTTGGCCTTATAGTAGTAGCCGCGCACACGTGTCTGGGCACGCACGGCCATGGCCTCTTCCTTGGAGTGAAAGCGCTCCTCGCCGCCCTCGAACCATTCCACGTGCTCGTCCTTCAAGCTTAGATGGGCCTTGCTGTTGTCCAGGACCAGTCGCTGCTTCTGGTGCTCATAGTCCGAGATCATGCGTCGGAACTTCTCCGGATGCTGTTCTATAAAGTCATAGAAGATGTCTGCCACCTTCAGCAAGGGCGATTGCTGGCGCATTTTCTCAAATTCAAAGTCGGCATCTATCAAGAATACTATTCGGTAATCACACTGCTAGACTGCTGGAGGCTCTCTCACCTGTTGTTATGACTGCATCTGGACCAGCCACAATGAACAACGTCTGGACGGGCAGGCTGTTCAAATACTCATCATCAGACACCTCAAAGCCATCAGAGGCTAGATAGATGTGCAGGTCCTGCCGCTAAACATGTAAATGAATTGAAAAGAAATTGAATAAACTGCCCTTGACATGACGTTGCAACAGGCCACAGCAGAGCGAGGTCAGAGCCGAATCTCGGCCAATTCCGAGGAAGGTTCACTGGCCTTCAGGAAATTGTTTTGTGGCTGGGACTTGGACGCGACAGCAGCAGCAACAGGTTTCCTGCAAGGTTGCCTCTACTCTAACGATTTACCAGACATGCGCACTGTGGGTGGCATTGAATGCGGAAGCCACTGCCAGGGACATTGGCCTTGAATCTACCAGGGCCAAGAATTTTTTGCCTGCCCGGATGCGTGGGTGGGTGGAAACTCAAACACTTTCGCTGAAGTTTTCCCTTTTTCTTTTCAGCAACTCACCGGAAACTTGTTATTGGCTTTGGTTAGCAGAACTTCCAATGAATTGGCTCCAATCCCATATTTCCTTGACCGCTCATTATCAGTAATCTTGTAGCCCCGCATTGGAGCAGGTGGAATTTCCTTGGACGAGGAAGAGCCGTCTTCCTTTGTGGCCCTTTGTTTGCTGCTGCTGTTGTTGGTCTTGACGCTGTTGCTGCTACTGCGTGTTGACGGCGCCATAATTGTATCTCTAATGTAGTTTATCATTGTGCAAGCACATGGAGTTGGAGTTGACAACCTTGCAGCAAGCTTCCTTTTAAGCGGACTTTGTATTTTTTTATTTGTATATTATTTAGAGGTGGAAAAACATCGATGCATCGATGTTTTTTAAATTTTTTTAAACATCGATTGGCGAAACATCGATGTTTAGTTTTATGTCTTGTCCCGTTTCTATGAAAGAAAACACTAAAGAGAGAAGGAGAAGAAGCTGCTGCCCAGAAATATCTGTGCGTCCCGGCCACGTCGTGTGATTAGTAGTAGAAAGTAGTAGAAAGTCGTAGTTTCTAAACAAAAATCAGGACTTGTTTTAAGATATACTTTATGTTGCTGAACGAAAGCTATAAGCTATTGAAAGTGAAATTATCTCAAATGAAAATGATCTTTAATAAAAAATGTTTATTTTAAATAACTTTAATCATATTTGTGCAGCTAAATGTGTTCTGTTTTGTTTGTAACTGTTAGCTTGAAAAACATCGATGTCTAAAAACATCAATGTTTTTCCACCTCTAATATTATTGTCAGTGTCAGTGTGACCGCGATCTATAGTTAAAATATACCGTCCGACCCTCAGAAACATACCAAAATATACCGTCTCATCTTAAAAATATACGGTAAATATACGGACGAATTCAACTTATATTTTACATATTCCTCAATTTTGATATTCCGTCGATTATTAATAGCTTTATAGAACATTTAGCCATGCCCACATAATTTTATACGGTTTATGAATTAATTTTGTACTTAAGTGATTTATTTTAAATACTTGCTTTCATTGCATTTTGGTAAAAAAGGTTTTAGCGAAAATAGTCGAACAAAAAAAAAAACGAAAAAGGATAGTCGTTCATATTGCTCAATTTTTATATTCCGTTGAATAATGTAGGCTAACTAAAGCCTTTAGTTTCGCCCACATAATTTTAGCCCGTTGATGAATATATTTTCAACAAGATTGGCTAGTTTTTAGTCCTTGCTTTTATTGTTCAACAAAAAAACAGTCGTAATGTTGGGTTGTCAATGTTGCTGGTATTAGAGTATGTTCATTTTTATACCCTATTTAATAAATATTATATAAGGATACTTTTCCAAGCTGCTTTCAAACTTAACTAATAAAGACTTTGCCTTAGAGTGCATTTTTTTTTTTTTTGCCACTAATTGCAAAATATCGTTTAAATACCTTTAAAAAAGAAACTGTTTACTTTCTGCATTAATTAGAGCCTACGACCACAAACATTTTTTCAATTCTATAACATCCATTTCCCCCAGGGTATGAGTGTGCATGTAATTATCAAATTATCTGTGTAAGAAGACAATAAGTTGAAATAGCTTTGAAACAGAGACTAAATTGTTTTTGCGTGGGATGACAAACATTTTCTCAATTCTATAATATCCTTTTCCTAGGGTATGTTTTCCCATGTCCAATGAAAATCGTCAAAAATGAATTTGAAAACATGTTTCTGTAGCAAAATTTCTTTTGACCAATAAAAATCGTCAAAAAATAGTTGCGTTGCAGAACATTTTTGACGATTTTTATTGGCCAAAGCAACCCGTTTTAAACGGACAAAATTTAGATTTCTCGTGTATTTAATTTATTAATTTAATAATTATTTATTTATTAATTAATTTTGGCAGGAAACGGCTGCGGCAGAATGTCCGGCTATTTCTACTATTAAAGGCATACCATCCGGAGCCAATTTTCGCCGGCTAACAATTTGAATCTGCTCCGTTTTCTGAATTGTTATTATATTTATTGTTTATAAAATGTTATTTAAACAAAATGACATGGTAAATTTACATTACACGACAACTATACTTTTATAAAATCCCAAGAAGTTCGGCCATCGATACTATCGACTTGATGCGAGAGGTGCGCGCCAAATAGAAATTGTTTGAATGTGAATGAGCGAAAAGGATTTAAATGATGCACGTGAATACGAGAACGAAACTCTCTCAGCCTTTCCAATTTTCTTTGTCTTTAATTTCACTTCAAATATAATACATTATCGGTAATTCGTAGTTCGTTGCTATTTTCTATCCCAGAACCAAATATGCAGTATATAGATCTCCAGTTAATACACCGACCATGTCCCAATCGAACTTTCTGGATTATATCTCAAGGTGTTCGGCTCTGGCGTTCGGATGTTTTTTTTTTGCATGTTAGGTTTTAGAATTGTTGGCATTTAATATACGTTTTCCGGCATACTGGTATGAAATGGTGTATATAGATTGAGTGTCATACTTGCGCATCAAGTATATCATATGTTCATATATCGCTTTCTTATGCGAATGCAAACAAAAATAAGTATGCATATGCATATGTTTTCGACTCGAAATGAATGCATTGAAACGCTAATTAAATGCGTCCTGTAATGACAATGTTAAATGACATAGTTTTCGAACTTTGAAAACCATTTGACACGGGAATTCAAAAAGTAGAAGTATATCATGCCATCTCTAGCATCAGGTGTCATCCCTAGATTAGCACAGGCCTTGAAAAAGAACGCACACCTACACATATAAACACATACAGAAACATGGTAAGCGCTGCAGCAGAGCATGGAAAATAGAGGTGGCCACGGAGCGTGTTTTCTTCGTGTTACGATAGTCACACTCGCGTTTGCCTGTGAAGATATATGATTTTATCCATTGTCGTGCGTGTACTAATACTAAATTTTTGGATGTAAAACAACTGCATATTAAAATTCTTCTATGTTACAGCATCTTCGAGTGATAAATTCTAATAGCATGAAGGGCAGCAGCTTCTATCTGGTAGTACATAGTAATATTAGTAATTATTCTGCCAAGCTCGACCACGAGCGAGGGGGTATTTAGAACCTCCGGACAAATTCAGCATTGGAAGGCATTATTTAGCTAGAATATTAATAAAACTATGACATATAAATATCTATATTGAAATTATGCTATGTCGAGCTGTTCTGTAAATTTTTAAAGTCGTAAATGCCAAATAAAGAAATGCCAACTAAATCAGCGCTGCACACATCCATGAAGCACTTGCATAATATATTGTAAATATCTCTCTGTTATACAAAACAGTTTTGTGTCGTCGTCGTCTTGGTCGTGGTCATCGTCGCACAATATTTTATGTTGGATCGTCGTGCTCCCGATAGTTTATTCAAAAATGTGGATCTGATATGTCTGACCATTGTAAATTCTTGAAAATGCGCGGTCCATCGAGGATATATTTTTTTGTGGCTTAAGCAAGTGGACGCTACTAACAGATATATGCACGAAGCAGTCCACCTCTAGGCTCAAGTGTCATCTCTAGATTTTCCCGAGCCCAGAAAAGTAACTGAAACACACATACATACAAACATAAAAAGCCGAATGCGGGCAGAAAAGAGAGAGCACTGAGAGCGAGTGTGCATGTGCCAGAGCGAGAGGGAAGAGAACAGAGGATCGGTATGATACCGAGTGTTGCCATTGAATCTGTGTTGCCATTTCAGCTTATTTTAAGCTAGATTTTGCTTATTTTAAAACAAAATAGCTTGAAAAATAATTGAAATGCCTATGGTTTAATTTAGCTTATTTTGGCTTCAAAAAATGTGGTACAAAACAATTTTTGTTCTTTGATTTTATTGTAATACTTGTTAATATTTATTAAGAAATAGGATTTGTCCTATTTTTTCTTGCTATTTTGGTATATTATCCAATTTTGTGTATAGATGTTATTCGTTGATAAGTTTCTGTCACACTATGGTATTGCACATGTTTGCACATTTGCATTTTATAAACAAAATTTCTACATTTTCTGGTTCAATTTCGATGAATTTAAGAAGGGGCTACGCAATGTGCCAACTGAATCCACATAAGCGTACTGCTGCTTTTGTAAGTCAACAATTGGGGCCAAGTCGTGGGAATTATGGTAGTATGTTGTCGCTATAAAACATATGCGTCCAATGCTAGCATGACACAAACTAACAAAATACCTCTTGTTAGAAACTCCTCAAAAACAGAGGAGCAAAAGGCTGTACATTGCTGAGCACTCGGCCATGGCATAATGAAGTGGATAAAATCATGTCATTACTTTCATTCAAAATTAAAAAAAAAAATATATACAATTGAAATATACATTATTTTGATGTGTTTTTATTGTTAGCTTATTGTTAAGCTTTTTTTGTATTTAGCTTATTTTTTCTTCAATCTAGCTTATGGTGACTCTCAAAATCTGGCAGCACTGGTACCCAGTGTGCCTGCAGCGCAACACCAACGGCCACATTACAAGCTGAATTTTGTATATAAAGCAACTACGCCAGAGCCACAATCGGCCCGCCAGAATCGGCGGCTGCATCCAACATCTCTATCCTCCTCGAATTGTACTTTAACCTCCGCAACCACACTTCTTGGAGCGTAATTGAACCTCCGCAACCACACTTCCTGGAGCGTTATTGAACCTCCGCAACCACACTTCTTGGAGCGTAATTGAACCTCCGCAACCACACTTCTTGGAGCGTAATTGAACCTCCGCAACCACACTTCCTGGAGCGTTATTGAACCTCCGCAACCACACTTCTTGGAGCGTAATTGAACCTCCGCAACCACACTTCTTGGAGCGTTATTGAACCCCGCAACCAAAATTCTTGGAGCGTAATTGAACCTCCGCAACGAATCTTCTCGGGGGGTATGGCTTTTGATTCTATTAGTTGGTTTAAATCGTTCAAAACTAAATTATTTAAAAGCTACTTTTAACTTCAATTAAATAAACCTTCGGCGGGGATGATGCAGGCACGAGTGCTGTCGGCCACCCCGACGGAGGGCAGGTCGTGCTCCTTGCACATGGCCAGGAGGTCCTTGTGTCTCCAGGTTCGAGAGCTCCGACATTTCCGCACAAAAACAAAACGGAAAACAGAATCAAAAATCTAGAGCTGACGACCGACTTCTCTGAAAACCTGAAAACCAAATAATGCTCCCAATCGCGTCTCGCCTGGAGTATTGTTATCTGAATATAGTATATTCGCATACATTTTCGAATGCCGCGGCATGGCTGCTGGTCGGGCCGTCGTCCTCCACCTGGGCGGCGTCCTCATCGCTGGGCCGCTTAAAA